CAGTAAATCATTAGGTTGTGCCAAGGAGTGACTGGATCATTTCAGCAGGGCTGTAGCACATTAGTTTTCCAGTTTTCCAGTGATTGATAAGCATTAGTTTTCAGCAGTCTTATTCTTCCAACATAAATATGCTTATCAATAAAAACTTCCAACATAAATACAAGAAAAGAATAAGACTGAAGCAGAATCTTGTATTAGCACCTGGATATGTTTGTTGTGCCAAGGAGGGACTGGATCATTTCAGCAGAGCTGTAGTACATTAGTTTTCCAATGATTGATAAGCATTTGTGGCGTATCGGTGCATTTACACTTGAGCCATACACCTGTCCAAGAACAGATGCCATTAAGTACAGAAACCCTGACATATTCCCAAAAGTAGTAGTACTCCATCTGCCCCAAAATATAGCAACATCTGGCTATGCACCTGGACAAAGTTGCTCTATTTTGGAAGGTAGTAGTTATGTTCACTGACAAGAAAGAGGATCTGGGCACAAACCTGCGTCATTATGGGTAATAAGTCCATACCGAACTGCTTTAGAAGCTCAGGGTGCTCACGTAATAGTCTCTCATGTCCTGACCTTTCATTTTCTGTTGAACTTGTCCCATCTTGTTTGGTGGAAGCTGATTTCTTTGAAGAAGAGCCTTTAACAAGCACATGGAAGTATGCTGGTAAAGAAATGATTCCCGAAGGCAAATGTGGAAGCAAATCATCAGCAAGGCTCACTATCTCAAACATCTGCAGAGGTAAGAGTAAATATGTAAACATCACACATAAAGAAATTAACAAGCATGTATCACCCCCTCAATCAAACATAGGTGCCAACAATCAACATAAGGGTGCGTAAGTGAGATAACAAGCAGCAGCTGCTGATAACATCATGCGTTAACAATGCTCACAAATGTCAGATATTTTGAATCTCAGCAAATATGTTTATTGGCATATGTATGATATAAGAAATAAGACCAAAAAAATGTAACTCAGCAATTAGTTACTACTGGTAAGCGTTGGTAGCTTTGGATCAATCACACTTCAAATTAGATACTGAGTATTGTGTTCCTTTATGTCTCCTTAAAACACTATCCCAAAGAAATTAACTTAATGCAGGACGCGTTATTTGAGAATAGTGTCTCAAGGACTGTTGTACAGCATTTGAAACAATGGCACTGAACATGAACAGAGATCCACCGATAACATGTTCCCTTTCTGCGTGGTTCATTAAAACGTCAACAGACTAGTTTTTGTTTACTAAATAACAGTCCTACCTTCAATCCTCAAGAATATTACCATAGGGAACTGCCCACTGGTATGGAAAATTGTACATGTGGCATAGGCGCATAGCCTTAACTTTTAGGAAGTTGTGGTAAGCCATGGAGATAGGCGCAGAAGACACAAGTTTAGAAAACATGGTCTGCTAAAGCAAGTTTCAGAAATACATAAGAACTGAGTCTCAGCTACCCGCATGTCACTTCATCTGAGATAGATGATAAAAATGCCATAAAGCTTCAGATTAAGTAAATTCAGTGACACAGGCAATCACCTGTTCAGCAGGCCTTGACAAAGCTGGGGAGACTGATGCTCCAGCAACCAAACCAGAACCTGAAAGAATATCTTTAAGAGTACCACTGATTCCAAGAAGAAGAAGTGTTTTGGCTGCTAAAAGCGACCCACTCGCACATGTTGAGAGAAGACGAATTAATCCCTGAAAAAAGTTCCAGTCTATCCTTAGCAAGAGTACAGAAAAGATAGGAAACAACTCGAAAGAATGACAGAACATATTTGCGTGTACCGTATATGTTGATGTACTCAACGAGGCCTGGCCTGCGGAGTTGCTGATTGATACCAGGCTAGCAGACTGAGCAACCAACCCATGATTGCACAAATCATCCAATTTCTCTGGATAAGAAGCAAAAGCCTCTGCAACGCGTGTCAAACAAACAGAAGCATGTTCGAGCACCTGGAATGAGCATAAACAGAAAGTTAAAACCGCATGTTATAAAGGTGAAGCCGGATCACCAATGCGATGTTTGGAAATGAAAAATACCTTAGAATCATGGTGGTTCAAGAGATTCGTGAGCAACGGAACAGCTTCCATGACAAACTCGGACGCATCAGATGGCAGCTTCCTGCATATATTAGCAGCAGTAGACAACGCAACTCTCTAGAAGCATGTCCAAGAGGAAACAGATAGTAAGTTAATAGAGCATGCAGAACCAGAGGAAATTAAATTTAAGTGGGTTTGAAGATTTGAGATATCCGGAGTGGTGAATTAATTAATAGCATACCTGAACACCAGTAGAGAAGAAGTCCAGATATGACAGGACAGCCATTAGCGCACCAGCTCGTAAACAGGCAGTTGGATGCTCCTGGGAGATCTTCTTGAGGGCTTGTAGCGACTAAGAACATCAAGAAGTGGATGTTAGCATCTCGGTAAACACATGCTTGAAGGGGCAAAGAACAGGTGTTCCGAGTGAATCTAGCTAGCCTACCTCATGACGGCAAATGGTTAGATTCATCATTTATTTATGACACCACAGCTTATAGTTATGCACTTTAAACTAATCATATGAATAATTTTATTTATTCATCAGTGGTGTAGTTATTCAGTTGGGTATGGAATATAACGAGACGACCTAATAACCACATGAGTAGAGTTCATGCATCAATGGTACTAGAGCGTATAGCTATACTGGACCTATCAAAGACAATGGCTACTGAGTCGTCGTTGTGGTGGCATAACAACAGCAGAGCAAGATGAGAGTATTCAGGTAAAAATATTCAACTAGGTCATATGAACAATTTTATTAATTCAGTGGTGTACATACACGAGTAGATGAATGAATCGATGGTAGCAGAAAAGCATAACAAAGCAATAATAATAATATGAAGAATGAGATGAGAGTAATGAGTAATGAGACAAGGGGCGGGGTGAGTATACCTGCTCGGCGAGGTCCATGTACTCGATGGTGAGCAGGCGAGCACAGAAACAGGGTATAGCCCCATAGTGCACGACGGCAGAGCAAGAGGAGGGGAGGACGTCGACGAGATTGGCGAGGGCACGGGCGGCGAGCAGCATGACATCGGGGCTGGCGCCGCCTGCACCATCCTCCCCGGGGCCGAGAAGGCCAACGAGGATGGGCACGAAGGCATCGACGGGGAAGGCAGCGAGCGACTCCTCGGTGCCGATGGAGAGCATCTCGCAGAGCTGCATGAGAGACTGGAGCTGGCGCGACTCGTCGCCATCGGACTGGAGGCCGGAGAGGATCCGCTTGAGCTGGGCGGAGGTGGAGGAGGAGGAGGCGGCGGCGGCGGAGGAGGGGAGGAGGTCGTCGAGGCCGGCGCCGAGCCTGCGGAGGAGGCCCTGGAGGGCGGTGCTGGCGGAGGTGAAGGAGTGCGGGAAGGGGGCGACGGCGTCGTCGTCGTCGGGGGCGGAGGGAGGGGAGGGGTCGGAGGAGGGGTCGGGGTCCTTGCCCTTGTCGGAGGCGGAGGCGCGAGCCCGGCGGCGGGAGGAAGGGGAGGGGTCCATCGCAGGTGCAGGCGCAGGCGCAGGAGGGGGAGCGGCGGCGGAGGAGGAGGAGGCAGCGGAGGAGCGGCGGGTGCGCTTGGGAGCAGAGGCTGAGGAGGAGGAGGAGGCGGCTGCTGCTGCGGCTGCGGCGGCGGCGCGCTTGCGGCTGCGCGTTTCCATACAAGCGGTGACGGGCGGGGGGGAGGGGGTGGCTCGCAGCCGTGCCTAGGCGGCGACCGGCGGCGGGCGCATCGATCGATCGATCGGAGCTCGACTCGATCTGCGGCGGATCGGATTCGCTCGCCGGAGAGGAGAGGATGGATCGAGGGGGGCGAGGGATTTGGGGATTTTGGGGCTTAAGACGGTGCGGTGGACGTGGCTTGGCTTTGGTTCCCCCCCTCCTATAGCCGCTCTTCAACCAAACGGAATGGAATGCTTCTCCTAAAATCAACCTCCCATTTTATTTTTATTTTACTTAATTTTATTATAACAAGACTACATATTTTTTAACTAAATTATCACAAACTGTAGATATAATAAGTTTATATATTGGAAAACTTCCAATTTTATGCTTGAGTTATCACAAAACTACAAGTTTTAGGTTATGGGAGGGATCACAATCTTAACAAAATTCAAACATCTTGAGCTAGCTCAAACGGTGCATCTCAAACGGATTTCTTCAAAAATTGTAGAATATCATTCAACATATATCAAAATCCGTTCATAACTAATTAAAAATCAACGTCCAGACATGGCTCAAAACTTGCACTAGCCAATCAAGATTGCAAATAATGTTTCAGTCCCATATACAACAATATCTAATAAACTAGGTCTTACATATTTATATGTATCCCACGTAAGAAGAGTTTTATTTTTAGCGGTAAATATCTATGTTCATGATCTTAGAAAGCGTTTCTAGGTACATTCAAATAAGTATGGACATTTTACCATATCAAAGCATAGGTATAAGTATGGACATTTTACCCATAGCAAAGCATGGGTATTTTGCTAGTATTGTAACAAAGATAATTCACTGTTGCCATCTCTATCTATACTTATAGGGTCCTCCTAGCGTTGAGGGCAATATTTTTTTTATTGAAAATTGAGGACAATATTTAGTAAGACGTTTAAAACTTTGATATCAAATACTTGTTATTCCATTACAAATGTCTTGAAAATATAACTTAGCCTCAATATTCCACAGCAACAATTTGTAAAATCTTACCATCTGTACAGTATTATGACAACATGTATACTTGGGATAACTTGCAAGGTTAACTTGCAACCCCTACCAGCTCGAGTCTTTGGTTATTATTTACGAATGTTTTCATAACATGAAAACGGTTACCCATCCCCTTAAAATCTTTGTTGACCTATATTATTATTACCATTCTGAAGTATAAAACCAACCAAGGGATTCCACTGTCTAACTTATCTTCCCTGGGTTATTAAGGTTAGGAGCACTATAAGCAAGGTATACCAGTTTATAAAGCGAAGTAAGGATTAAACAGATGTACAATGACGAGAATTGCCTCCCTATTTACATTTGAACTGCATTGCGCATACGCAACGAGTGCATATTTACATAGAAATGTATATTCGCATGAGCACAGGCGCATGTACCCACACGTCAAAAGGTCGATAAAAGATGAACAAGCAGGTACTGCAAAAGACAACCGTGGAAGTAGTAGTACGTGATTGGTACCGCAAAATGAGTGAACATCCTACGAAATAACATCTTCCGATCGACCTTGTAAACAAGAAAGAAAGAAAGTAGAGAGGCAGCTCAGGACACCTCCACGACCAAAAGAGAAGAAAGAAGCTACTACTGGGCTCGTCCACGGGCACGGGGTGGGTGGTCTGTCAACAGTCGAATAAGCTTGTCGGATCTCCCCATTGCATCTCTTGACGATTTCACTTTTTCTTCCTGCACCAACCACGCCTACACTTTGTCAGCAGCTAATCCAAATCAAACCAATTGTGCATCAAACAGACAGTGGTTTTGCCGCTAGCTATAAATAATGTCATGAATCAGCGCTTAACAAGCCATCTGCATCAGCGATCAACCAGAGCTTAGATTTAGCCGCCCCATTATTGTGAAACACTTGGATGTGGTTCCAATTGTTGCTGAGGTTTCAAAGAGACGTACCTTTCTGGTATCCACAAATATATCAGGACCTGTGAATTCTTTGAGCATCATAGCTGACACAGGCTGCAATCTCCTGGTCGAGGAAATGAAAGGTAAACTTCAATTCCATGACAAGCATGCTTTTTTTTGCGGGACACAAAAAGCAAGACTCTTAAGCAGTAATTATGCAAGAAAAAACATTTCTGAAGTACTCACCTTCTAGTGTTCTTTCTATTGCAAGGCTTAGAAGCAGAGAGATCCTCTATTTTATCTGTCAGTTTTTCAGCCTGATTGTCCTTGGTTGGAGACTTCGAACGATAACCATAACAAAATATGACTATTAGAAAGGGCGACAATAAAAAGAAACTAGCCTAACAGAGCATGTCATTTTTCTTTTTACTTCTTAACTAACAATATTCCAGTAGAATATCTCCAAGTGTTTATAGACTTAGCATTATATTTTTCATCATAATGCAACAAGCAAAGAAGTGCCATCCGCCCCAGACTAGACAGTAATGATCTTACTATTGGAGCTTTCCTTGGGGAAGATTTTCCATTTAGCGTACATGGATACATGCCTCCATGATCATCCACTACATGTGGAGGTTGAGCACAGCCTACAAAAATTGTGTTCCATTGATAATGTAATACAACATTTCAGAAGGATATAGACAATCATATACAACATGCCCACACCAAATTAAGCACGACCAATGCTTTTGTTTTATGAGATATTACACATTACATACCATATTCCACAATGGTTATTTCTACTGTTGGCTTGCATCTTTCTGACTGAGGATCCTGCTGAAGAGCACCCTAAAGAAAAGGCACAAACATATGTCTTAGACTTTCCAACAAGGCAACAACGATTTAGCATAGAAAGAAGAAGCGCCACTTGCATGCAATCATATTTCATCCTGAGAAATAGATTAAAAGAATAAGAATAGCAGCTAACCTTGATTATGTAAGGAAATATTTTCAGTGCACAAAGGGATTATGGACAGTGTTCTACAACTTGACTAGGATATTATTGTGTTATTTTTGGAACTTTGAAGGAGCTCAGTACCACAGTGAAAATAGAATATGCATTACGCTCCACATCCCCATACTTCCATAGCTCTAAAGAATCAATCTCTTCTTTCTTCCCAAGAGCTCTCTTCCCAGCCTAGCAAGAAACATCCCCTTCTAAACCCCCAATGGCAGCCATCACCAGTTCACTACCCTCCCCAAACTCCCATAATAGAAAAACACAACGAACAAATCAAAGGTGGAAAACTCAAATGTACAAATGGATAACTGTTTGATGCAACAAACTGCTTGATTGTGCTAAGAACAATACAAAGATACGTACAAAGATACAAAAAGAATTAAAATATTAAATTGTTCCATACCATCCCTTGCAACTGACTGGAGCTAACATGTAATGAGCCAGAGTTCACTTCTTGGGAACAACTTGGAGTACTATGATGTTTCACCCCTGTCAAAAGATCCAACAAAATTGTGATAAAATGGTGCATCATGAGCAAAATATTGCAACATGGAACTTGTTAACCTCTTGTGTGAACATTCTGTTGAATCCCCTCCGTTGTTATATTGTGTATCTCTTCCCTTTCTTCTTCACTTTGCTCTATGGGAGATTTCTTGCTAGCACCAATAAATTGTGGAGACAGGTTTGCGCTTTCATTCTGTAGGCATGTATCTGCACAAGTGACCTTTTGTGTCAGTTGACCTTATTGTCTACACAATATTTTTATTTTTAGAAGTCACACAGAAAGGACTTCCCTTGCAAAAATGGTACCACGATCTTTAAATGGAACTCTAATTTCCACATCAGAAGAAATATGTTTCCTAATTTTATTCTATTGTGTGAGTGTTACCATGTTAAATTATTCAGCGGGAAGAAAAACATAGAAACTTTAAGAACCTGTAAAGCTTTGATCAGATGGATGATCCAAACTACTGGATGAATGTGTGACACCACCACCATCAGAGCAACTTTCAGACCTATCCAACTTCTTATCAAGCACCTGTACCACTATCTAAAAAAAGAGAAAAGTAAGATATGGTTTATCCACTTGTACAGTCAAGATAGATTATACTCTCTTTTTTCAAGTGTTCCAGTAAACATCTCTAAAAAACCTTAATAAGAGACTGAGTGGTACTTGAAAATCCAAGGTAAAACAAGATTCTTCTACGCATGTGTGAGAAAGAGGGAGAGAGATAGAGTACATATTACCCCAATGTTTTCTTTTTCCACATCATGCTCAGGAATAAAAGCATCGGAACTACTTGCTTTCTCTGGCTAAAAGAACAGGATGATGGTCCATATGTCAGTAAAAGATGCAGCAATGTTCCTCGAGTATCAACATCATGACATCTTTTTGAAAAAGAACTACATGAGCATTTCTCCATGAGGATCCAAAGGTCCAAACCAGTAAGTATCATACCTTACAATCTCCGGAGCACAATTCTTCTTCCGCTATCAGCTTAATAATAGAAGTATCACAAACATCAGATCCCCCTGTCCCTGTTATAGAAAAATGGATTCTCAGGCCTATGAGAACCATCTGATGATATTGTCCTGAACATGTACACCATGGAAATGTAACCTGTCTTGTCATCATAATCTGAAGACCTTTCAGGGCCATGACCTGTAGATTCTTCTGAGACCTCTTCTACTGCTAACTGTAGGAAAAAAGAAGTTCGCTTAGTGCTATGCTGTATAACATGCAAAAGAATATTATCAAGAAAGCTCCAACCTCATTTATATCTGCATTTGAACTTTGCATATAACATGCCCTAAAAATTAAGAAACTGCATCTTATTGAATATAGACTATTGGCGTGCAGGCATAAAAGGGGAGATATTTTGCTTCCCATTAGGCAAGTAGTACATAAGAAAAAAAATGGTGCACTATGTAAAAAACAATCCAAAGGGCAGAAGATCGTAACTATCAAAGGAAGTGAAGGGTTAGGAACAGGCTGCTGTTCGATGCAACCAGAGCATGAGATTTTATGACATTGAAGTTTTAAGCATGCTCAACTGCGCCAGGTATCAACTCATTACAGTAAGTTTAATCTGACGTAAACATTGTGACAGCCCTTCTAAAGCCTAACAGCATATCTACAGAGTTTGATGGAATAAAAGATACAAGGAGTGTTAAGCACTCTGTTTGCTTGTAGAGCTTTAGATCCAAGACATACTTATTCAAACATTACTTTAGTTAAAAGGCACTCAATGAAAATCTAAGTAAAAAACCAAATGTGAGGTTTTCCTGTTTGAAGTTTCTTTAACTTACAGATTTGTTTAGAGCAGAGTCAATAGATACAAGATCAGTTTGACTTGATAGAGAAACAAAACTTTGAGCCACTTGACCAGAAGACACATCATTGTTTTGCTCAACAAAGGTATCTTCAACAGCTGGAAATTTCTTGCATGAACAACTTAGAACCTTCAACTTCTTCTCCAGCTCCATAATTTTGATGTCTTTAGATCTAAGCAATTCTCTTGTGCTCTCAACAGCATTCTCAGACTCCTACAGGCAAACATGTGAATTAAAAAAGGACAAAAAAATCTATGGTGAATTTATTGATCTATATATCCCATACAATATAAACCTACTAAGTGAAATTATGGCATTTCTACTTTTCTCACAAAAGCACATCATCATAATTTTCTAGCATTTTGATAATTGATCTAGGGTAGTAGGGTGTAGATTGTACCACAAAGCCAAGCCGTCTAGCTATAATTCAAATCCACCTCGGACCTCATGTTAACCATTTTGTCACGCTAATTTCACATGGCGACACACAAGGTTTATATCTAGTTTCATTAACAACTAAAAACAGTGAAATTTCAAGAGCACTAGATATACAACAATAAATCCCACTTCAAGCATGTTATGTTCCTTACTTGACTTCACTACCCATCCTTAGAACTTACCACATTGAAGACAGACATCAATATTCCACATTCTGGTCAATTAAACAGAGATAAGCAATATAAAGGCAGGAAATTACCAAAAGTTTTTGTTTATACTGCTTTAAAACAGTCCATAAAGCCCTGGCAAAGTTTGTCATTATTTCTTCATTTCTCGAAACTCTTCGCAATTCTGAATTAAGAAGCTTGTACTGTGACTCATCTGCGCAAATATATGAAATAAACAGTATGAGGTGAATGTTGTTATTCTCTTACTTTATTACACTGAAGATAAGAGAAATATTTATTACGAGTTATGCAAAGCAAAGGGTCAGAACTATGACTACAGACAAGTAAGAGTCAATAATAGTACTGACTACTGAGACCGAAAATGAACTGTGCCAAAAAAAAACATGTGATATTGAAACAAATGAAATATTAATATAGGTGAATAGAACCTTTTTCAGAAATTGTAACACCATCATCCTTATCAATGTCATCCTTTCCTGCGACCTGCATAAATATAGCATAGATTATAGTGCCTTCTGAGTTCTGACTAAGATATGAAATAACTATAGCAGACATAATTATATAAGAACTTGTTTGAGGGAAATATGGATCAGAACATGATGAAGTTTGAGTGATGTGAGGGCAGTCAAGACTCAAGACTATGTGGTCCTTTAGTACTTATGGTACAGGATTGTAATTAAACACTAAAAATTGGGTCAATGATAAATCAGGACTTCAAGGTTTTAAATTGATCAGCTTGTTTGAAGCACTATGGAGAATTAATAAGTTAGATGGGCCAAAATGAACAAGTGGAAAGCTTAGTAAAAATTACATCCATACTGCAAAAACTTCAACCTTATGAATCTTCCTCTTTTTCGTGTTCTCTTGGCAAATCAGGGAAGCACTGCTTCTCTTTTGGGAAACCAATCCAGAAGAGTCCTCAAGGTTGGTATACCTGAAAGATAGCAAAATAAAACCAGGGCCCCTTTGAAACACAGGATAGGAATAACACAGGAATAGGAAAAACGCAAGAATTGAAGTTGCATGTTTCTCCAATCCTACAGGAATGGAAAACACAGGAAAGATGAAGATGGAGCCCTTTGATAGCATCACAGGAAACTAACAAAGCAAAGGAAAGTTTCCAAGAGGTTGGACCTCTTGCTTATTTTCCTATGAAATTGAACCATAGGAATGCAATCCTATGGAAAATGTCCTATCCTTTCCTACGAATCAAAGGGCTCCATAGGAAAAATTCCTTAGGAAATTGAAACCTGGCAATATTTTCTGATGTTGGATATCAAATAGAAAATAAATAATGAATACCTTCAAAAGAACATGTATAAATGAAGTACTTGCTACTGAGATTTTGTTTTAGTACAAACACATTATTGAAAAGATGTGGATTAAATTAGTCATATATCGCTTCCCTCAATGCATTTCCTCCATTCTAGGGTTACGTCCCATGATCTAAAGTTGTCCCATGATCTAAAGTTCCCAATAGCTGATATCTTAAAATATGACCCTTTCAACTAGAAATGCTCACCCTAACAGTATTGGAAAACAAACAGAGGAAACACCACCAAGAAGCTTTGTGTAATTTATTAGGCAATTTTTACATGCACCATATAATTTCAGTATTTCACTTGCAATTCCTTTTGCATTTTCCAGCATTCATACCATAGGTCATATGTAGAGCAAATGTAAAATTGTTTCCTACTTCCCTAAAGTCAAGATTATGTATGTATTCAAGTTTATCTCCCTTCATGTGTCTAATTCCTCAAAATAATGAGTAATTGCTGTTATGACCAACATAACAAATAGAGAAATAGGCTTAGAGCGGTTTTTTAAAAAGAATCAACTGCACTAGAATCCTATCTGGTTAAATAAGATGCAGCTTACAAAATATTTTTTACTCTCATAAGACAATTCTGTCAATGATTGTAAGGGGAGTACTTTATTTTCATGTACGGAGATGCTTGTCTTAGCAAAAAAGATGTATCCAAATAATCATCATCTCCTGGTTTCACATTCAAAATCTGAAAAATAAGAAAAATCACGATTAAAAAAAAAACTCAACACATAGACCACACAGCAAAAGTGATAAATAAATAACATAGCAGGCTGCAAATGTCATTGCAGCACATAAATGAGCATAGGCACTGTTATGGATGCAGCCAACCATCCTTACATTAGGAGGCACTACGAATAATCACAAATAAGTGCTCGCTTCAATTTGGATCTATCTTATTATGTTATCTTTTGAGTGATGAACTTGTTCCTTCAAAGATAGTACTTCCTCTACACAAAAATAAGTGGTGTTCTAGGATCAAACTTTTGTACTTTCACTAACCATACCCCCAACCACCACCACCACAAAAAAAAGGAGGGTAAACTCGAATTTTTTAGATGTCAGTAAACCAACATTTCCTTGATTTGATAAATATATCGCTACAAAATTTGGGATCAAAGAGCTTTGGGAACTGTGTCAGGTCCAATGCATTGCTTAATTTGTGACGGATAAAGTATAAAGCACATCAAAACATTTTTTAAAAAATGTAGCCTATAAGTGAAGGTGAAGCGCATCATTTCAGGAGATTTCAATAAGAATGGACAATTATTTTAGGTGCAAATAACATACCAGAGTCATTTTCTTCCTTCCTTCCAGGTAGTCTCTCAAGTACCTTGTCAACTATCAAAAATCAAAATTACAAAAGATTTAGAAGAAATAAAAATAAAATTCCGTTTCAAATTAATCTTCAATTGCTACAACTGGTGAATCATAAAATGTTGTTTGAACTTTAAACTTATTGCATAAAAAAGTTTTGAGAGCAGAAAAATAAGTCATCAGGAATAGAATGTGAAAATTAGTTTTTGCATTTCATCAACAAACTAGCTCACTATACATGGAACCAATGTCATTAGTTATATAACAAAATATAGAAAATCAATTGATGTGAGACCACCGAAAAAAGTGCTAAGCAAGATTTATCAATTGTAAATTGCCTTGTTGACCTTTAGATCTGTTCTTCAGATTCCTCACTACAAATAGAGGATCTATGTAAAACATCATTTGATGACCATAATTAGGGAAAGAAATGGTGATTACACACCAAAGGGCAAAAAAGGATAGAAAGAGGCAAGATTCAAATCCATGTTTTGCTTGTCTCAAAAGAATATGTTGTGTCAGCAGACATACCATTGAGTTCTTGAAGTGCTTCTCCAAGGGTTTCTTCTTGTTTTTCTGATGCTCTAACAAAGACTGCAGTTCCAAAAGATATTTAAAAAAGCATGCATTAGCAAGCATGACTTACTGATCTGAGTATGCAAAACATAACTTAGTATTTCTGCAACCACCTCCAGATGGAAAAAGGAGCTACTAAAGAAAATCCATTTGGCCATACCCTCAAACAGAGACCAAAAACCATGGATGTATTGTTGATGAAATTACTCTCTAGCAATCGTGTACCCTGTAAATGAAAGAGTAAGAGAAATGTACACAAAAGATGGCATCCCATAAAAGAAAAGGTGTTGTGCATGCTTCATATGTTCTATCTACTAATCTATATTATAGGGGGAGGGACCATTGATCAAGAAACAAACTTGATTTCCAGTTCTCCTTTCCCGCTCTGCCCCCGCAAGGTCTGCTATGGTCAGGACAGCATTATTAAGCGAATTCTCACTTTCTGCATCAGAGCTTTTATGAACAGCACGTATAGTGATAATGCACTGCGATCGACTGCAAGACAACATAAGCGTAAATTAGTAGATCAAAAATTAGAACAAATGCTCAAAATAGAAAGCAAAGAACTATATGGTAGAAAGAAAAAGGAAAGAAAACACAGCATCTCTACCATCATTAGGAAAAGAAAACCTTGAAAGTAAAATAGATATATCCAGGATAAAGTTTTTTGGTTAGTGAAGATCATATGAAGAAATTTATAAGGAAAACATGCCTTGACTTGCTGTTAGCATTTGTTGCAGCTGTGGTACGCTTCAGCATCCCAGAAAAAAGTAAGGCCTCAGCATCCGCAAAATTTTCAACGGATACCTGCAGAACAAATGAACTTATTGCATGGTACCAAGCACATTGGTATCAGCACTAATGTAGTTCAAATGGAATGGGCCTTCCCCCTGACTATGGTTTGTGCTCCGGAATCACAGAAAGCAGAGTAAACTCCTGACATGAGTTGGATTAGGAAGTTTTCATCCAATCGGAATAATTAACAGGAAGTCACAGCCAGACCATTTGAAATGACCGAAAAGATGAGGTGCACATCCTAGGTTAATGTTTCCAACATACCTCTTTAAGACCTTTAATTGTTGACTGCTGGAGAACAAGGTCGGTCGCATCAGACAGTAGGTCAAGAATCCGCTCTCCTTTTCCCTCAGAAAGTATCTCGAACATTGAGAAGCAAAATGATCTGTAGTTATGAGAAGAGATATGATATGGAATTTAAAAGGCTTCCGTCCTCCATGGTAGTGTTAGAATTTAGATATGAACATGGTTAAGAGAAATATTAAAATGATGAAAGCATTTGTTATTGGAATTATGTTGAATGACAATGTAGGTTTTGGCTTAAAAAGAGTGTAATACCGTAGTTTGCTGAAGGGTTCATGTGTTGTTGGAGAGAAGATGCGGCGTAGCGTGAGTGGTACAAGTCCAGGATTCCTTGGGGAGCCAAAGACAGTATGGGTCTTTCCAGAGCCAGTGGGACCCATTGCAACCAGAAGGCCACTCTTTCCTCCCAACAACAAGTCATCCACCAGCGGATTCATCACTTGACTAAATACATCATGCTGCATATATTGGAGTACTAGATATATAGTAGAAGATCATCTACAAACTTAACACGATGGATGGATGCAGTCAGAACGCAACGAAAACCTCACCTGTGAGGAATCGGGTGAGAAGACGGAGGAGAAGCCGTCGAAGACCTCGGTGCGGCCGCGCTTGGGGTCGAGGAGCTTGGAATGCGGGACGGTGAGCGCGACGGAGTTGGGGGAGTTGGCGACGAGGCACACTTGCTTGGGATTAGTTGGGGACTTGGCCTTGCCCTTGCGCTCCGGGAGCGGGAGGGGGCGGATGCGGAGGAACACCTTGAGCCGCTCCGCCGCCTCCTCGAGCAAGCGAGAGATCTGGGAGGGTTTGGAATTGGGGAGAGGGGTGGGGGGAGGCCTCGCGCTGCGTGGAGGGTTCCGCCGGAGGGTGCTCGGAGCAGGCGGAGAAGCCGCCGCGCCAGCGCCGGCGCCGGTGATGGGGGGCTCCTTCAAATTCATCTCGACTTTGGGGTTTGGGGGTTTGGTGCTCAGCCTCACCATTCCATTTTGAAGCCAACTCCCTCCGCTCAAACTACACTTTTCTTTTGTTTCGGGGGAGTCTGAGGGAAGAAATGAAAGTTTAAAATATTTGAACATTTTTTATCTCGGTTTGATTGGAGGATTTGAGAATTAGGGTTGGTTTGGTTGGTGTTCTATATAGGCATTACCAAATTTTTTTTAATGCCAAATTTTTGTAAGTTTTGGTATGACTAATTTTAGTAAGGCAAAGTTGTGTTTGGATTGAAGCCAAAATAGCCTAAGTTCACTATTGGAATGCCCATTTTCTTAGACATGCTAAAATTCGGTTTCAAACCAAATAGACACTAAACACTATTAAAATTGTGTTGACGTAAAACACGAGGACTGGGAGATCTGCTTAGCTCCTGTGCAGGTCCAAAGGTTGGTGATATGAGGGCGTGCCAGTTAGTTTGATCCTGCAACTGACAAGATATGCAAATAGTAGATCAAAACAGCCGATCGGCTGACAAGCCGATGGAGTAGTTCTAGCCGATAGCCGATAATAGCCGATGCCAATACCAGCCGATAGCGATAGGGTTTAAGCAATCGGCTATATGTCCAATGTAGATGATGATATAAAGGCAATCGGCTGATGATGGTGTAATAAAATAACAATATAATCCAGTATAAATTAATCGGTAAATAATGATATGATAAATAAGCATCGATCCGAAAGTTAAAGCACACATCGGCTGGAGGTACGATGTCATGAAATCCACAAAGATTAGATTAAACAGTGAAACCTTTGTTGTCATCTGCTAAATCCAACTTATATATATATATATATATATATATATATATATATATGCAATCCTTATGAGCCGATGCAACGTCCAGATAACTCACCGGCTGAAACCCCGATGAAACCCTTATTGGCATTCAAGAAGCAGGCTAGAGATTATGGTTCTAAGCACGACTTAGTAGATCAAACTTAACTGATACAGCACTAAGTATGAAAAAGAAACATAATATCTAGACAATCAAGCCGTTGACTGAGTTTTCAGGGTGGTAGATGTATAAGTTAATCTAATCTAGCATGACGATTTAGCCGATACCGGCATAAACCCTAAAGCGAGAAGCAGCCGATAGAGCTAAATTGAGATGCTAAGACTAGATTAACATAGACATATGATAAATAGCCAGGCAAATATATTATCCAAACCAGAGTAATCCAAGAGGTCGAATGTAATGATGCAGCCTTGAACGACGCCGACGTAGACGATACAATTGCCTGGACCGGTGGAACATTGGACTTATCCCTTCGCCGGAGATCGAAGACGATGCAGCCCCACGTCGGGTGCCAAGTTCCACCGGAACGTAAAAATAAAAGTAAAGCAAAAGGGTGGCGATGCGCCGAAATTGTATTGAACGTGTGTATAGATTACATAGGCCCTGGGTGTACATATTTATACCCATGTGTTGATACAAGTCCTTGTCGGACAAGAAAGAAACTTTTCTAAAGATAAAAGGAAAAGATAAAGTCCTTATAGGACACTAAACACACTTTCCTAAAGGAAACTAACAAACTATTCCTAATTAATAGATAACTTGCCATGCCGTCTCTTCTGGATAAGCTTCCTTTAGTAGATCAATTTCCTTAACTGAATATAGCAAGAATCCGACAACTGACGACTTGACAACTCTCATCGACTAATCTCAGGACTTCAAAGCCGATGCTGACTCTAAGCCGATGACTACTCCGGACTTACCAAATTTCACTGTTAACAAATTGTTATATATTGGTGAGCCTAATGCATACATGAACATGGTGCCGTTAATGGATATGGGCTTCTCAGTGTGAATGTTGGTACGGTTGAGATCATCTGGATCAAGGCCAGCAAAGCGAGATACAGTGACCTTGTATTGTTGTCCTTGAGTCATCCACTTCAATTGAAGTTCTCCACTTCCAGCCTGCCCAAAGTATATAGTGCGCATCGAACTGCCCCATCACGTCCTCACACCAAAATACACCCAAGACTTAAACTGTGGCCAAGATCCTTGTTGATACAAACTAGCTTAAATAACATCATTGGAGGCATAAGTTTGCTCCTTGTTCATATACTCCCAGTCCCACTTCATACTTAATTTCTTTTAATATATTTACGTGCAATTATTTTACGCGTTTGCCAAAAACGTCAACCCAATTCATAGGATTCGATCTTGCCATAAACATGAAGTTGTACCAATCAATTTGGAAATCATGCGGAAGCGAGGATCTTTGGACTCGTGAGGAAGCAGAGTGTCTTGGTCTATTTTGCGTACATGTACATTCAATAGTATTACACTTAGGGATAAAATCTTAACCACTAATTTATTATATTTTAGCCGTAAAAAAAAATCTGATAGTTTTAAGATTGTAATTATGTCAGAATTTTATCTTCTTTTTACTCTATGTATAATGAATTTTAAAATGCAACTTTGCACGTAAATGTAATACTATTGGAAGTACATGTGTGATTTTTTTAAGAATTTTTTATGATAATTTTTAGTTGGTGTACACGGTGGGTACACACGAGGGTCTGTGTGCATAGGATACGCTCCCGTAAACTGCGGACATCACTTATGTGTGTGTGTGTTTGTGTGACCTGGCCTTTGTATGAATGGAAGTGATATCCGCAGTTTATAATTTGTATGTATATATAGCACTGGTATTATGGCTGAAGATCGAGTAGAGAAGAAGAAAAAAAAGCTAGTAGAGGTTAATACTAGTAGTAGTATATAGTTAAAAGGAGGACATGCAAAGGCCATTTTGGTGTTAAATAATGGAGTGTAAGTAAATAAAAAGGAAGGGGGGGCGGCAGGCTTCACACAAAGCTGGCGCGCACACAGACGCATAGCATATATAGGATGATGCGTGTGTTGTATTCCATCATCATCAGGTAGCGCGCGCGGATAGATCATATCTAGCGTGGACGATGGCGAGGCATCGGTGGTATGTGCAGGCGGTGGCGCTGCTGGTGGTGCTGAAGGCGGCGGCAGGGTCTGCGGCGCCGCCGACGACGACGAGGAGCAGGAGCAGCAGCACGGTGGTGGCCGGGATGGTGTTCTGCGACCAGTGCAAGGACGGCGCCAGAGGCCTCTTCGACTACCCGCTCTACGGTTGGATTGCTTTTGCATTTGCATATAAAGATACTACAATTTGATTGCAATAATCCATGATGATCGATGATCATGGGGGCGGCGGCGTGCTTGAGGCTTGAGCAAGCTACCTGTCCGTCATCTACTCTACTGTGTGCAGTGCATGCTATTCTCCTTGCCTACCTAACCTGATCAATTAGTACTTTACTTCCTTTATTATTCTTTCCTTCAGAAATTTGTGGTTAATTTGGATATGCTGTAAAATGGAAGGAATGCATTTGTGGTGGGTGCAGGTGCGCGGGTGGCGATCGAGTGCGGCGGAGGGGAGAGCCCGGTGACGGTGCGGGAGTGCAACACCAACTGGTTCGGGGGATTCTCCGTCCGCATGGAGGGCACGCCCGAGATGAACCGCTGCACAGCGCGCGTCGTCCAGGCCACCGGCCACTGCGGCGCCGCCATCCCCACCGCCCCTCGCGACCTCACCCTCGCCTTCCGCATGCTCGGCCTCGCCCTCTACACCGTCCCCCCACTCCTCTCCCAGCCGCTCCGTCCCATGGACTTCTGCCCATCTCCATTAACATCTCCATCTCCTCCCGCCCTCGCGCTCGCCCCCTCTCCGATTCCGACTCCAATCATCGCGCCGCCCCCCGTGTCCTCGCCGGCTCCCCCTCTCCCGCCCCTCTGGCGCCGCAGGCCTCGCCGCCTGCCGCCCATCTGGCGCCCGACCCCACCCTCGCTACCCGTTGACACCATGCCGCCGCCGCCGCCGCCACCGCCACCGCAGCCGCAGGGCTCCGCCTGCACCTTCGAGTACGTATCTATCTACTAGTCCTTCCTTAATAATTTGAACAACATATAGATGATTAATGAAATGAAATGGATCGTCAGCAAGTGGGCGGACGTTGGATTGCACGGGTGCAACTGGAAGGTGGTGACGCCCAACACGACGGTGGCCATGGCGTTCGGCCCCGCCGCGGCGCAGAGGTACGGCCCCGACATGACGCTGCGGGAGGCGCTGGACGGGAGGGGAGACATGTACCGGACGCTGCTGCGGGAGGCCACGGCGGCGCTCCTCAATGCCTACTACAACCCCAGTGGCTCCGGCTTCCTGTACCCCACCACCGCCAGCGTCATCGACCACATCAACGCCGCCCTCCTCACCCCCACGCTCCACAAGCTTCTCCTCGAGGGTGCGCGCTTCCGCCGCGCCAACTCCGACTCCAACCTGCCCTGCCACCTCACCCCCTGCAACTAATTACTACTCCTGCTTGCTTACTCGATCGCTAATGCACTCGTTTTTCATTTTATTACTCGCTACGCTAATGTATTACTAGTGTCTCGACTCAATACTTAATTGGTGGATGGATTTTAATACTACACTACTACTACTGGAGTACTATAGTACAATCGATTCAATTTTATTATTACTTAATTAACTAATAGTAGCAGAACATGCATACCGTATGTACTGGAAGCATCATCCCTTGACCAGCCAATTTATTATACTCCACTCGCGCGGTCAAACCAAGTCAATACGACAAAAGCAGAGCAGAGCAGAGGAAACGTTTGCTGTTCAAACTAATTTAAACAGGGAGCTACTACTACAGACTACTCCTCCACTAGAAGTAGAGGAATTACCACTAGTAGTAGAGTAGTACATTCCAATTCCAATTACTTGAGTAGATCCTTGGATTATTCATTCCATCAAGGGTTGGATTCAAAAACTAGACATCCAAATTCATTCATTAATTAGAGGTAGGTGGAGTAGTAAGTAAAAGAAGAAAAAAAACGAAAATAAAAGAAAGAATTAGGAGCAGATTGGGCAAAGCACGAGGCCGTTCTCGTTACACTCGCCGCAGCGCACCACCACCACCGCCCGCGTCTTGTTGCTCCTTGCAGCCGCCGCCGCCGGCACCGGCGTGGGGAGGGAGAAGCAGAGCTTGCGGCTGCCGTTGCAGTCGAAGCAGGGCAGGAATCGCATGCCGCCGCATCCGTCGCAGCAGCCACCACCTGGGCGCGCCCTCGGCAGGCCCTCCAGCAGCGCCGCAAGCTTGCCCTCCTCCTCCAGGCGCGCCACCTCCGCGGCGCCGCCGACGTGGTTGCCCCGGACGAACAGCCGTGGCACCAGGGGCGCGCGGTCGTGGTGGTCGAGGGAGATGCGGTGGCGCAACTCCTCCCGGAAGCCGCGGTCCATGGAGATGTCGCGCTCCCGGAAGGCGACGCCGTGCGAGTGGAGCGCGGCGCGGACGGCGTTGCAGGCCTCGAAGGTGGCGCGCACGCCGCGAAGCGTGGTGGTGTAGAGCAGAACCCCAGCAGGAGGAGCAGGAGGAGGAGAGTGGTGCGTGGGCCTCCGTGGTTTCTGTGGGGTGGCGGGGTCGAGGAGACCGGCCATGAGCTCCCACGAGTTGATGACCTCCGCCTCGCCCTGCTTCTTCAGATGCTTCTCCGGCGGGGCTGCACATGGTGGGTTGGTGGTGGTGGTGGGTCGGGGAGGCGGCGTGGGCGGAGGAGGAATCCTAGTAGGGGATTGGGATTGGGATTGGGATTGAGCTGATGATACTAGAATGTTGTCGAGGATGCCGTAGGTGGAGGAGGTGAGGGAGACGATGTGGGAGGCGGAGACGCCGATGATGCGCCGGCGGCGGTCATCGTCGTCGTCGTCGTCCACGAACGCGGAGGCAGCGCAACCCATGGTATTGGTATTGGTATGGTAGGAAGGAAGGATTCGATTCGAGGATGATTAAGGAGAAAGGAGAGTGAAGAAGAAAGGAATGCATTCAAATTTCAAAACTTGAAACCGCCATGCCATTGGATGGCACTGTACTGTACTACTCCTACATTACTCTATTGGGCCTGCCTCTCTGGTCGTTGGGCTTGGCCTACTCCTGCATCACCATGTATGGGCCTAACTTACCATGCTTTAAGATGGTACCACCAGTTACCAGAAGTAATCATTTAGATCCTCTTTATTTTAGGCTTTTAACCGATCTTTTAGCTTACTAGACAAAAAAAAAAACCGTGCGTTACAACGGAAATAAAACACGAGAACATTAAGAAAAAGTTGAGAAAGATTTACATTATGTAATTAATTAAAATACAAATTTCACCATCCTTCATATAAAGAAGATATATTTATATTCCTATTTTTATTTCATTCCCATTACATATGAAATCGCAATTATACATGTATACGATGTTGAAGAAAATAAAGTATCATGAAAATCAAGGTAAATATGGGTAATAAAATTTTCCAAATATTGGAACTAATTTTTATTAAATTCTCCATGATTAATTACATTATCTGATTTTATTTTTCGGAATTTTCTGAGCTCCATTACTAATTTTAACCATACAGACATCATTTCAGTTTTTATTTAAATGAAAATCTAAATGAAAACCATACTTTCTCTCTGGGCCATTTTCAGCCCATTTATTTCCTCAGCCTGTAGCCGAGCCGGCCCTTTTTCCTTCGGAAAAAGTACATCCAAGATCCCTCAACTTGTCATCAAGATACAAAATCGTCCCCCAATTGCAAAACCAGATACCGGGCATCCCTCGAGTAACAAAATCGTTCGCTTTAGGTCCCTCGTAGTTTTAACCCCAGTTTTGTCCGACATGGTGGCCGAGTCTGCGTGGGACCCACGTGAGCCCCACATGTTAGGATGCCACGTCATCTATCCCTTCCTCTTCTATCAGTTTTCTCCTCATCTGGTAGGCAGGCTAGCCGGCGGTTGGGGAGGAAGTCGACGGGGCGAGCCGGGAGAAGAGGAGGTTCGGCGGCGGTGGCCAGCGATCTTCGATGCAGCAGCGGCGACGACCACGCAGGAGCAGGCCGGTCGGCGGAGCGGGAAGGCGACGGGCGGAGCGGCGGCGGCAGCTGCGCCTGCCGCACCGGCGTGCCGGAGGACCGGGCAAGCAGGGGGCAGAGCTGGCGACGGCGCGGGCCGGAGCGACCGACCGGCGGAGCAGCCCGCGCCGTCGCCGGCGGGCGGTGGGCAGGCGTGCTGCAGGAGAGGAAGGGGCTGCGGCGGCAGGTAGACGCCGTCGTCGCCACGTTCAAGCTCGGCAGCCGCCGTTGTACTGCTCGACGGCGGTGGCCAGCAACTACACCACCGACAGCCAGTACTCGCTCAACCTCAACCAGCTCCTCGCACTGAAAAATGGTCAATGTGTGGTTAACGTGTGGCTTTAACTTTGCAGTCCCTATAGATGAAAACTGAATGTGATTTGGTTTTGTGTTGGCCATCTGAACTTGTGAATTGATTCTGACATTGGCACCATGTATGCAAATGCACAATACTCGGAGGCTGAGAGCAACGATGGCTTCTACAAAGCTTCGCTCGGCACGGCGCCCGACGAGGCCTTCGCCCTCGCCATGTGCTACGCCGACCGGAATTGAACGGAATGCGAGAGCTGCCTACGCGCGGTGGCCATCGGGATGGCCTCCCTCTGCCCGCGGAGCCGTAATCTAATACGGACTAGTAGTCTCTTGCCTCATTACACGTAAGGGGAAAAAAGAACTGGTCCAAGCTAGTTTTTTTACTTAACAGTGTAAAAGTGTCTTATGACTTTTCAAAAAACAACAAAAAAATCAGCTTATTTTGTTTACTTAATAGTGTAAAAATGTCTTATGACTTTTAAAAAACCAAAAAAAAGCAACTTATTTGAGTCCAATAAAGAGGGTCCCAAATCCAGCTATTCAATTGCTAGGGGTCAAACTGGACTTTTTCCTATCAATTTATTCACGATCCATCCATCCATCCGGCCCATTAATTTCCTTCCCATTAAGGCAAAGTGATGATTACTACTCCCCATCTCAAAATAAATCGATTTAATACTTAGATATGATTAATATTTTCTAGTATAAAAAATTTAGATATAAGCATATCTAAATACGTTGTATATTAGAAAATATGTCATCTAATATTAGATTGGTTTATTTAAGACAGAGAGATAAGAAGAAGTAAAGTACTCCATCCGTATTTTAATGTATGACGTTGTTGACTTTTTGATCAACGTTTGACCATTCGTATTATTCAAAAACTTTATGTAATTATTGTGACTTAATTTATCATCAAATGTTCTTTAAGCATGACATAATATTTTCATATTTGCAAAAAAAATTGAATAAGACGAATGGTTAAACGTTACTCCCTCCGTCCCATAATATAAGAGATTTTGAGTTGTTGCTTTCACTGTTTGACAACTCGTCTTATTAAAAAATTTGTGCAAATATAAAAAACGAAAAGTTGTGTTTAAAGTACTTTAGATAATAAAGTAAGTAAAAAAAATAAATAATAATTCCAAAATTTTTTGAATAAGACGAGTGGTTAAATAGTATAAGTAAAAACTCAAAGGAGTAGTAAAAATATCAACGGCGCCATTCAGAGGGAGTAGCAGATATTATTGATACGATGAAACGATGGATGGATGGATGCATGCCTGCCTTACCTTTAATTTTTGCATCATCCCATTGATTGATTCGCTGATTGGCTCACCCGGCCTTCCATGATCGAGTAGTAAATTGATCCATGATTGCAGCCCAAGAAAGCGATCTATCCACAGTACGCACCAAACCCAACCCCCACCAGGAGGTTATGACTCCGTTCAGGTTCAGGTGTGCTACCTATCTGACGAGAAGCGCACCATGCAGGCAGCTACTCCTACTACTTTTCCTTGTTCACATCATCCATCCATCCATGTTCAACCTAAGTGGAGTAATAACTATACTTGCATTAACACAAATGAACTGCTATAGCTTCATCGTGTAACACATATCACACTCCAACCAATCATACATGCAACTTAAAAAAAAAATCGATATTCTAATGCCCATGAATATTACTTATACGCAAGTGGGTTTTCAATGGAAATTTAGTGAGATAAGTGATGTGCCGCTAATTTTTGTCTCTTTTAAACATGTGTTAGAGGGTATATTCGTGGGTGTGTGAATGTGGTATTGTGTGTATGGTGGTGTGTGCGCACGTCCGCCATGTAATTGAAAAAAAGAAGATATATGCAACTCCCATAAAAATATCGATATATCAATGGAACACTTCACATTTTTTAGATTATTTGTTAGTTAACTGATATTCCCGTAAAAACAATCATTTTTTAACAGATATGCAGGGCGATATCTTACTTTGGGCTAGAGGGAGGCTCATTGCCTTCCTCCTCCTCCGGTCCCTGGCCTATTCTTCTTTCTCTACCTCATCTTCCTCTTCCCTCTCTCCTTGTTCTCTATATATGGTGATATTCAGCGTGGGTATGCATCGGACCCTGGATCTGCCCCGGACTACAGTCAATGCACATGTTGGATACGACGATATAGCCATCATATCCAACTTAAAGTTTATTTTGCTTTTCTCTTTAATTAATTTGGTGCGACAACGACATTACACTAAGTCTGAAATTGGTGGATTTTGCCGGTCTCACTACCTTTCTCCCTACCGGTATGTATGTGTGCACTACTATTACCACACAATATAATGTACGATCATTAATTATTTGTAACTATATATGCAACAGATAGATGCTGATGAGATGCAGGTCTCTTTCGTGCATGTCGTCTAAAGTGATTACAAGTAAAGAAAGAATCTCTAAGTGGATACTATGAAATGTCTATATAGTAGGGTGAAATGGATCAAATTAATCCCCCGGCCTCTAGCTACTAAGGCTACAGGTGCAGTGTTTCAGAGCAAGGTTAATAGTATAGCCCACTACTAACTTCAATTCATCTATAGCTAATTTATACAATAGTTGATTACTATACTATAAATATATGGTCCCACCTGTCATACACACACTGCGTTTTGGAGTTCGTGCTGCAACTGGCTACAAATCTGTAGCCTGCTGCTCTTCTCTCTCATCTTTTATCTTATTAAAATATGTTTATAGCTGGCTAATAGTCTGCTATTGTACCTGCTCTCACAGGTTCCATTAATAGCCAATTGCAAGGTAATTATCATTAGTCTAGATGAGCTGCATAACTAGCCTACGACCAGGCCTGGACATGCATGATCGATGCATGGCACAACGTTGCAAATATGAGTAGTATTTGGTATTTCAGGTTATAAAATATTTTTGATTTTGGTCAAAGTCAAACTGCTTTAAGTTTAACAAGTTTGTAGAATAGTAACATTTACAACCGAAGACAAATTTATTATGAAAATATATTCAATTACTGATTTGATGAAACTAATTTAGTATTATAAATATTATTAATTTGTTTATAAACTTAGTCAAACTTAAAACAGTTTGACTTTGACCAAAGTCAAAATGTCTTACAACTTGAAACAGGGGGATATTATTTTCAGGGGTGGGGGTGGGGGGAGGAAGAAGGGATTGCCGCATGTGGGGTCTAACACCATGTTGTCCATTTTGTTTTCATGTATGTGCCACTTCAGACCGAAACCGCCATGTACTTATTAAGAGTTAAGATATGAGAGTAGTTCATACGGTTTCAAAAATTCACAAGTGTTAAATGTCTGGTGTTAATGTAGTAGTTGAGGAGTAAATCATGCTTTTTTAGGATCACAATTAACTGTACATGTACAATCTTCCCTACTACTGCAAATGTTCTATATATCCTCCCTCCGTTTCTAAATATTTGATGCTTTCAAAATTTTAAAATATGTTTGACCGTTCGTCTTATTCAAAAAATTAAGTAATTATTAATTCTTCTCATATCATTTGATTTAAGTAATTATTAATTCTTCTCCTATCATTTGATTTAAGTAATTATTAATTCTTCTCCTATCATTTCATTCATTGTTAAATATACTTATATGTATACATATAGTTTTATATATTTCACAAAAGTTTTTGAATAAGACGAACGATCAAACATGTGCTAAAAAGTAAATGGTGTCAAATATTTAGAAACGGAGGGAGTATATATGACCGCAAAAATGTATATGTGTGTTTGTATTATTTGTAAGATTTTTTTAAAAAAATAACTACTGCATAGAGTATATGCATATACATGGTGAATGGTTAGATATGTAAGTGGTAAGTTCAATAATTACATCCTCAAAATATTTTATGTTTTTACTGTAAGATTTGGTTAAAAATTATCCTTAACCGTCAATAAATTATCAAATGTCTAATTTAAAAATAAACAAGATAAACTTGTGTTAAATTTGTATAATAGTAATATACAAATTTGTTAGTTGGAATTAATTATAAATTTTTGACAGAATCTTGTGTTAGACGTTAAATATTTATAAACCAGCCAAATGAGGTAATAGCGAATAATTATATCTAAGGCATATATGAGATATTTAGTTGAGTCCATTACAAAGAATTTAAGGAACATAGTGAGAAAAAGTAAAAACGGTACTATATATATAATATTGTGTTTATATTTGGGACGGAGGGAGCAAGTAGCTAGCCTCTTAAATAAGTATCATCCTAGTGGGGGAGTACCATCTATCTATCGATCTTCTTCCACACGCGCGTACGTGTGTGTTGGTCGTCTCAAGGTTAGTTATTGAAACGTATGTCTTATATTACTAATTTGTTTCATCCCCGTTGTATATGCTATATATGTTTTTCTTATCTTATGTAGTATATGTAATTAAAATAAATAGGAGAAGAATTAAGCTGGTTAATTATTTTTTCTGGCTGGTATATGCATAATAGTAATATATAGAAGAGATTGTGTTGCAGGGTATATATAGCAAATTAATAATAGATAGATCGATCGATCGAGTGGAGACGATGTTGCCGAGAAGCCGAACGCTCCCGCCAAGGATTCATGATGGCGTCGTGGTGGTAAGCAAGCACAGATGTTGCAGTGTTGGTAATGGAGCATATTGATAGATGCTAGCTGCATGCGCGCGCGCGCGGGGTGATCGATATATGATATGATGGATGCTGCAGGTAGAACGCGATGTGAGGAGGTACCAGCAGCTGCCGCAGCAGGTGGAGATGGAGATGACGACGACCAAGAGGCAGCAGGATCATCAGGTGGAGACGATGACGACGAAGAAGATTGATGAAGAAGATGAAGAGGTGGACGACGACGGTCGGGCGAAGCGGAGGGGGACGGTGTGGACGGCGGCGTCGCACATCATCACGGCGGTGATCGGGTCAGGTGTGCTGTCGCTGGCGTGGGCGATCGCGCAGCTGGGCTGGGTGGTGGGCCCCACCGTCATGCTCCTCTTTGCTGCCGTCATCTACTTCACCTCCAACCTCCTCGCCGACTGCTACCGCACCGGCGACCCCGCCACCGGCAGAAGGAACTACACCTACATGGACGCCGTCAAGGCCAACCTCGGTCGGTCGATCTAGCTCCTTGGATCTTGCATAGTACTAGTATATACACTACACAGATCGAGATATCTGATCCATCAATATATCGATGTGCAGGCGGTGCCAAGGTGAAGGTTTGCGGATGCATTCAGTACCTCAACCTTTTGGGAGTGGCCATCGGTTACACCATCGCCGCCTCCATTAGCATGATGTATGTGCGTAGTTGTTATATTTTGGGAGAAAGAGAGAGAGAGAGAGAGAGTAATAATAATTAATGGAAGAAATGCATGGTATAAATATGCAGGGCGATCCAGCGTTCCAACTGCTTCCACGCGAGAGGAGAGCAGGATCCATGCCACGCCTCCAGCAACGTGTACATGATCATGTTCGGCATCGTCCAGGTGTTCTTCTCCCAGATCCCCGACTTCGACCAAGTCTGGTGGCTCTCCATCCTCGCCGCCGTCATGTCCTTCACCTACTCCGCCGTCGGCCTCGCCCTCGGCGCCGCCCAGGTCGCCCAGAACCGCACGTTCGCCGGCAGCGCCATGGGCGTCGCCGTGGGCTTCGTCACCAAGACCGGCGACGTCGTCACCCCCGCGCAGAAGGTGTGGCGCAACCTGCAGGCGCTGGGGGACATCGCCTTCGCCTACTCCTACTCCATCATCCTCATCGAGATCCAGGACACGCTGCGGTCGCCGCCGGCGGAGGCGAGGACGATGCGGAAGGCGACGGGGATCAGCGTGGTGGTGACGAGCGTGTTCTACCTGCTGTGCGGATGCATGGGGTACGCGGCGTTCGGCGACGACGCGCCGGGGAACCTCCTCACCGGCTTCGGCTTCTACAAGCCCTACTGGCTGCTGGACGTGGCCAACATGGCGATCGTGGTACACCTGGTGGGGGCGTACCAGGTGTACTGCCAGCCGCTCTTCGCCTTCGTGGAGAGGAGGGCGGAGCGGCGGTGGCCCAACGGCCTCCCCGGCGGCGACTACGACCTGGGGTGGATAAAGGTGAGCGTGTTCAGGTTGGCGTGGCGGACGTGCTTCGTGGCGGTGACGACGGTGGTGGCGATGCTGCTGCCCTTCTTCAACGACGTGGTGGGCATCCTGGGGGCGCTCGGCTTCTGGCCGCTCACCGTCTACTTCCCCGTCGAGATGTACATCGCCCACCGCCGCATCCGGAGGTGGACAACCACCTGGGTCGGCCTGCAGGCGCTCAGCCTCGCCTGCCTTCTCGTCTCGCTCGCCGCCGCCGTCGGCTCCATCGCCGGCGTCCTGCTCGACCTCAAGTCCTACCGTCCATTCCGCTCCACCTACTAATTAACGATCGATGATTGTGCTACTAGAAAGGAAATAGGTATCCGATGTATCATGAGCTTGGGCTGGCCATAACGATGCAATATTAATAAGGCCTCAACCCACAAGATGCAACGATGGTTTCAATTATAAGGTTGGGCTAGACACGGTTCATCCACATATACTAGCTTTCAATTACTAAGTATTCTTATTTTCTTATTGAAAGTCGCTTGCTTTTTTTACACGACAATGCATCACATCAACAAAACATACTACTAGTTGAAACCTCATGTTTTACTGCGGAATTTGAGGTGAACACTCGTCTTATGGGAAGATTTATAGAACAAACCTACAAAGGGATTCACAATAAGGACATACGATTTACATCACATTAAACCACTAAATAAGTAGAAACTAGGATAAAATGTAGAATTGGACAACATGAAAAGTCAAAAACAGATCGATCAAGTGTTTGACTCGGAAAGATCGATGGGTTCGTGGGGCGCGGCATATATTAGTCTATGGCTTCATGCCAGTAGTTTGCACACATCCCGTACGTTCGAGATCAGGCCATGGCCCACGGGAGTGCGTGGGACATGGAGTACATAATGAAAGGTACGGTGGCCCAAACTCGATCGGAGAAGGCACGTACGCTTCCGGCTACACGATCGAGCGGCGGGACGCGGGATGATGCAATGCACGACGCGAAACATATATATATATATATATATATATATATATATATATATATATATATATATATATATATATATATATATATATATATATGTATATATATATCGGTGGATGAAAAAAAGGTCAACGGCGTCATACATTAAAATATGGAGGTAATAGTAGCTAGAGATAGAAATTTTGACATAAATAAATAAATTTGTCCTATTGCCAATTCTAATTGTCAACAATATGTTGTCAAATATCTTCCGAAATGCCATGGATATGCAAGAAAAGTATGCTGTACGTAATACACCAGGACTAGATCAGGTTCTTTAATTTTACAATTAATTAAATGCGTGGAATTCTCCGTTATTAGAAAATAAAAGACGATGAACTTCCTGCCTGCCATGATATGAGATAATGAAGTCACATCTCTCAACAGAGATGATCGATCGATCGAGTGCTCCTAGCTTGCCCGCAGCCAGCACAGAAAATCAGCGCTAGCTTAATTAGCTAGCTATACGTGGATGATATCATCCATTGCATCATGCATTCATCTTCAATCACACTTAATTAGTGCCTTCATCTCTTTCTTTCTAGAGACGCAATTTTAAATTAAAAATCGGTCTCCGTACGTACGTCGTCCGTCGATCGATGCCTAATTGAGCACGCCTTAAGGTAAGACAAGCACCAATAAGGAAAATATTATCCCTTGTGTGTCAACTACTAACAGAGAACAAAACGTTCTCTGTTGATGTGTCAATCGATCCATGCATGTTGCTTAAGCCAATTAAGACAAATTGCCAAAAAAGAAAATTAAGACTTTGCTTGTCCCCCTCATGACAACCCTTAATTAAGGTGCACTTTGATATAGTTTATACATGATACTGGAAGGACAGACAAAAGTAATGTTCCTTGCAATCAAAGGTTATTTCCTGATACATTTACAACATAAATTATCCTTTCAACTACATAATCCAGGAAACAAGTTTGATTAAATTGTCTAACATTATACATAATATTTTCGAGCATTGCTCCGGTCCAGCATATTGTACCTCGAGGTACCAATTTAAATCTGGCCGTTCATTCACGGAGGGTAAGATAGAAAATATCACACGCTAAGCAGCTCGTGATGCTCCTTCTCTCTGACTGAGTGACTGTGTCAACGAAGACTCCAAGAGCAACTGAGCAAGTCCAAACCAAGAGCAAGGGCGTGGTGGGAGCGGGACGAGGGGTGGTCGGCGCCGGTGGTGCCGGAGGCGTTGGCGGCGGGGTGTTGGACGGCGGCGCGTTGGGCGCCGGCGGTGTCTGCACGGCGGCGAGGTAACGAGGAGCAGGAGGGGTGGTCGGCGCCGGTGGTGTTGGACAGCGGCGCCTGCGTCGGAGGCTGCTACGCGGCGGCGGAGGCGACGAGGACCTGCGTCAGTTGTCGATGTGCTCGAATCCGGTAGCGATAGGGGAAGGGCCGCGGTAGGCGTATGTCACCGGCGAGCTTGGGGGAAGTGATGCACGGAGGCTCGTCGGCCCCCTCCACCTCCACTCCGGTTAGCCTGTCCATCCCTGGTGAGAGCCATCGATCAATGCAGGCATGCAGCATCTTTTGGAGAGAGAAAAGACAGGAGGAAGATGAAGAAGATACATGCGAAATTACTTAACTACCCTTGCTTCTTTAGTACCTCTCTATGCTCTGTAAAATCACGTGGACAATACTACTAGGTACAACTCTTTCTCACCCGTTGGATCAAACGAAATCGATGGCTCAAATTGCATGTACCGGTAGGTACCAAGGTACCTGCTGGACAGTAAAAATTATCAATATTTTCATGTGTTCCAACTCTTAATGTATGATGCTATCACATAAACAACATGTCTTTTATACCGGTTTGGGTGGCGTAGTACCTACGTAATTTATGCTAAAATCTATGTGATTTTAGAAATGACATTTCAATTCATCTATTTATTAGCGGGAGTTGGGGATATGCCCCCATCACCTTTTTTTTATGTCTTTCTTCTTACTTTAAGATTTTTTTTTACTATGTACCCATTGGTAGAACTAGAGATGTAATCCATTTCTATTAAACTTTAATTAAATTAGAGTGACTTCTTCAATAAAGGATCTTTATCAGGAGGGGACGATCTCAAGTAGCTGCCTTTTTTTTTTCTTTTTAAGAGAACGCTATAAAATTGATCATATATTGAAGGACGAAACAAATAATCCACGATAATATAATCAGATAATTAAAAGGATCAGATGGACAGAGGGAGAGAGCCAAACATAGAGGGGCGGGTTAATCAGGAGGTAAGAACAAGTGGAGAAGACAAGGATAAGAGATGAGAAGAGCAATGAGCTATGTATCAATAAAATAATTGATGACCTGGCAGCTTAGCTTAATTAGTGCAGCTGGAACTGATAGGCGCGCGATTGATAGCTTATAAATCGAAGGAGGGGGAAGGCCTCATCTCCGTGCATCTCGCTACCTAACCTAGCTAACCTCCTCTCTTCTTCTTCTTCTTCTTCTTCTTCTTCTTCTTCTTCTTCTTCTTCTTCTTCTTCTTCTTCTAGGCTAGCACTGCACGTGCCCAACTAACACATACATTCATCATATATACACCTCCTCCTCCTTCTTCCTCTAAGTTGTGTGTGCATATATAATCTACTAGTAGAGAGCAGGGCTAGGCTAGCAATTGCAATGGCGCCTCCCTATGAAACCAGGTCAGTCAGATCAGAATTATATATATTTATGTACTAATTCATGACCTGCTAGCAACTAGATAGTAAAAGAGTTATAATCTATATATATGAAGAAATTGAAATCTCGGTATATATGTATCTGCCTTAATGCATGCAGCGCCGCCGGCTCTGAATCGCCGGTGCCGGTGGTAACGGTGGATGTGGCGGCGGCGAGCGACCTTATCACCTCGGCCGGCCACCGTTACGTCGACGTCAGGTACTACTACCTATCTGTCTGTCTGTCTTTGCATCCTCCCCTAGCTATATCTATCGATATCATGTAGGAGTATATGAATATCAGGATATATATGATCCATCCTTAATTAATTTCTTCATGCATGAGCAACGAGAGCATATATATATACCTCCTAATTAATTTGTTGGAGAAATGAAATTACAGCACATGCATGACTATGTGTGCTGGTATCTTCGTCTGATTGATAGAGCAATTAAACATGATTATGCAGGACAGAGGAGGAAATGAACAAGGGCCATCTACACAACTCCCTCAACGTGCCCTTCATGTTCGTCACGCCGCAAGGCAAGTCAGCCAGCCGATTAATTCACTTTAATCTGTCCAGATTTTTACACCATTTTTCATCGTCGTCCAAATAACTAGCGTAATCAATATATATACTCTTATGATTCAATACTAGTACTTTAAGAATTTGGAACAAGAAATTCTGTCTACACATATCGATCTCGTTCTCGCTCAAACATATCCATCCACTCCTATCATTTTCATGAATAGTAATTTCCCACTACAAAACGATATACTACTATATGCATGATGCTTCTGGTTGTTGGGTTGTGTCTGTACCTGGGCATGTTGAGCATCTGATTTATGAACGTGGACGTGTGCTCGTCCAGGTACATACGGGGGGAGTAATTAACAAGCATGATTATATTTATGAGCGTTATTATCATCCATGTTGCAGGGAGGGAAAAGAATCCTCTGTTTGTGGAGCAGTTCTCGTCGCTGGTGAGCAAAGAGGAGCATGTGGTTGTGGTACGATACGAATTAAAATTAAAATTCCCCAAAAAAATATTTATTTGACAAGAAATAATATATGTGCTCGATCTAATTGACGAACCTTGTAATAAAAATAAACAATCCAACTATTAGGGGTGCCAAAGCGGGAAGAGGTCGGAGCTAGCATGCGTTGATCTCCTTGAAGCAGTAAGTTTGATGTTTTTAATCAAACACGTACTAGTTGCACTTGTACTTGATCGACCATCATCTCTCTCTACGTTTCTCATTGCCTTGTTGATGGCTCTGTCTCTTGTTCCCTGTTTACTTCCCACACACAAAAAAAAAATTACACCATATCACATAGAACATTTGAACACATACATACATGATTAAATATAGGCTAAAAAAACAACTAATTACGCAGATTGTGACTAATTTGCGAGACAAATCTTTTAAACTTAATTTCTCCATGATTTCACAATGTGGGCTACAATAAACATTTGCTAATGATGGGTTAAATAGGCTAAATTCGTCTCACGGTTTACTGACGTATTCTATAATTAGTTTTTTTATTAGTGCCCAAACACCCATGCGATACCTTTTATAATACCCGATGTGACACGCCAAAACTTTACACATTTGAATCTAAACACTCCCTTAATATACATACAGTGAAACAAATAAAGTAAAGGAAGACGGGACAGGTCATGATTCATACTCCTCGTCTAAAAAAATGAATATATAACTGGATGTAACATATTGTAGTATAACGAATCTGAACAACGATATATTCAGATTCATAATATTAAAATGTTTCACATCCAGTTTTAGATTGATTTTTTATAGAATAGATTGGTTTTTTATGGAACGGAGGGAGAGTACGAGTGAGTTGTAACATGACTGACATACAGTATATATGTATCTGCAACAGGGGTTCAAGAACGTGAAGAACATGGGAGGAGGCTACGCAGCGTGGCTCGACAATGGATTCCCCATAAACACTCCTCCTCATACAATGTATTAACGCTTTGCAGCACCGATGAGATGAGCGAGTGATAAACACGGACTCTACTGTATCTACTGTATCTCATTCCAACCCCTCTTCTCATCTGCCTGCTAGCCGCTGCTTCGTGTGCCCTGCCATGTATATGTATGTGCGTCCTGTTTTCCTGTTTGTTACTACTGGTATTATGGAGGCAGCCAATTGAATAAAATTGATCATCATGCATGCAATGCACGATGCGTCTGCAAATCTCCGGGATGACATCAATCAACCAAGTAGCTACACATGTTCAAGGACTTTATTATCTCTAAATCAGCATATTGTGGCCGGTTTGCCAATCCACCATAACAGTAGGCGTGAGGCAGAGCCTCTGGTTACAAATCCAAACGAACGACTCATACCAAAGGGGCAGGCCACCTTATGCAAGAATCATCAATCAAACGTTTGCTTCTCTTGCCATCTGCTATGTGCTGCGCCGTTGGCACTAAAGCATTGATTGATCGATCACCTCAAAAATTACAGTCTCACATCTCAGACTGCCGGTTGCAGGGCAAAGTGTAGAGAAACCAACATCCAAACAAATGAAGACCACACATCACACGGTTAGATGTGCAATTAGCTCTTTCTTTGGACGTCCATCGCCACAGCCAGATGGCGAGCTCCACAGGACAAACAAATTGATGACTACAATAAGTATGACTCAACCACGGTCCGCCCAAACTTCTGCTCAACATCCTTTGGCGTTTCAATCTGCAAACAAAGCAACATGACAAATCATTTCTCTACTTGAAAAAAAAAAATAAAGGAAGAAATAAATATTGCCCAAATGTTGCAATGAGAAGCTAAATATATTTCGAGTAACGGGCACTCACGGCGTTTAATGCTATGAAGAGAGCTTTGATAACATTCAGGGGGTTCCTTGAACCAATAATCTGCAAGTAAAAGACAGAAAATTACTACTATCTTTCAAGCACGGATGGAGTGATAACTGGTTGCCTATCTAGAAGAAGTGCACCTTTGACTTGACGTTGCTGAAACCAGCTAAATACAGTACTGTTTCAACCGTCCTACCAGCAGCAGACATTCCACTTCTCATTGGTCCAGGCCAGAGGTATATCTTAACATACACAAGCAGCAACCATGTCCACATAAGTTGCAGCAAAACCACAGATAAATAAGAAGAGCGCTAAGATACACAGATGTGTTTTTACCTTTGTCTTCTCATATTTGGCCTGAATTGCATGAGCAATTGTGTGGTCCTCATATCGCTCCATGTAATGGAGGTCCTGGAAGCATTTCTCATAAGCCTGCAAACGAAAAAAAAAATCAATAAAGGTATTGGATGCCAGCAAGAGGCATAAATTAGCTCAGGTATTAGTCTAATCAGATGTCCAAACCCGCAATTGAGGATCCTCGACGACAATATATAAGAGGAAGCTACTGGTATAGGGCCATAAGAAAAAAAAAACTCTACTGCATCTAGTAATAAATCCTGCATTAACAAGGATATAAATGAAAAAGGTTCTGAAATGAGAAAAAAGGCATATGCAGTGCACATAGGTTAGCACCACAATCACTGCACAAACATCCCAAAAGAAAAGGTGAACAAGCCAACAATGAAATGGATAACACATCAGCGACTATTCTTTGCGCGCTGAATGAGAAGGCAATCATAAAGTCGCACCGACTACAAGAAAAGGCTCTACCAAACAAGTTGTAGACGTGGCACTGAAACGTAAGTTGAATAAGAAAGATCCATACCCTTTGAATTGCAATCTTGGCTGTCGGACCTCTAGCTTTTGCAAATCCTACAACACCATGGTAGTTTCCAGTCGCTAACAATGCTGTGAATTTTGCTATTTGGCCTCCCTGAGACGTGAAATGCATAATTGGGTAATGGGTCAGACAAAAGGGTATTACTAGTAGGCGTGATCATTTGAATTCGAACTAAGAGAATTCACCTTTGTGACTTTACACGTCCGATTAACATCAATGACCTTGACGTCAAAACCCTGTAAAGTGCACAAGATTTGTAACTAGGTAATACCAATAACAACAAGTGAAAGCAATGTAACCACAGGATAGGGTGCTGGCCAATCCAATGAAAGCTCGGAGATGAACATCACTTACTTTCCTGTACATAGGTCTCCTCTTATGCTCCGTGAGGGAGTTGCGCTCTTCAACAAGATCCTTAATTTCCTCCTCTAGAACTCTGCCCTTCTTACCAAACGTATGATCTAACTCAGCTAATTTCTCCTCGATCTTCTTTTCGATAGAATTCAACTTCTCTATGAGCAGATCATCCTTCTCCTTGTCTTCATTGAATTCCTCGTCGTCGTCGTCGTCACCAGCCCCTTGGATCATCTGCTTCTCCCTGTCAAAGCCAGCATTGAGCACAAGATCCTCCGGAGAGCCGACCTGCTGGTGTTGGATGACCCCGAAATTGGAGGGGTTGCTGGGATCGTATGCTTCCCTGCATTCCATGATTCTAACAGCTCGGTTAAGCTTCTGGAGGAGAAGAAAGCGGTCCTTGCCGGTGGCATCTTTGAGGCGGTTCATCATGTCGCCGATGACTCTGTACTCCAGTGGAAGCTTCAAATGGCGCTCCTCGAATCTGTCGATCTTGGTCATCCATTTGTGGGCATCGTCAAGGGTTTCTGGCAACAGCGGGAGGTGTTTGAAGTGGGCATTGGCGAAGGAAGGAAGGAAGGAAGGAAGAGGGGAATGGGCTTTACCGGCTTCGGCGAAGGAGCGTAGGAGTTCGGAGTGGCGGTTGCACTTGCGCTCGAACTCGTCGACGCGGCGCTTGATGGCGTCAGGGGTGTAGCGCTCGTCCTCCTCGTCACTGTCGGAGTCGGTGGGCTCCCAGAAGGAATCGTCCGGCGCGGCCTCCTCCTTGGCCCTGCGGCGCTCGAGCTTCTCGATGAGCGGCTTGACGCCCAGGTAGTCCTCATCCTCACCCTCATCCTCATCCTCCTCCTGGCGGTCCCGCTGGCGCTCTCGCTGGAGCTCGGCGAAGAGGTCGTGGATGACCCGCTCGCTCTGGATCTGCTTGAGCCTAGAGCTGCCGGAGGAGGCGTTGGCGGAGAAGGCGAAGTGGCGGCGAGGGGAGGCGATCCGCAGGGTTAGATGGTGGGTGGAGGATACGGGAGGGCTGGGGCGCAGGGAGAGGAGGCGCGCCCACGCGGCGGAGGCGGCGGCGCGGGACCGGGCGGCGGCGGAGGAGGCCATGAACCTCCCGGCGGCGGAGGAGGAGAAGGGTTTTGGTAGCCAAGTGACTACTGGACCTTCCGGACTATACTGACTTGTGTGTCGGCCTGCCCCCATCTACATTTCTTAGTGGCCCATCTATCTATCTATCTATCTATCTACGAATAAGTTCATTTAAGGTCCTTTAACTTGACAGCGCGTTCGATTTTATCCTTGAACAAAAAAAAAATCAGATACAACGGGTCCCTCAATTATCAAAATCGGTACAATATAGGTCCCACGACAGTATATCGGGTGGTTTTGTCCGCCGTTGCAATCTAAGTCAGCGTGCGCCCAACATGTCAGGGCTCCCCTCACCCGTTATTCTCTCTTTCTCTCTACCCTTTCCCCCTTCCTTTTCCTAGTCTAATACTCCAATACCATCAATGATGAAGCAGGGTTAAGGATACCTGTTGGGAGGGTGGGGGATGAACATCGGCATTGGCACAGCCCCTCTTCCCTATCTTTCGTTTCCAACGGCTGTAGGATAGAGGTAGCTAGCGGTGGTAGAGGCGGGACACGACGAGGTGGTAGTAGTGATAGCCGATGAGGAGCAAAGGGAGACCAAGGCCCGCGACAGTGGTGTCGACATCTTCCTTGCAACTGACATTGTCGTCGTTGGCTCGTCTTGTCACCATCTCCCTCCGACGCAATGGTGCAACCCCATATTCGCATCGCCGTTACATCAGCCACACGAAGGAGGAGGATGAAGGGAGCTCACCAGCGATGAGGAGCAGCGAGAATGAGGACGGGCGAAGGAGGAGCTGCTGGAGGCCTGGAGCGAGGTGACCTAGTAGGCAAGCAGTGGTGGCAGCGGGCGTCGGGACAGGGCGCAACGGTCCATGGATGTCAATTGTCGTCCTCCTCACCATTGGTCTTCTCTAGTGACGCTTTCACCACCTCCACCGATGCTAACCCTAACGCTGGTGCTGCCATCCCCACCTCTACCGATGAACATGCCACCCCCTCTGCCCATCACATGTGAGCCTACCACCACCACCCTTGACGTCATAGTCGGCCTCCTCCAGCTCCAAGTCCCCCCAACAACTGGACCGTGCTGGCCAATGAGATGTGAACAAGGGGAGGAAGAGAGAGAGAGAGGTGAAGAGAGCCCTGAATACGGGTCCCACACTAACTCACACGCTGTTGACTCAGGTTAAATTGTCACGTCGGACAAAACCATCAATTATACTGTCGTGGGATGTATATTTGTTAACAGTGAAATTTGGTAAGCCCGGAGTAATCATCGGCTTAGAGTCAGCATCGTCTTCGAAGTCCTGAGATTAGCCGATGAGAGTTGCCAAGTCGTCAGTTGTCGAATTCTTGCTATATTCAGTTAAGGAAATTGATCTACTAAAGGAAGCTTATCCAGAAGAGACCGAGTTCAAAGAGAATACGGCACGACAAGTTATCTATTAATTAGGAATAGTTTATTAGTTTCCTTTTATCTTTAGGAAAGTGTGTTTAGTGTTCTATAAGGACTTTATCTTTTCCTTTTATCTTTAGGAAAGTTTCTTTCTTGTCCGACAAGGATTTGTATCAATCCATGGGTATAAATATGTACACCCGGGGTCTATGTAATTTATCTTCACGATCAATACAATTCGGCGCATCGCCACCTTTTACCTTTTCTACTTTATTTTATCGTCCGGCGGGACTTGGCACCTGACGCGGGGCTGCATCGGTGTTCGATCTCCAGAGAAGGGGTAAGTCCAATGTTCCGTCGGCCCAGGCAATTGTCTCATCTACATCGGCGTCGTTCAAGGCTGCATTAGTACATTCGACCTCTTGGATTGCTCTGGTTTGGATGATATATTTGCTTACCTATTTATCATATGTCTCTGTTAATCTAGTCTTAGCATATCAATTTAGCTCTATCGGCTGCTTCTCGTTTTAGGGTTTCTGCCGGTATCGGCTAAATCTTCATGCTAGATTAGATTAGCTTAGACATCTACCACCCTGAAAATTCAGTCGACGGCTTGATTGTCTAGATATTGTGTTTCTTTTCATACTTAGTGCTGCATCAGTTAAGTTTGATCTACTAAGTCGTGCTTAGAACCATAATCTCTAGCCTGCCTTTGACTGCCAATAAGGGTTTCATCGGGGTTTCAGCCGATGAGTTATCTAGGCGTTGCATCGACTCATAAGGATTGCATATACATATAAGTTGGATTTAGCCGATGACAACAAATGTTTCACTGTTTAATCTAATATTGTGGATTTCATGACATCGGACCTCCAGCCGATGTGTGCTTTAACCTTCGGATCAATGCCTATTTATCATATCATTATTTACCGATTGGTTTATACTAGATTATATTGTTATTTTATTACATCATCATCAGCCGATTGCCTTTATATCATCATCTACATTGGACATATAGCCGATTGCTTAAACCCTATCTCTATCGGCTGGTATAGGCATCGGCTATTATCGTCTATCGGCTGGAACTACTCCATCGGCTTGTCATCCGATCGACTGTTTTGATCTACTATTTGCATATCTTGTCAGTTGCAGGATCAAACTGACTGGCACGCCCGCATCTCACCAATCTTTGGACCTGCACAAGAGCTAAGCAGATCTCCTAGGCCGGTGTGTTCGATTTTTTCGTCAACAATATTACACCGGTTATGACGGTTGAGTGATCCGTTATATCTGTTTTTTTTTTTCTGTTAAAGGATGACATCAGACTCGTTGTCAAGTTAAGGGACCTATAATGAACTTATTTCATCTATGTATCACATATAGAATATGATTGGGGTCCAGCCCAAGAGAGTCCGACAGATAGCGAGGAGGAGGAGGAGATTAGTGTCTACAAAAGAGAAGGAAGGAAGGAGAGGCGGAGAGGAAAGAGAAAGAGGATCGTCTCGGCTCGTCGTCTTCTAGCTAGGGTTCGTAAGTTCTAGGGTTTGCGATGATCCCCAACTCCTCCTCCCTCTAGTATTTCGAGCGAATTCTCCAACACTTTCACCCAGCCGCGCGCGAGAGGAGAAGGAAGATAGATAGATAGATCGCTCCGCACATACTATGGTGCTCACCCCATCGCCGTCTCCACCGCCGATGCTCCCCAAGAAGCTCCGCGCGCTCGGTCCAGGCTTGAATCCCTTTGCTCCCTTCGGCATGGGTAACTACTATTCCTCCTCTCGCTAATATATTTCTCCTCGCTCGATCCATCTTCCCCCACCTCCCCCCTTCTCAAACAATTAATCCCCTTCCCGATTCGATTCGATTCGGTTCGGTTCGCTTTCGGACTCGGTTTCAATTTCGATTCTCCCTCCGTCGTCGCGGCCCTATTCTAGCCGCCCCCTCCCCTCCGCTCGATTGCCTGCCTCCGGATGGTGCAATTCCGCAGCTCTCTCAGCATGAGCCGGGCACGGACCCGCCACGGCGATGGCGACGACCGCGGCTGGAACCAGCTCCACGTCGCCTCCCGCAAGGGCGACCTCAACCAGGTAATCCTCACGTTGTCATCTCTTACGTTTTACTAACTGCTCTATTATAATTATATTATGCATTGGCTTATTTTCTCCACGCAGCACCACCACCATCGTAATGCTTCTTTAAAGATAACGCATACTCTTCTACTACATAGATTATAACAGTACTGAATGATTATAGAGGAGGGTTAACAACAACTCATAATTTGAATCAAACAACAAGGAATGTAACCATCTCTGCAAATAGTAATAAAGGATAAATACTACGAGTAGTAAATTATCATTAGTCGCCAAATAAATTAGCCTTCATGTCATCACCATTGAAACAATAAATTTGATTTTTCTTTTTTTTCTTCCTAAGGTGAGGCGTCTCCTGGATGATGGCATGGATGTCAATGCACCTGCATGGGGGCCAAAATCACCTGGCGCTACCCCCCTGCATTTGGCTGCTCAGGGTGGACATGTTAAAATCATGGACGAGCTACTGGAGCGGGGTGCAAATATTGATGCTCGCACAAAAGGAGCTTGTGGATGTAAGCTCAAATGTTTCTTCCCAGTCATTGCATGCATTTTCATGCTTCTAGAGCTTGCCTATTCTCTTTTATTTACGATTGGTCTGAGAGCAGTTTCTATTTATTATTATTACATATAAAGAAGGTTTCATGCCCCCCCTTGTTTTCAGTCCTCTGTTGAGCAGATTACTTCTATATTCACTACTGCTGCTTGATTGCACACCCCATCTAGTTTAGTGGATTGACTTGTTTTTATTCAATCATTATAGGAGACCATATCCTTGAATGAAAGCTACTCCATGTTTCATATACTCAGAAGTTTCTGATGTCTTGCTCATTAGATCGAAACGTACAAGTAACTTTCTCATGAATGGTGTATGTCTTCATTTAATACCTGCAATGTTGTACTATGCAAATTGCAAATACCGTAATGTTCTGGATGAAATTATTTATTTGCTCAGTTTTCTGTTCCCAACTTCTCCAGTGGTTTTAAATTTATTAAAACACCTTGTACACTCAAAGAGGAGGTCACTTTACCTCCGGAATCTTACATTTTCCTCGTTTGGTGGAATCAGGGACCCCTCTACATATTGCTGCTAAGGAAAGGAACAAAAGAGCTGTCAGGTTTCTGATTGAGAATGGTGCATTCTTGCCACCTGACATGAATGACCACAGGTTCAATCCTCCTCTCCATTACTGCTCTGGATTGGAATGGGCATATGAGATGAAGCGCATGCAAGACGAAAGTGATTCGACCGGTGAAACTTCTCTGGGCTCGGAGAGCTAGAGGAAAGCAATCTCCTCAGTCTGGCAAAGAGGTCAATCTTGGATCAACAGAGTTTGTAAACATCAAGGGTCACGTTTACTTTGTGAAATTGGAACGAATTACCATGTGAATCTTACATGCGACATGGTACTAGCATGCATTGCGATGTTGTTGTGGGGTTACTTGTGTTTTCGATAATTGCATTGTGTTCTTACTACACTGGTAGCATGTATTCTACTACACATTCTTAATATCAGAATCAATATCCGGTTTGCGTCCTATGACAGTATGCAATGTGTTTCTTTTTTGATGTTGTTGCTCTTACTAAGAAATAGGATGTGTTGACGCTTATCACCGGAGGTTCTACTACTTTGGCTGCAAGGTCGATGGAGCCACATACGATACGAATTTACGCTCATCGTCAATTCATCATCATTAAAAAGAAAAAAAATCAGCAATAGCACAGTAGCAGCAATATTCATTCATATCAACGGGCAGCAGGGTACAGTGGATTAATAACGAAACAAGTCAAGAGTCACTAGTCTACATACATGAAAACGCTGCCCCACCTATGAAAACTTGAGCCGAGCTACTAAAGTTCGCTGCAATACATCATGCTTACGAGTTAACACCACCGGCATGCATCCATCCATTCTGCACACAGGCAAACTAAACTGGATGGAGGTACATAAGCTTAGCTCACATGCACTCTGGCTGCTGAACCAACGTTTTGGATGATGAACACAAAGACTCCCTGGACTTCCTCCATATCATAACAGCATACAATGAGCTGCCCGTAAATCTACCGCCTCACAGGAGGTGCACCACCCCGTCCAACTGGACCACCACCACGACCAGCAGCAGCCTGCATCAATTGGAGGTCAAAAGATTAAATGTTGCGACAAACAGAGCACACATCAAAAAACAGCCTTGAAGGCCAGTTAGTACATGTGCATAACCTTACGCTAAATACTTAAAGGTTTGTGTAATTTAAATATAGATGCTTCAAGGTGATAGATGAAGGGAAAGTATTAACAGAGAGAAGATTAACTTTGTACTTGTTAACAGTTGACATAATATTTGTCAGCTTAATTTCAGAATCACGGCATAACGCAATTTATATTGTCTTTAGTAGGTTTGAAACTCAATGCATGAAATCAATGGATTTGCAAGCACTGATTATATAATAGTAGTAGTTAAGATTCACCAGCCTATATCATTTCAGAATCACTGCACGATGGGATACTGTCCTTGTTCCTTAATGGAGTTAAAACAGAGTGCATAAAGTTAATGGTCCTTGAGTTGATAGCAATATGATGGACCATCACATGGTTGTAAACACATTCACAATTAAATATTCTGCATTATATGTTGGGCAAATGTTACTGAAAGAATGAAAAGCAGAGTATGGTTATAGGAAAAGGTAAATGGATTCATTCAGTCATGGAGTCACCCATCTAGTAGGTTATATGGTCTAACTGGGCACTGGACAGCCAACCACGTGAGCAAACAGGCAATTCACCAAAATATAGGGACACCCACTTCATGTATATGAGGCAAGCATGATATAGTAGAACCATTTTTTGGAACACTGAGACATGAGCAATTTTGAATATGGCACTAGGGAATTGTGGCAAAATAAGAAAAGTAACCACATAATACCAAGCATACTAATGACTGGATAGAAACTTCCTTTCCTTAAAGGTAACATGACTCCTGCCTACAATGGTTATTTCTTAGAGCAGCTGCAGATTGTCATGCAAAAAGATGAGGCAAAGACTCCATTGATGAATTGATAGGTGTGGCTCAGTTTCGGTTTGCATTATGGTGCTAGGGCAAGATTTAGTTGCACAAACACTAGCTCATAACTCTCCTATCTGAAGATTTATCTGTCTATGTCATGGTTAGCCATCAGCCGGCAACGTGATTTTGAAAAAAAAAAGAAAAAGAAAAAAAAGAGAGAGATGTTTTTCATCAGAACAACAAACAAGGACCATAACAGTTTTAAATGCAAAGGCTTAAAATTATTTGCATGTACTACACTGACCAGCATGAGCTCCCTGAAAATAGAAATCCAGTGCTATTTGCTTTCTCTAATCGAATTTTGGCCAAGCAATACTGATGAATCAAGCAGTAGGAGGTTAGATGTGAAATCTTCATGTTGAAAGCAAGCAGTTGATTACCCAATGGTTATTTCTAAGAGGACCTGCTGATTGTCATGCAAAAAGATGAGGTAAAGACCCCATTGACAAATTGATATGCGTGGCTCAGTTTCAATTTGCCTTATGGTGCTAGTGCAAGATTAGTTGCACGAAAACTAGGTCCAAACTGTCCTATCTGAAGATTTATCTGTCTATGACATGGTCAGACGGCAATATGATGATTTTGAAAAAGGATGATTTTCATCAGAACAAAGGATCAGGACCATTATCAATTTTTGCATGAACTCCCTGAAAATGCCAGTGCTATTTGTTTTCTCTAATCGAATTTAGAGCAAGCAGTAGTAATGAATCGAACGCTAGGAGGTTAGAAGTGAAACTATCATGGAGAAAGCAAGCAGAGCAGATGATTACCCGAGCACGCATAGCAACGGCACGGCCACGGCCAACACCAATAGCTGAGCCTTTACCCTGCAGGAGGCGAGAGGCATGTCACAATCCAATTCCAAGAGGAGGAGGAGAAAAGAGAGTGGGTGAAAAGAAATACCCTAATCCTAGCCTCGAGGCGCTTGAACATGGGGGCGTTCTTGAGCATGTCGGGTATGATCATGAACCTGACCCTGCTTCCTCTGATGAAGACGTGCTCCAGCTGGGAGACCTTGCCGTCCTATACATATATATATGTGCACAGAAAGAATCAAGAATCTAAGAAGAAGAGGCGCATGATTCGAAGGAAGGAAGGAAGGGTACCTTGGCGGTGAAGGTGATGTTGTCGAGCTGGCAGTTCCAGTTGTCCTCGCACTCGACCATGGAGCCGCGGTACACCTCGCCGGTCTTGAGCTCCACGGTCACCACGTGCCCCGCCGCCTCGTGCAGCAGCTTCACTGGGATACCAAGGCTGCGGCTCATCTTCCTCCTAGGGTTGGGTAGAGAAGGGAAACCCTAGCTAGGCAGACGCGACGACGAGTTGTTGTTGGTGGTGGTGGTGGTCTGGTGGAGGAGGAAGATGGCGGCGGCGGCGGCGGAGGGGAGTCGAGTCGAGTCGAGGAGGGCAGATGAGAGAGATGGAGGCGAGGGGGCGACTTCGATGGGCCCAAGCCCAATACCATCAATATGAAAGGCCCAAACTTGTCTCTGCCAAACCTTCAGAATTTGGGCCTAAACACAACAGAGCTTCTCCACGTTTCAATAAAAAAAATCGTATTTAACGTTGTAATATGGCTTATTTATGCCTTTTGTTAACAATGTAGAATGTATTAAATAACATACAAGATTAAACCCCCTTGTTAAAAGGAATAGAAATGACAAATCTCCGAGACTTCGTATCTTAAAGTGTCATATAAGATATACAAGCAAACAAGCCTAGTTAACTCCAAAAGCATGTGAAAGAGTATCGGTCACCATATTTGTTCCTCATATATATATACTGTTGAGATTATGGGCATATAATGATTTAATTTATTCCATAAATAAGTCATGACATTACAGATGAAAACTAGCATGAACGCATCATTAGATCTACACATGTAAACTACGCAGAATAACATGAACAGATCAAATATGCGCAACATATTGAACACGTACCGAGGTGACGAAAAGACCGGCTGCTTGGTCGAAACTTTTCGCAGGTGTCTACGAAGGCACGAAACACGCGAGCGAAGAGGAAGGCGAGCCGTCGCGAACGAACAGGGAGCAGTCGCGCGAAGCGCTTCCCAAAAACCTTATTGCCGCCTTCTCCCGGTGCAGGACGTCAAAGGCAGAGGTTCCGGAGACCTGCTCTCCCGATCGCTGGTGCACGCCGGGTCTACGAGCGACGGCGCAGTACAGAGTAGGAGGCAAACCCTAGATTGATTTTCGCATATATTGCGTGAAGACGGCGGGTCGGTTTATATAGAGAAAGGTCGCTTGATCAGGGCGCCCGCACGATCTCTACTGCGCGTAACCGAACCGGATAAGTCGCGCGTAACTTATCCGGACTCCACGCCGTTTGCACGCATCGGATTTTTCGGAACGTTTCCAAAACAAAAACGAATCCGAATTTGCAGCAAAACAAAACTGCAAAAAGAGGCTGCATCTGCGCAAGGGTGAGGAGCCAATTTTTCGGACCATTCGACGCGTACGTCGTGCACGCGCGCCGCCTGCCCTGCCCTGCCCTGCCCAGGCCAGGCCAGGCCAGGCGAGGCGAGGCGAGGCGAGCGAGCGCGCGCGTGTGTTTCCCCTCTTCTCTCCACCACACATGCTTCAAGTGGCTAGGAGGGCATCCTCCCTTTTAAGGAGGTCCCCCTCTCCTAGAATAAGCAAGGTGGTACTAAACTCCACATGCATGCCATCCCATGAGGTGGGCTTTTGTGATTTTCCAAAGAATTAATCTTCGAGTGGGCTAAGACCCATTCATTAATTCCAACAATCCCCCACCAAATCTCAAAATCCCACTGAGATTTGCCTTTTCCAATGTACTGTTTATATACCAGCGGTTCGATGGAGACCAATTAAGGTTGAACATCCACCTAGAACTCCAAGCTACACTTACTCACAACTTGAACAATGGACTACGCCTTGAATTGCAAGTCTTGTGCAAGCAAGTTTCACTCAAAGTCTTATCTGGTACTAGACCGTCTGTAGACTACCCCTCGGGTGGAGCGTATAAGTCATACTCCTAGGTCTTTAGTAAGCTTCCTAGAAGATTCACCCAAAATCTTCATGGACTGCGACCAACAGTCAAGCTCACAAAGGTGAGTTCCTTCAAGAATGCTCTGCAGGACAACATCTTTGCTAATTAAAGCCAACAGAACTCATTAAGGCATAGCCAACCTGCCTTGCAGCTCACGAGAGTATATGCATCTTCACTTAGAGAGGGTATATATATTGGTACTCTCCTCTAGTTTATTAATGGTTTGTTCTTCCCAGGATCTAATTCACGGGATCTCCGATCACATAGACTGGGTTACCACCATAGTATAACTCACATGGGTCTCAAACCCATCTCCTTCGATGCATTGTCTATCACATTTCGTGATAGTCCCTTCGTGAAGGGATCTGCCAGGTTTCTCGCTGTTTGGATGTAATCCAACGTTATAACTCCGGAGTTTCTTAATTTCCTGACAGACTTCAATCGTCTTTTCACATGTCTAGACGATTTCATATTATCCTTAGAACTATTCACTTTGACAATTACCGTTTGATTGTCACAGTTCATAAGGATAGCCGGCACCGGTTTTTCAACAACAGGCAGATCCATTAATAGATCACGCAACCATTCTGCCTCAACAGTAGCAGTATCCAGTGCCGTTAGCTCTGCTTCCATGGTTGACCTCGTCAAAATTGTCTGTTTGCAAGACCTCCATGAAACAGCACCACCACCCAGTGTGAAAACATATCCACTAGTGGCTTTGATCTCATCCACATCAGAGATCCAGTTAGAATCACTATAACCCTCCAGTACCGCAGGATACCCAGTATAGTGAAGCCCCAATTCCACAGTACCTTTCAGATAGCGCATTACTCGCTCAAGCGCACGCCAGTGATCATCTCCCGGATTAGAGGTAAATCGGCTCAACTTGCTCACAGCAAAGAAGATATCAGGCCTAGTTGCACTAGCCAGGTACATCAACGAGCCAATGATTTGGGAGTATTCCAGTTGATTCCTAGCAATTCTCTTGTTCTTGCGAAGCGACAAGCTAGGATCATAAGGTGTTGGAGAAGGCTTACTATCAATGTAGCCAAAGCGATTCAAAATCTTCTCCACATAATGAGACTGCAAGAGTGTAATCCCATTCTCACCTCTAATTAGCTTAATGTTTAAAATAACATCAGCTACTCCCAAATCTTTCATATCAAAATTTTGAGACAAGAATGATTTAACCTCATTTATCACCTCAATGTTTGTCCCAAATATCAGTATGTCGTCAACATACAAGCACAAAATAACTCCCTCACCCCCACCATGGCGATAGTACACACATTTATCTGCCTCATTGACTGCAAAGCCTGCAGATGTCAATGTTTTGTCAAATTTCTCATGCCATTGCTTAGGAGCTTGTTTCAGACCATACAAAGACTTCAACAATTTGCACACTTTGCCTTCTTGACCTTCAAGTACAAACCCATCAGGTTGATCCATATAGATCTCCTCATCCAGCTCTCCATTAAGAAAAGCTGTCTTAACGTCCATTTGATGAACGAGAAGACCATGTGAGGCTGCTAGGGAAAGTAGCACACGAATTGTGGTCAATCTAGCAACAGGTGAGTAAGTGTCAAAGAAATCTTCGCCTTCTCTCTGAGTATAGCCCTTAGCAACAAGCCGAGCCTTGTACTTTTCAATAGTACCGTCAGGCCTAAGCTTCTTCTTGAACACCCACTTGCACCCCACAGGTTTACACCCATAGGGTCGCTCTGTCACCTCCCAAGTCCCGTTAGCGATAATGGAATCCATTTCACTACGGACAGCCTCCTTCCAGTAGTCTGCATCAGGAGATGCATATGCTTCTGAAATTGACTTAGGAGTGTCATCCACGAGGTACACAGTGAAATCATCACCAAAAGACTTAGCCGTCCTTTGTCTCTTACTCCTTCGAGGAGCTTCACTGACATCCTCCTCAGAGACAAGTTCATGTGTATGTTCAGTTTGTTCTGGTGGTGTGATTGAACTGGGAATTATTTCAGAGGGTTGGTTCGAACCACTATGTGTATCCTTCATTGGGAAAAAGCTCTCAAAGAAGGTAGCATCACGAGACTCCATAATTGTACCAACATGCATGTCCGGTACCTCGGATTTAACTATTAAAAATCTATAGGCAATGCTATGATGAGCATATCCCAGAAAAACACAGTCCACAGTCTTAGGTCCAAGTTTGCGCTTCTTCGTTATTGGTACATTGACTTTCGCCAAGCACCCCCATGTGCGCAAATAAGAAAGTGATGGTTTTCTACCAATCCATATCTCATATGGTGTTTTGTCCTTATTTCTGTTAGGAACTCTGTTTAACACATGATTTGAGGTCAACAATGCCTCCCCCCACCATGCCTTAGGCAGTCCCGCGGTGTCCAACATGGCATTCACCAAGTCAGTCAGTGTGCGGTTCTTCCTTTCAGCAATCCCATTAGACTCGGGAGAATAGGGAGGCGTCCTCTCATGTATGATGCCATGTTCCTCACAGAATAAGTCAAACTCGTTCGAGAAAAACTCTCCACCACGATCAGACCTAAGCCTTTTTATCTTTCTGTCAAGTTGATTTTCAACCTCTGCCTTATAAATTTTAAAATAGTCTAGAGCCTCGTCTTTCGTTTTCAACAAGTACACATAGCAAAATCTAGTAGCATCATCAATCAATGTCATGAAATATCGTTTTCCACCCTTCGTCAACACCCCATTCATTTCACAAAGATCTGAATGTAGGAGTTCTAGTGGTGCCAAGTTTCTCTCCTCGGCAGCCTTGTGAGGCTTGCGAGGTTGCTTCGATTGCACACAACTATGGCACTTAGAACCTTTGACAATGGAAAACTTAGGAATTAAACACATGCTGGAAAGCCGAGACATCAAGCCAAAATTAATATGACATAAACGTGAATGCCAAACATTAGCCTCATCATCCACACTGCCACAAATATGGTTCACAGACTTATTGCAGAAATCAGAAAGGGAAAAGCGGAACAGGCCTCCGCACTCATAACCTTTACCAATAAAATATCCATGTTTAGACACGACTACTTTATTAGACTCAAAAACCAACTTAAATCCGTCTCTAGTCAGACGGGAGCCACTAACAAGATTCCTGTCGATAGAAGGGACATGCTGCACGTTCTTCAGCTGCACGATCTTTCCCGAAGTAAACTTCAGATCTACCGTGCCAACACCATGAACAGAAGCATGTGACCCATTCCCCATTAGGACGGTGGAACCCCGTGCGACCTGATAAGAAGAAAACAATGAGATGTCAGCACAAACATGTACATTGGCCCCAGTATCAACCCACCAATTAGTAGATTGATTAACTGAAAAAACAGTAGGTAAATTACCATACCCGCTTCCATCTCCAGTGTTGCCAATGGTCACATTAGCAGACTTAGAAGTCTGCCCTGCAGGTGCCTTCATCCCCTTGCGTTGTGGACACTTCCTAGCCAGATGACCAACTTGGCCACACACAAAGCAAGTCCTCTCATCCTGATTAGGATTGTTGTTGTTCTTCTTCTGCTTCTTGAAGTTGGTGGTCTGCTGAGCTTTGTATTTCCCCTTGCTCTTGTTCTGGGCCTTGTGCACAACATTGGCACTGGACTGCCCACCATCGCCCTTAGACGCGGCATCTTTTTCCCGAGCTTTCTCCTCAACATCAAGAGACGCAATCAACCCCTCAACGGAGTATTCCTGTCTCTTGTGTTTGAGTGCAGTACCGAAACTCCTCCAAGATGGAGGTAGTTTTGCAATAATGCACCCGGCCACAAATTTGTCGGGTAAGACACACTTAAGGAGTTCGAGTTCCTTAGCCATGGTTTGTATCTCATGAGCCTGTTCGACTACAGAACGGTTGTCAGCCATTTTGTAGTCATGAAACTGCTCCATGATATACAGATCATTGCTAGCATCAGTAGCACCGAATTTAGTATTCAGTGCATCCCACAACTCCTTAGCGTCGGTCATATGCATATACACCTCGACCAGACGATCGCCAAGAACGCTAAGAATGCATCCCACAAAGAGAGTAGTGGCTTCCTCGAATTGCTTCTGCTGTTCAGCAGTAAGAACTCCTTCAGGTTTGCCAGTACTCACCCAGAAGCATTTCATAGCTGTCAGCCACAGAGTGACCCTGATCTGCCATCTCTTAAAATGCACACCGGTGAATTTATCCGGCCTCAGTGCATCGGCAAAACCAGCCATAGTAAAATCACAGTGCCTATAATAAGGTTTTTGGATTGTTGAGATTATGGGCATATAATGATTTAATTTATTCCATAAATAAGTCATGACATTACAGATGAAAACTAGCATGAACGCATCATTAGATCTACACATGTAAACTACGCAGAATAACATGAACAGATCAAATATGCGCAACATATTGAACACGTACCGAGGTGACGAAAAGACCGGCTGCTTGGTCGAAACTTTTCGCAGGTGTCTACGAAGGCACGAAACACGCGAGCGAAGAGGAAGGCGAGCCGTCGCGAACGAACAGGGAGCAGTCGCGCGAAGCGCTTCCCAAAAACCTTATTGCCGCCTTCTCCCGGTGCAGGACGTCAAAGGCAGAGGTTCCGGAGACCTGCTCTCCCGATCGCTGGTGCACGCCGGCGAGCGGGATGGAGTAGTCTACGAGCGACGGCGCAGTACAGAGTAGGAGGCAAACCCTAGATTGATTTTCGCATATATTGCGTGAAGACGGCGGGTCGGTTTATATAGAGAAAGGTCGCTTGATCAGGGCGCCCGCACGATCTCTACTGCGCGTAACCGAACCGGATAAGTCGCGCGTAACTTATCCGGACTCCACGCCGTTTGCACGCATCGGATTTTTCGGAACGTTTCCAAAACAAAAACGAATCCGAATTTGCAGCAAAACAAAACTGCAAAAAGAGGCTGCATCTGCGCAAGGGTGAGGAGCCAATTTTTCGGACCATTCGACGCGTACGTCGTGCACGCGCGCCGCCTGCCCTGCCCTGCCCAGGCCAGGCGAGGCGAGCGAGCGCGCGCGTGTGTTTCCCCTCTTCTCTCCACCACACATGCTTCAAGTGGCTAGGAGGGCATCCTCCCTTTTAAGGAGGTCCCCCTCTCCTAGAATAAGCAAGGTGGTACTAAACTCCACATGCATGCCATCCCATGAGGTGGGCTTTTGTGATTTTCCAAAGAATTAATCTTCGAGTGGGCTAAGACCCATTCATTAATTCCAACATATACAACAATAAACTGTGAACAAGCCTGTCACTTGCACTCTAAAGTAGGTACTGCCGATATGATAATTGATAACCCGACAACTGTAACTTCACAATTCTTCGTCGAGAACTTCTCGAACCAAGAAGCCACCCATAACGAAATAGAAAAAGCAAAAGACTCTAGACAAATCTAACTCCTTAATTGTTATGGAAAGACAAAACCCTATACAACAATCTAAACTTCTAAAGACTTTTTTAGAAAAGCCCTTTAAATACCTAATGTAAACCAATGAGAAACGGGTCCCCTTTCTGCTCACCTCTGGTGAATACAGTAGAGATAGAGGAGGAGGACTGTACATTGTAAGGGCTTCGCGAAAAGAACGAGTGGCTTATTTACACTCTAGACTTGTTTGGCTAATGGGATGGTAAAATGATTTCCCACCCACCAAAAGACATTTTAAATCCTAACCATTCATTCTCTCTTTCATTTAATCATAATCCTTCATCTATTTCTCAATCCCAATCCCACCCCCATTTTCCATTATCCAAACACACACTCTGGAGATGATGCATAATTTTTTTTCTTATAATTTAACATATAAAATGGACTATGCTCATTTCTTTCTAATATCAAATCCAAATAAAAAAAAATGTCTTGGTTCATAGTTCATATAAGCTGAGCAGCAAATATCTATACTTTGGGAATGTTTTCTCTAAAGTTTGACTTTTGTCATGTCCAGAAGATAAAACTACAAAGTCGAAATTTCCTTAAAAAAATGCCTTCTTTCTAATCTCCACTCCAGATAAAAAATATATATTGGTTTGTAGTTCACATATGTAAAAACAATGGAGTATTGTTTATTTGGACAAATAAGTTTTGTACAATTTGAGAATTTCACAAATGTTGAAAATAAGGCGAGATGAAAAATACAACCTCAAAATAAAAAAAAAGACACAACAACTAGAGAATAGTACTGTGTTAACTTTTCTGAAAAGGCTACGAGTAAAAAAAATACTTCTTCCATCCACAAAAGTTAGACATATTTCACATTTGAGTTTTTCCAAATAAGTTGTTTCTATTTGTAGTCTTTATGCATTTAAGACTTAAATAAATAGATAAATTAAATATTTGATTAGAACCCAAAGAGTCATCTAATAAATACTCATTGGTTGCATGCTTATATTCACTCCTTAATTTTGTAGCATCTAAGATAATTTAATTTCTCCTTAGTCTTGGTGACAAAAGTAATATTGGTAACTTTTATGTATAGAGTGAGTGTTTGCAAAACTAGATTTATAACTTCCATATAGTTAGACTGAATGAATTAGTGTCGTTTCTGTCTTTCATGTAAGTATAATAATAAAAAAGGAATGTTTTTCCTTTCATAATTAATTGCGTGGGAAATTATTTATTTAGCAAATAGAGCAAAAGGAACAATATAATGAAGGAAATTAAGAAGAGAAGGGGAAAAAGAAATTAAGAGTTAAATATATAATGAATAGTTTGTAGGTGTGGCAATTAAGCGTGAGTTTCGGTCCGCCAACCGCGCGCTCTTGGTCGACCACAACGCATGCTACTCTCAGCCTCAGCCAACCAATTCTGCAAAATGCATTGATCGATCGATGTTCTCTCCTCCCTAGCTGCGGACGGACTTGGATCCATCCATCTCCCATTCATTCATTCATTCATTCATGTGGCCATCCATCCACCATCTTGCATGCTAGCTAGCTACCCTGCAGGCCCATAACGACATTATTCAATTCGAATTAATTCCATCATCATATAATAATATATATGATGCTGAGCTCGTCGGCGTCGAGGCGGGAGGTCGGCGGCGGCGGCGCCGCCTCCAGCACCAAGAGCGGCGAGCTGTCCCTGTCCAAGGTGGCCAGCGTGGCCATACGGGAGTCGTCGGGCTCGGGCTCGGGCGGGATTTCCAAGAGCAGCGAATTGCTGTCGAGGGCAGGAACCATGGCGGCGGCGAGGGAGGCGGCGGCGGCGGCGGTACACCACGAAGGATGGATGGTGCGCTACGGCCGGAGGAAGATCGGCAGGTCCTTCTTCCACACCCGCTACTTCGTCCTCGACAGCAGGCTCCTCGCCTACTACAAGAAGAAACCCAAAGACAACATGGTACCCGCCCTAACTCCATCATCATTCATTAATCAATCAATTATTACTACTCGTACTAATTTCAAACACTCTTACTATCACTGCCTTGTTTTAATTTTCCTTCCCCTGGCACACGCTTGTCTGGCCAATTACATTGTGTAACAAAAAAACTCTTTTCATTCTAATATATTGATGCGTTCGCGAAAAAAAAACACTCTTACTATTACACATTTGCACTACTACTCATAGTAAATTCAAACACACACACACACACTATATATATATATATATATATATATATATATATATATATATATATATATTTGGCACCAAAAATTAAATATGCATTAATTCAGTCACATCATCTAGAATATAGTAGCCTTTGGATCCTTCTTATGCTTTGATCTCAACCATCCATTTACATATGCATTTACAACCCACTAAATACATAGTTATTAGTATAAAATTCAATGTGCATTAAACCATAACATCTACAAAACTAATAGTCATTGGATCTCTCTCTCATATTTGATACTCCCTCCATCCCTAAATATTTGACGCCGTTGACTTTTCTTTTTATACATATCTGACCGTTCGTCTTATTCAAAATCTTTTGTGAAATATGTAAAACTCTATATATACATAAAAGTATATTTAACAATAAATTAAATGATAGGAAAAGAATTAATAATTACTTAATTTTTTTAAATAAGACGAACGATCAAACATATTTAAAAAAGTCAACATTGTCAAATATTTAGATATGGAGGGAGTATATAACTATCCCAGCTGTCATGTAAAATTGAAATTTATAATCAACTACTATTGAGCAAATATTCTCTATTTACATATTATAAGTACTTGATTTACATATTGCTTTCTTTTAATTTTCTATAAAGTATTTTTAAATTTCCTGCTGCAATGCGCGGGATATGCACTAGTTATATGTAATAATGTTGTACATGCATATATCCATGCAGGTGCCACTAAAATCGCTGCTGATAGACGGGAATTGCAGGGTGGAGGATAGAGGACTCAAAACACATCATGGACAAGTATCCATTATTTCTTCTAATTTATCTCCTTTCCGTACCATCCTTCTTCTCATGATATACTGTATCAACCAGCTGGCTTTTACACCTGACATTGCCCCCGTCCTTCTCAATTGACGATGTATCATAATGATCCTTAATTTTCAGATGGTCTATGTCCTGTGCGTTTATAATAAGAAAGAAAAGGAGCATCAGATCACGGTTTGTTCTAACTAAACCTGACTGCATGTTCTCGATCTCTTTCATTCAGCGTTATATCAGTATATATATGACTAGATTTAATTCGCAGATGGGCGCGTATGATATTGAGGATGCTCTGGCCTGGAAAAAGAATATAGAACTCATTATCGATCAGGTGCAGTAATTTTTCTTCATCTTACAGTTTTGACTTTGCATATGTAAACACAACAAGTAATTTTGGAGTACTGGATAATTCTCAAATTTCAATGAAAATCCATTTTCATGTCGAATCATCTAATACCCAAAATATGTGACTCTTAGACCGTCCAGCTGCCTTATTCAGGATTTTCTAATGAATTAAACCGAACAAGGACCTTTGTACGTACTGTTTAAAGGGTAGTTAATTTGGGCTGGCAGAACTTTAGGTGTACTCTTTACGGATATATGTAGTAAATTAAGCTGCAAAACAATATGGATGCTCCATGTTGTTTTGTGAAGTATCACATCTTCACATTGTTGCAGCAGCAAGAAAATATGACCTCCAAAAACCGCAAGGCCTTTGCTTCAATGGACTTTGATACGGAACTAGGAGGGCAGTTTATATTCTCAGACCATGACAGCGCGTAAGTGACATCCCATCTTCTCTCTTAGATTATCTTACAAACGACAAACAAACAAGATCTGAAATAAGCTGAAATATAATTTCACTACGAATATATGCAGAGCTGAAGATGAAGAGGAACGACCTATGTTGATTCGCAGGACAACTATAGGGAATGGTAACAAGTTATCTGCAAGTTTTGTTCTTAATTTCCGTTTGTGGATCGATATGCTACAGAAATTCACCACCTCATTTCTGGTGTGCTAGGTCCCCCTGAATCAATACATGACTGGACCAAAGAGCATGATATCGGTCCACCCAATCAGATTGACCCCATTCAAGTTAGCTCCAAGAAGAATTGGCGCCTACTTAGATGCCAAAATGGCAAGCACACAAGACTCCTCCTCCTCCTCCTTAGGTTATCAGTCAATACTTGTCTACTTGTTGCTTACTTCCTTGTCATTCGCAGGACTACGCATCTTTGAAGAACTTCTGGAATTCGATTATCTTGTATGTCCAGTCTACTCACTCTCGACTACTGCTAGACAGTTAATTGATTAGATACTATGCATCTTCTGAAATTCTTGATGATTTTTCACTTGTCCTGTGTAGGCAAGAAGCTGTAGCAGAGCTATGCGAGCTGTTGGTGTTGTGGAAGCCACATGCGAAGCCATTTTTGGGCTGGTGATGAGCATGGATGTAACAAGATATGAGTAAGCATATTTACTACTATCACCTATATATATTCCTACTACAGTTACATATTAATCTTGAGATTACGTACTGATGTTTAATTATTGATCATCACGTATAGGTGGGACTGCAGCTTTCGCTATGGTAGTTTAGTTGAAGAGGTTGACGGCCACACCGCTATACTGTATCATAAGTTGCAGTTGCACTGGTGCCCAATGTAACTAGTCTTCTTTCTTGTCCGTAGCATTTTCAAACATCCTCCTCCTCTTCTTCTTCTTCTTTTTTTTGGAGAAATTTCCTCTTATTTTTGAGTGCACAACTAAATGGTAGTACTAATATTTCGGATTATCTATCAGATTGAAACTTACACATTCTTCCATTCTACATGAACATGCAGGTTAGTATGGCCTCGAGACCTATGTTATGTTCGCTATTGGCGGCGTAATGACGATGGAAGTTACGGTAAAAATATTCAAATCTTTTCCATGGAATTTGCTGTTTTGTAGAGCAATTAATTTCTGATTGTTTGTTTGGACGCAGTTGTGCTGTTTCGATCTACAGAGCATCCAAACTGTGGACGTCAAAAAGGATATGTGAGGGCTTTTATTGAAAGTAAGCTTCTCTCTGAGCATCTGAAATCCTGCATTAATTTACCTGCTGAGATCGATCAGGACAGGAGGAGGAGAGACAGTATACTAGTTCCATAGAAAACAGACAGAAATAAATGTCAAATGAAGTTCCTTTTCTTTTCTGAAATTCCTACTAGTTCAGGTGGAGGTTTCAAGATTTCTCCTCTCAAGTGTCGCAACGGAAGACCCCGCACTCAAGTTCAACACCTAATGCAGATTGATCTCAGGGGATGGCTCCTCAACTACTCTCCTTCCTTTCAGTATCATTCTTTGCTGCAGATACAAAACTGTGTAGCCGGTACTAACTACTGCCACTGCTCGAAACTTAGTTTGCTCAAATGAATTAGTGCCATCATCTTACTACTTCACTGTTATCCTAATTAACTCTACTTACTTCAAGGCCTACGAGAATACTTCTCCCAAACAGACGAAACACATATAACTCCAAGGATTCCTGTGATGGAAAACATGGTTGACACATCTGCAGTACAGAAAGATGACAAGAAGAGTACCGAAGAAGTAGACTCCAAGACTAAAACACCAGATCGAGGACAAGCGGACAGTAAAAACATGGGAATCATTGATGAAGAAACAGACGAGGATGAGGACTATCAGGTTCCTGAAGCTAACATAGAGGTGCTTCATGGCCAATATATAACATTACATATGAACAGTGAATGAGTTTTTTGTGTTTCCTCATTCTAACTAAACTGTGATCAAAATTAATTAATGTGCAGGAAGATCCTAACAAAGATGCTAAGCGTGCAGGTATGATTCCTTTTTTTTTCTGCAATTTATTTTGGTATTAATCTGGTAAGTTCCATAGGCAATCATATATTCTTCCCCTGTAACAATGACACGGTTTGCCTTGTGATTATGGCAGACGAACCACCAGAAAAGATTGATCTATCATGCTTTTCGGGCATTCTTCGTTGCGATGCGGATGAGAAAAGCCGAAACTGTTGGACAGTACCTGACAGCAAGCTGTTTAAAGTCCGTAGCAAGAACTTCCCGCATGATAAATCAAAGGTCCAAGCTTTTATTGCTTAATTTGTTTCTTTGGAATTGAATCCAGTGAGTGAGATTATATGAAGAAGCTGAGCACACTGCTCACATTGAAATTACAGATACCTGCAGCGAGTTACCTGATGGAGCTTGCGGCCATTGACTGGTTTAAGGACAGCAAGCGTATGGATAACGTAGGCAGGCAGAAAGGCTGTGTAGCCCAGGTAAACATAATAAATCTTGTGATCGATGATGGCTTATCCTATCTGAAGTTATCAAGTAGTATCATCACAGAACTTGGCGGCTTGGTCGATGTTTGTTTTGTAGGTAGCTGCTGAGAAAGGGATGCATACATTTGTTGCCAACATACAGGTAAGTATGTTTGCAGATTCAGAGCTAGCTAGCTAGCTAGGAGGAAACATTGGCAATCAAAGTTATAGTTATGGGTGTGTATATATATATTGTGTTGTAGATCCCTGGATCAACTCATTACAGCTTGGTGATGTACTTCGTGACAAAGTCGCTGAAGAAGGGATCACTGCTGCAGCGATTCTTCGATGGGGATGATGAGTTCCGCAATAGCAGGCTGAAGCTGATACCCTCTGTACCCAAGGTAGGTAGTCCAGCTGTTGGTCTCAGGTAGTGAACTGAACTGAACTGTTGGTCTCAGGTGGTGGGGTGGGGTGTGCCCGCAGGGATCATGGATAGTGCGGCAGAGTGTAGGGAGCACGCCGTGCTTGCTGGGGAAGGCGGTGGATTGCAGCTACGTGCGTGGAGCCGGATACCTGGAGGTGGACGTCGACATTGGGTCGTCGGCGGTGGCCAACGGGGTGCTGGGTTTGGTGTTTGGTGTGGTGACGACGCTGGTGGTGGACATGGCGTTCCTAATACAGGCCAACACCTACGAGGAGCTCCCCGAGCAGGTCATCGGCGCCGCCCGTCTCGCTCACGTCGAACCCGCCGCCGCTATCGTCCCCCAGGACCTTACTCCCCCTCCTCCTGCCCTTGCCGACGACGACAACGCCGCTGCTTCTTCCTCCGAGGATGATCATTTGTCCAAGAAAACCAACTAAGCTAGCACCTCTCTCAACGCACGCACTGCAACTTATCAATCATTTATCTTCTTGTAATTTCTAATTATTTCCGAGGCTCATAGCAAGCTTTGTTTTTTTTCTTTTCATCTTTTTTTTTATCTCGTTAAGTTGTTTGCAAAGTACAGCTGGTTTTCTTCTACGTAGGAACAAAGATAAATCTAGCTAGTGACAGTATTTCGTTGGAACCTAATATTATAGACTGAGATATTTTGTTTAGGCTTAGATTTGCTGTCTTTGGCTTTAAGTCAGACTTTTAATTAACTTACACTCCCTCCATTTTTTTAATTGACGACGCCATTGACTTTTGAACACATGTTTGACCATTCGCTTTATTTAAAAATTTTATACAAACTATAGAAAAGCCCGTGCGTTGCAATGGGTGATAACTATTTTAATCTTATTATTGTTATATGGTTTAGTTACGATGAAATTCACTGTGAGAATTCGCTTGGATTTATATCTCTACTGTTTTAAAATTCTGTAGTGGTGACGGTGACTCCAACCCTGACAGACACGCGACTTATTAACCGTGGGATTGGCAGATCGGACGGTGCTGAGGATCCCATCGCACGCGCTCGCTATCCAACCGTCGACGCCGCTCCCCTCATCCTTCGCCGCGCCCCCACCACGCCTTCACCGACCGCCACTCCTGCTCGCCCGAATCGACGCCGCCGCCGTCGCGGGTCGACATCGCCGCTCCTCCTATCGCGCTCCTCCCCGCCGGCACTGCCTCCATCCATCCGCCGCGTCTCGCCGCCGGTCGCACCACCGATCCATTCCTCCTCCGCCGCCTGCTCTCCCGGTCCCTCCCGCCCCATCGCCCCAACACCCCCCCCCCCCCCCGGCACCGCCTCCATCCATCCGCCGCGTCTCGCCGCCGGCCGCACCCCCGCTTCCATCCATCCACTGCAGATCGCCATCGCACGCCTCCGCCTCTCAAGGTCGCACGCTCATCGCCGCCGCTCGTCGCCCGACACCCCGCCGATTGGGGACCGGACGCTGACCCTGCATCGACGCCACAACAGCCGACAGATGGGAGATGTTGAAGACCTCACTCCAACGACGGCTGCGCGCGGTGACACTACCAGGCGTTGAGGGAGAGAATGCAGTGCGAGGTGCGACGGGGTTGTTCGTCCTTGCCCAGATCAACGCCGCCGCCGATCCCTCACTCGCCCCTCGCCCAGGTCGGTGCCAAGGGCGAGGTTCGCCAATCTGCTTCCCAGCCGCCTCGCCCGCTCCATGGGAGAGGTGACACCTGTGCCCGCCTCCAGCGCTCCATGCCCCCGGATACCATCCGAGCACGATCCCTCCGGCAGAACTTCTGCCGGAGAAGGGACGCATGGTTAATTGGTTCGTTCTCTTTACGTTGCAATCCATTCATTTGTCAAGAATCATCATTGTGAGTGCCGAGGGTTATTACAGATTACAGGATCACTAATGCTCTTTTTTGCCCAAAAGGTGTTCAACGAAATGCTGCTTAGCCAATGTATTACCAGAAATTGATTTCTCTGTAAGTGAGAATGTCATATTGCCATGTCCCCTATGTTGTTATTTATACTAATGATTGCAGGATTCTCTCTGTTGTTATTTATGCTAATGTAATGAAATATCCAATTACTATGTATAGACTCTAGAGCTATGAACTGCTGGGAAGTTGAGAGTGTTGCTACCAAGCAGAAAGATTCAAATTATATGTTGGAGCAAACTAATTTGGATCTTGCAGTCTCAAAACTAATCTGGTCCTTGATTGTTTCAGAGCGGACGAAAATAAAAAATGGAACGATGCAGTGAAGATTATGTAAGCAATGTTCGTGATATATCGATCCTGAAATTCTCATAGATGGCCATTGCACAAATACAAAAATTTGCAGGTTATTAATAGTGAACTACATCTCTGTAAATCTGCATAACATATGTTAAAGCTAGCCCAAGAATTAATATGTTGTAAATCTGCTCTACAGTTGACACTGCTTACATTTTCTACTATTAATAACCCTCAGTTGTGATAGATCTGATACCTTCTTAAAAATTTGAACTGAGTTTTCATACCTAGCAGTAGGACTAACATTTTATGGTTGTATTGTTCAGCTCAAGATGAACAACCACACCAACCCCAAGATCACCAACTAAGCCTATCCTGCTTCATGATTGTTGTTGCAAACTCCAACATGCTTGCTGCTGGTGCAATCTGAGCCGGCTGGTGGCAGATGGGAGCCTGCCCTATGTTGTTAGCAGCTTTTTTCACTCCAAGTCATGCTTGCTGCCTGTGGTCTTGGTAGTTTCTTTTTTGTGTTGTCAATTTAATTATTAGGATTTCCCATGTGCTCGGCTATTGGTGTTCTTGTATCTGTTTTGTTTCAGGGTGTCATTACTATGGAGTAGATCATAATTTTTTTCTTATTTTTTTCCAATGCCTTGTAAAATAACCAACTAGCAGGGATGTTCATAAATTTCCCCCTTTTGTTTGGTTTTTTTCAGACATATATATAATGAAGGCATATATACACAAAAGGAGGAGCTGTTTGAGGGTCTAAAGGACAATAGCTCAATTGACTGGGAAGTTGTTGTCATATGTCGAGAGCAATCTGCTAAATGTTAAAGAGGTGCATCTAACTTTTGTACCCAGTGAACTGCAAATCTGCACCTTCTCTTTTGATTAATAGTTTCTTTGGATTCAGATCAAAATAGCTCAACATGGGAATTTTTCTAGCAGAGGATGGGCAATTCTTGGAAAATACTATATATTTCTTGTCGTTGAATGTGATCATGTCCCATTATTCTGGCACTTGCTGCCTTGATTTTGTTGCCTGTGCCAGCCCTTTAGCTAGCTCTCTATCACACACGAATGCGTGACCCTTGATGGTTGTATGCAGTTGGGATATTTTGGTGAGTTCATCCCCCTTCCCCACCCCACCCTCTCTCTCTCTCTCTCTAAACCATCATTTATCTTCACTATTGACTTACAATTTCACTTCTAGCTGATGATGATCAATCAAAGCTAGCTCATACGTATTAGTGAGTTTATGAAAAAAAAAAGGATCAGATATTCAATAACAGAGTTAGCTCCTTCAGAACGATGGCAAAATGGTACCTTTATAATTTTACTTCTCAACACGCACACATTTTTTTATGACGAGTTTGAACTTTTGTTCTCCTTGTCAGATTTTATCTGAAGCAAGTATCATATACTTCTGTATTAGAATATGGACGCAATCATATATCTCCTAAGGTTTAGTACATACTCTCATATTTGGAAGTGAATACCAAACGTGTCTGAAATAGTGCATGCGATTTAATCTATTCTCTCTTAGGCATTTATTCGCAAATGCAAAGATTTCTGTAATTTGGTCGTAGCTTAGATTATGGCAACCTTGGCTTTGTGGTTTGCCATGTCATGTACTGATATATGAATGTGATGCTTTAATTAACGTTGAAAAGCCATGAATTATGTATTCGAACAAATTGATTGGATGTGTCCTGAAATCGGTTCAGACTTTCGTTCTTTGGTTACTGGCGTGAGACGTGGGAGAAAGACGCTGAAGACATCAAGCATAACATGGAGTTGATAAAACATCGTCGACTGAATCATGGACCTTGTCCTGGATGTAGTTTCTTTGGCTGCTGGTTTATTACACTATAGTAAAACTAAGGACCTTGTAATAGGCTCTTTGTGCTGGTCTGACGTGAAGTGAAAACCTTCTTAATGTAACTTCGCTAAAATTAGCGTTTTGTCTGTTTAAGCAGTATTTATGGTATAAAGAATTGCATATTGCATTATATTGTGACAAAGAGTATTTTCTGAAATTTTGACAATTTGACCATTTTGAAATTTTTATTTGAAGAATAGATCGTGCTAAAATCTTATTGCAAAAATGGACCGAAACTTATTGCAATAAGTTTAGCGTGGTCTATTCTTTAAAAGAATTGCGTATTATATTATATTTTGACAAAGAGCTTCTGTACTCAGCTCATTAAACCTGCCTGCTTGAACTATCTGATACTTAAGTTTTAATTAATGTCTTGAATCTATACTTAATAGCCAATCTTATGATTGTTTCATTTACGATATAAATCGTCACCATAGCGTTAACGCGGGCTTGTAACTATATTTTATAATTATAAATATTTAACATGTCCAGGATGGTGACGAGCTAAGGCAATTTTTTTTTGCTAAATCTACTGATGTACCAACAAAATGAGTATGAAAGCAACACCCTAGCGGTGCACGAGATTTTTTAAGTGTATCGCAAGTGCACAACATTAGAATAGTTATTTACCTATATGTAGTAATTTAATTTTGAGGTGATCATCAATAAGAAAGTCTTCTATCTATGTTGTCTTTTTATAATTTAATAAACGCCATGAGATTGTTTTATATATGTGGCAGAAAGTTTGCACTATACTTCTATAATGATAACATATTTCTTGCTTTGAAAGTAATCTATAGAACAATAATGATTTGTAGTTTTTTTGGATTGCCAGATTTTTTTTCCGTGTTCAATAAATTTTCACTCAATGATTATTTAATATCTTTTCACTTAATATAATTTGAAATTGATATATAGCATTTCCCGTTGCAACGCACGGGCACCTTACTAGTATTTCTAGAAAATCATGAGCTGCGGTACGACTCCTATATTTCTAAAAGCGGACGAACTTAAAAGCCAACTCAAAGGATATATATTTTCAAAAGCGAACAAATTTATAAACCGACTCATACACGGATGACGTACCAAAGTACCGACAAAAACATCTTAAATTTTTTAATAGTAGAGATATATATAAGTTATAAATCATGCTTAAAGTATTTTGAGTGGTGAAACAACTCACAACAAAATAAATTATAATTACATAATTTTAAAATAAGACAAATGATCAAACGTATGACAAAAAGTCAATAGCATTATTTGTTAAAAAACAAATGTAGTATTATTTTATAAGCCAATGCATTTAAAATCTTAAGTTTAATAATGAAGTCATACATCTATCTCACATATTTTTTAAAAAAGAATCTCTAATTTAGCTTTTAGCTTAATAGTGTAAAGGTGGCTTATAGCTTTTAAAAGACAAAAAAAATATTTATTTGTTTAGGTTTAAATTTTTCTTGGCTGATAAGCTCCCTTATAAGCTTCAACAAAGAGTGCCCGATTTACTTAGTACTCACGCCATCTCAAGATATAACAACTTTTCGCCATTAGAATGTGTTCCAAAATATAACCACATCAACATTCTCTCTCCCAACCAATCACAACCCTTCGTCATTCAATTTCCTCACATATCTTCACTTCTCAACCAATCACAATATTCTCCTAGTTGATTCTATCTACTTTCTTTATACTTGTGTCCAACCTTAAAAGTTTTTATATTATGGGATGGATGTACTAGAAAATAAAAGCCTTGGCATGTAGAACTCACCTAATAATAACTCAGTTTGTCAGCTTGCCGTCAGCGTCAGCACAAACTGCTTCCCAAACCTTAAAAGAAGTCGATTTACATTGGTTTTTAAGATAGGGAAGACTCAATCGAGAGGAACAACTGAGGGAGATGAAACAGACTTATTCCTAATTTATTTGGCGCAAATAGCTAGTCCGAGTTCGTGATCTTAATTAGTTTTTCTAATGATCAGCGCCCCCCTCTAGTCTCTCTAGTCTCTACTCATAGTATATACGTATTATATACTTATATATATACATATGTATAAATTTTATATTTATATATACAAAATTTATACGTGTGTATACGTACAAAATTTATATATAATTTTTTATATGTATACACTTTATTGTATAAAAAATATACACACGTATAAAAAGTTTGTGTGTACGTATAAGAAACGAAAAAATATATATATATATAAACTTTGTATACATGTTTACCAAGTTTGTGTACACACGTATAAAACCCCCAAAAATACACTTATACAAACTTTGTATATGTGCATACAAAGTTTGTATACGTATGTGTATGCAAAGTTTGTATTTGTTCATATATAAAGTTTGCATATATATATATATATGTATATATATATATTATAAAACGAAAGATAATACGTAAAGAAAAAACAGAAAATAAGAAAAAGGAAATCGTAAGATACGGAAAGAAAAAAAAAAAAGGAAACCGTGAACTACGGAAAGAAAACAAACTACGTACGGAACGAAAAACAGAAAAAAAAAAGAGAAGAAAACCGTTCCAAAAAAAAAAAAATCACGCGGTGATGCTTTGGCAGCTTTGCTCGTTTCGGAAGTAAAGCAGGCCGGACGGTTTCAATCAAGAAAGAAAAAGAAAAAGAAAAAGAAAAAAGAAGAAGAAAAGCTTCCTTCTAGATGCTTCTTTGGAGTGAGGTGGGGCCTACATGTCAGGATGATCGCCTCGCCACGGCCACGCCGGTTTATTATAATAAAAGCATGTTCATCAGTTTATTACTCCATTGATTGAGCAGCCGGCGGCGGCGATCTTTGCTTAAACCCTAATCTCAGACGCTGCCTTTGAGAGAGGAGAGGGGGGAGATCTTCTTCTTCGCTTACGGCGGGTGCAGGTATCCCATCCAATCCATCTTCCCCTCACCTCTCTCCCTCTCTCTCTTATACAGGTTAGATTGGACGACATTCCATCAAGAATGTTAGTTAAAACAATGTCAATGATGGATGGATCGAATAAGAGGAATATAGATTAGCTGCGATTGACCGCGATGGATCAATCAAATTCAATCCATCGATTTTTTCCCCTCGAGTATTTTGGTGGTCATCTTCATTCGATCTGGCGTTCAAGGCCAAGTTTTGCACTTTTCATCTTGTCTCACAGATTTGATCGCTCAACTTCTCTTCTAAAACATCCTCCTTTACCTACCTACTTCCTCATCTCCCTGATTTTCCCTGCTTCCTCTTTTTGCCGCTATTCCCCTCCCCTCTCCTCTCCTCTCCTTGCAGAACTTGTTTTTTTTTTTTAAAAAAAATCATCTCCCTTTTATTTTCTTGTAGACAAGCAGTGTAGAGCCCTGGTGCTACTCTGTTAGAGCCAATCTTACAGATCATGGATGGATGCGAATGCTATTGACCAGTCTCGGTCAAACTCAAATTAATCACTACATATATATATGCCACAACACTTGAAACAAATTACTTCAACTTTTCAACCATCTATTTTTCCCTATATATGCCTGTACTAGTATGACTGCTTTTCCTTGCAAAGTAATTGTAACCTGTTCTAGCAACTAGAAACTTCTTTTCTGTCTGCTTAGTTTGCCAAAGGTCTCTTTCAAGCATTTTTTTTTTTAAATCAGAGTTTCTTCTTCCTCTGTTTTCTCCCTTCTTGTGTTCACTCATGCTGATGTAGTCTGGCAACTTCTCTGCAACAGACAATATGGCCTCAGCATTCGGGAGCACCTCAGCATGTGGCATCAAGATCACTCCTACCGCTTTTGCCACCAAGAAACATCTTTGCCTGGTTCCACCCCCAGTCGTTTCACTTCCCCGGAAAAATAGGCCTCAGAGGAAGTGTAATTTCAGAGTAAATGCTGCCAAAGAGTTATATTTCAACAAGGATGGGTTGGCTATCAAGAAGCTGCAAGTGAGTTGTACATTCTAATAATTTCTACTAGCATGATGCTATCATCTATAACATCAACTTCTGAGTTGTGACTTCTATTTTCTATGACAGAATGGAGTCAATAAGCTTGCTGATCTCGTTGGAGTCACCCTTGGTCCAAAAGGACGGAATGTTGTCCTTGAGAGCAAGTATGGATCACCTAAAATTGTCAATGATGGTGTTACCGTTGCAAAGGAGGTATGCCACGTATAGTAAACTGTTCGTGTTCTTATGATGCAATCCTATCATTGCTTAAATTCAGAGTTTTCTGAAAAATGACTGAACATTTGGCATAAACTGTTTGTTTTCTTATGATGCAATCCTATCATAGCTTAAATTCAGAGTTTTCTGAAAAATGAGTGAACATTTGGCATGCACCAGGTTGAGCTGGAGGACCCTGTTGAAAATATTGGAGCCAAATTAGTCCGGCAAGCTGCAGCCAAGACAAATGATTTGGCTGGTGATGGGACAACGACTTCTGTTGTCCTTGCTCAAGGGATGATCACAGAGGGTGTTAAGGTACACCAATATAAAAGCCTTGTATCTTAATTTTACAGCATAAATATTTTACTTGGTTCTGGGAACAATCGTGGATCTGTTTACTTTCCCAGGTTGTGGCTGCTGGTGCTAATCCAGTACAGATTACCCGTGGTATAGAGAAAACGGCCAAAGCACTTGTGAGTGAACTCCAAAAAATGTCCAAGGAGGTAAGTTATGGACTTCTGTTTAAGATCTTATTCTTTTCTGCAACAAATCACTATACTCCGCTAGTCATGTAATGCAGCCAAAATAGGGTGTGCCATACATGAGATACTTCTATAGTCCTATATACAATATACAACTCTATGAAAAAGTTAACGTGGTTCTCACTTGCCCATTTGTAAATTTGTAAATCAACTGGATTTGTATATACGTAGCTAAGTCTAATGATTTTGATATGAGTGGTGTATAGTGTGCCATGTTTCACGTTTCTTTTTCAGTAATACTAAACATGAGTGCTGGGAATCTTCTGTGCTGATATTTAAGTAACACCCATTTGAATTCAGGAGCATTGGCTGCCAGTTTGAATCGTACTCATCCGCTACAGCACTATTTTTGCTTGAAATTTGAATCTATCATATTGCATGCAACTTTGCAGGTTGAAGACAGCGAACTTGCTGATGTTGCTGCGGTAAGTGCTGGAAATAACTACGAAATTGGCAACATGATAGCTGAAGCTATGAACAAGGTTGGACGACAGGGGGTGGTCACACTTGAAGAAGGAAAGAGTGCTGAAAATAATCTCTATGTTGTTGAGGGAATGCAATTTGATCGCGGCTATATTTCTCCCTACTTTGTAACTGACAGTGAAAAAATGTCAGTGGAGTATGAGAATTGCAAGGTTTGATGCATTCTAGAATTCGGTGTACTTAAACTGTGCATTAACCAGATACTCATTTGTGGGCTCTATGCATTTGATGCTAATGTTGATTCTATCACCCAGTTGCTCCTTGTGGACAAGAAAATCAACAATGCCAGAGATCTTATAACAATTCTGGAGGATGCTATTAGGGGTGGGTACCCAATCCTAATAGTTACGGAGGATATTGAGCAGGAAGCTCTTGCAACTCTTGTGGTCAACAGGCTTAGGGGTGCATTGAAGATTGCTGCTATTAAAGCTCCTGGTTTTGGAGAACGCAAGAGTCAATACCTTGATGATATTGCTACTCTTACTGGAGGTGATATTCAGCTTTTGACATAAGTTGTCTACACTCTAAGCCACACGTGCGCTTATATATCGTTCTTCTTTCAGGTACTGTCATCAGGGAAGAAGTTGGCTTGTCCCTAGACAAAGCTGATAGAGATGTTCTAGGAACGGCCGCCAAGGTTGTAGTTACCAAGGATTCAACAACAATAGTTGGGGATGGTACTACCCAGGACGAAGTAAACAAAAGGGTGACACAAATCAAGAACCAGATTGAGGTCTGTATTATTTAAAATTAAAAATTCTATGTGTTCCTGTACTTCTCGTCAAACCACTCCTGTATTCATTTTCTCCTGACCCTGCTCTTTTTTGGGGGTTTCTTTGCTTACATGAATTTACAGGGCAGATCTTTTGGATTCACATGTCTCAGTATTTTTTTGTGGATTTTTATACAAGTTATTTTTTCTTCAGGTTGCTGAACAGGAATATGAGAAAGAAAAACTGAATGAGAGAATAGCTAAGCTCTCTGGTGGTGTTGCTGTCATCCAGGTGATCTCGATGTTCTGCAATTGAACCAATGCACTTGTTAATGTACTACTAGGCTGCATTTGCAGAAGATAATTGTTGTGAAATGACGCTACTTGTTATGTAGGTAGGAGCACAGACAGAAACTGAGCTTAAGGAAAAGAAACTGAGGGTTGAAGATGCACTGAATGCAACCAAGGTGAATACTTCTCTTTGTTAATATAATTTAATTTTGGGATTGCATTCAGAGAGCCTTCTGATGCACATAGAGTATATGGGTTTGTTGTTTGTTACTTAATAGTTTGCTCTGTGGCAGGCGGCTGTTGAGGAAGGTATTGTTGTTGGAGGTGGCTGTACGCTTTTGCGGCTTGCATCAAAAGTTGATGCCATTATAGAAACACTTGAGAATGATGAACAGAAGGTAGGAAAACAAATGAAATAATCTTTGGTTATTGTTTCATTTCATCCTAGGTTCAAGGCATTTGTTTTCTATTGTCAATAATTAAAATTTCTTTTTGGCTTCAAGGTTGGGGCTGAAATCGTAAGGAAGTCCTTGAGTTACCCACTTAAATTAATAGCAAAAAATGCTGGTGTTAACGGCAGTGTTGTTACTGAGAAGGTTTGTACTCTGACATTTGTTCTTAAGTACGATGAATATGCAATTCTGCAGCTCGTGTGTAACGAATTTTTGAACATGTATGATTTCAGGTCCTTGCCAATGATAACTTCAGGTATGGTTACAATGCCGCTACAGGAAAATATGAGGATTTGATGGCTGCTGGTATTATTGATCCCACCAAGGTAATTTTCTGCCGAATCAATGCGCTTTCTTATTCGTAGTCACATCAGAAGTAATTCTTTCATTATTAGAATATATATTGAAATGCACGTGTGCCTTTGTGTTGTGCTGTAAAATTAATATAACCGATTTACCATGTTGAACCGATAGAAGTGATCAGCTGCATGAAGATGAACCTCTGGGATATGGATTTTCTTTCCTTGCAATCAAACAAGGATGTTTTCCACCCTATTTTTTATATTAGTATTTTGAGTCCATAAAGCTAACGTTGTGTGAAACAGGTGGTGAGATGTTGCTTGGAGCATGCTGCGTCGGTGGCGAAAACATTCATCACATCAGATGCTGTTGTGGTGGACATCAAGGAGCCTGAGAAAGCAGCTGCTGCTGGGAACCCAATGGGTGGATCAGGTACACGGACCTGCTCATCATGATCAAACAGTAGTATATATTGTATGCTTGAACAGAGTTTGCTAATTGTTTTTTGTTCAGGTTTTGGATTTTAGTTTAGAAGAAGAGGAGTACCCTTTTTGGCAGTTGGCAACCATTTTTACACTGGAGGCAGGCAGAATTTCACAGTTGCATCTGAGACGTTTTTTCTTTTCCTGTGTGTAATTGTTGCGTACGTCAATGTGGCAGATGAGAGGAGTAGTAGGTTATGAATGGCCAGCATTATGACAGTTTATTGTTGCTCGACCTTACAGAAGAGCTGAAACAGTGCAACATAATGTTTTTAAGGTTGAGAATTATGCAAGCTGAAGTAGTTGGTAATAACCGGGAGAGGATTGTGTTGTCGTTGGAGTAGATGATGATTTTACTAGCTAGTTAGATCGAGTTACAAACATATAATTAATTAATTAAGGGGGCATTGGCAGATTACAATAATAAATAAATTATTTACATGATAATCGAGTTAGCAGTGATCGTGTTTATATAGGGCCTAAGGAGGAGTATATATATGTATTTAGCAAGAAGTGGGTTGTTAGTTACAGGCAGGGCAGCAGGAGGGTGGGGGGATTGAATTATTATTATTATTAGGCGGCGGTGTTGTTGGCGCGGAGGTCCTCGAAGCTCCAGTCACGGCGGACGCCGCCGCTGCGACGGAGACGAGGAGGAGGGCCGCCGCCTTTACATTCCATCAGCTGCGACGCCGACGCCTCCTCCACCGTCGATTTGCACTTGCGCACCTGCTTCTGCTGCTGCAGCATCGGCTGCTTCTTCTTCTTTTCGTCGTCGTCGTCGTGGTTGCTGTTGCTGGACGACGACGTGGGCGTCATGGGCGCCGGTGGTGGTGGATCGAGCAGCAGCAATGCGGATTGGGGCGTCCTGACCGGGGCGTAGCGCGGCTGCGCGAGGAGTCCGTCAGCGGTGACACCTCGTTTCAGGGCGGTGCAGCAGGTGGCCGTCTGCGGCTGACGCCGCCCATCGTACTCGTCTTCTTCCACGCCACCTCGTTGCCGTTGCCTGGTCACCAGGTTGCACGTCAGGTACGACGAAAGGCTCATCTCGATCTCTATAGCTCCTCACTTGATCATCTACTATCACAATCTCTCTCTCTCTTTTTCCATAGAATTTTATAGCTCGCTCACCGTCCTAATTTTGAGCGGCCGCCCGGCTAATTTTTGGATGGATGGATGGATTCACCCAAATTAGCTAATTAACTGATTAACTGATGACCAACGGCATGCATGCGTCAAAACACTAATAATATTCGCCCAGCTAATTTGAGCATCCGCATGTAGTCCACTAGATACACATCTTGTTCTTTCTTTTTATCACAAGTAACCACATGTTTTTTATACTCTCATGTACAATTGAGAAAATCATTCTGTTCAAAATTGTATTGTGATTCATGTGTTTGTTTTTTTTTGAAAGGAGGGCAAAAGCTTTGCCTCGTATATTGATAGAGATGGGGAAAATACAGGACGATAGAATTATGTACATGGCTAGTCTAAAAAAGAACTAAGCCCGCAAAAGGTGATGATTAAGTGATATCTCTCAAGATTCCGAACTCTTGAAGCTTAGAGGCTCCTACTTTAACTCATGCCTGACCTTCCTCTTTTATCTTGGTGAGGATGGATGCCGGTGGCGATGCAGTGTTTCAAAAAATTTATTCATTTCGCTCACACCATATTTCCTAGGATACCAAGATCACCAGAGTACGCAGGGGAATGCGGAGGTTGTTAGCGAGAATTGTGATTCATGTGTGACATTTGCGGCGGAAATTATGATGAATTTGTTGTGACTTAGTTTCATCTTTGCATTTGTTGTGCAAAACTAGGATGTTCAAGGTATTTTACACTTAGGCTGTGTTTGATACTTGGGGTTGGGAACCCAACTCCACCGTACGGAAAACAGAGCAGTCCATTAGCGCGCGATTAATTAAGTAGTAGCTATTTTTTTTTGAAAAATGGATTAATTTGATTTTTTAAAACAATTTTCATATAGAAACTTTTTATAAAAATATACTATTTAGCAGTTTAAAAAGCATGCACACGGAAAATGAAGGAGATGGGTTGGGAACCTTTAGGAACGAACGTAGCCTTAGTCATACACGTGGCGGGCAGGGCGCGACATGGGGCGCCCGATTTTACTCCCCACGTGGGCGCCCGATTCTAGGCATCATTTGCATTTATGTATGCATGTGCAGGCTTGCTGCAAAGATATTAGTTCTGCATATATCATCATGCAGTAAGTATGCATTGATTAATGGATCATCGATCGTACACACTACACAGACATGCATGCATGATAGTACTAGCTAGTGATATTTGGATATCGAATTAATTGGTAGTAGTAGCTGGTAGCAATATGGCTAGAGCAAGGAGATGATGGCGAGGGAGATGACGCCGTGCTGGAAGAGGGGCTTGGTCCTGGCCTTGATGGCCGGCGGCGTGGCCATGCCCTGCCCCTTGAACTCGTCCTCGCAGGTCACCGGCGCGTCGGTGGTGGCGCTCATCGCCGTCTTGGCGTCGCCGTACCTCCACGACTCGATCGCCGCCACGGCGTTGCCGAGGTTGTAGGCGGCGTCGCGGAACACCTCCAGGCACGAGTCGAGGCAGGACCTCGGCGGCGACCCCGGCGGCGCCCTGTCGCGGAGCACCCTGGCCTCGGAGGCGATGGTGGCCAGGGCGGAGCGGAGCGGCATGGTGGAGAAGAGGGCGAGGCCATGGAGGTCGGCGCCTGGGTACCCCGACAGGGACGACACGCACAGGGTGTAGTTCACGTTGGGGTTGCTCCTGCTGCATTGCCCGCACGTCTCCTCCACTATATCCTCGCCCGCCGCCGCCACTGCCGCCGGCGACGACGCAATGACCATTATTACAAACAAGAAGCAGACGCTGCCGCAGAGAGTGGCCATGTCGATCGACCGACCGACCTTATGGTTAGCAACGTCGACGTACTACCACTGCGTACAAGCTAGCTAGTGTATATATGCATGCTTGTGGGATTAGTTACTAATCAACGTCTTCTAGATAGTACACAGTACGAATAGTACACATGCTACACTTTTTTTTTTCGAGGGGACAGGCAGGGAGCTCCTGCGATTCACCGTAGAAGAAGAGAGTTGATCCAGTTTATAAGGGAAATCAGACCTAAAAACCTTACAACAGCACGGTTAATTAAAGGAAAACCGGCAAAACCCCCGACATCGACAAACTGAACCTAAGTACAGCCGTCCAACAAGAGATAAACTCCTAAAACGAAGCCTTCAAGAAGGTTACGCCGACAGAACGGCGACATCGTCCGATCCTAACGAATCTAGGTTTTCACCCGGAGAAAACTCTTGAAGTGGAGTTGAACGAGGGCTCCAGTAGCAACGCCTTCAAGAAGGTAAACGGCGCCCAAGGGCGTCGCCGTTGCTAGCACCGAGAGCGGAGCAAGACTTTCGCCTTGGAGCACCCATCAACCATAGCATCCACGACGGGAGCCACCAAATGTCACCTGCACACCGAGGATACCTGCGATATTCACACCACCTGCACGACGATCGGACTCCAACCACCCTGTTCCCACCCGAGGACGCGTTGGATCTGGGCAAGGAGCCAGATCCGGCCGTCTTCCTCTCCACCAATGCCGGCCGACGCCAGTGGCAGCCGCGGGGTGCCTGCGTGCTCTTGCCTCCGCCGGCTGCCGCGCCGCCGCCGGATCCGGGTGCGCCACCGCCGGATCCGCAGCCTCCACCATCGCCACCCCAACGCCGTCGCCATCCCCGCCGCCGTCACCCACAACACCACCCGGCGCAACTCACCTCGACCGCCACCGTCGCCCGTCCCCGCTGCCGTCGTCGTCCCCGCCGCCAGCCCATCCCGCCAGATCCGGCCGGAACGGCGCGGATCTGGCGGACACCGCCGTCGCCATTCCGGGCGGCTCCCCAGGCCGCCCGAGCGCGAGGAGACGAGGAGCGCCCCGCTGCCGCCGTCCTTGCGGCCGCGCGGCTTCGCCGGCGGTCGCTCGGGCGACGGCGAGGCGGAGAAGGGGGTGGGGGTGGGGGAGAGGGGCGGCCGGGTCGTCGCCTCCCGAGCCGCTCCTGGGGAGAGCGACGCCGTACACATGCTACACTTATTCTTATCAACACACATGTACACCTATTATATAAGTATCTCTGATAGATTGAACCGGTATATATATATATCCTGAGACGAAGTCATTATAAATATCTCACTGTCAATGAGCATATATATGTTACCTTGATATTGACAAAGTTATCATTGTCACATCACTGTCGATGTGGACGTCACCTATCACTGATATATCTTGATATTGCTAAAATCATCATTGACGCATCACTGATCATTATCTAAAAAATTAACGCATCACTTTTGACGCGTACATCACCTAACATTAAAAAATTATTTATCGTAAATATGAGCACATGTGTTAATTCTAAGACTATTAGTATACACTACTCAAGCCGTTCGTTCTGCGAGTGGTTAGCAGTTATGTTGCAACCGAAACCTGAACAGCTTTGCTCTGCTCTCAACTAAATAGTACTCCATCTATAGCTCTAGCTTCTTAGTTGTGATATCTTAGTTGTCCTTGTTTAGCCAAATGCATCCCCTTTAACTTTTAAAATGGAAGGATGCTTTCCTTGAATATTTATATATTGGGTCCAAAATTTTGGATTCCTCGACATGGATGTACGATAATCTCCGCTTGTGTTTGATCAATGTGATCACTTATACTCTCGCATTAGTTAATTGTAATGATGTGTACAGTACTAGTACTAGACAGCGTTTTGTCGACATTGATACAAGTTCAGTTTCTCAATTAATTGCATGGCAAATAAATATTGCATTTGGAACCGATCGAACAGACTCCTGCAGTATATCTCAAATCCAGATATTGTTTTCTTTAGAAAAAAAAAAGATAATCCAGAGATTATGACAACAGGTTATTCACTTCATTTAGTCTGACGACATGCTTGTAATCTATAAAATTTCCTTGCACTAGCTAGTAGTAGCATTGGCTCATAGAGATCGTTCGATTTCCTTTTTCTTGTTGATCTGAATTTCTTAGATCGATGAGCAATATTTTTACATTTGATCATTGAGATCGAAACCATGCACATGTGAACATATGTACCAAATCAACAGGACTGAGGAAAATAAAAAGTACACAGTAAATTAATCGTGTTATTATTCATTCGTCTTTCATCTGATGAACAATTAAATCCTACAGTACATATTCAATTCAATCAGCAATTAATAATAATAATAATAATAATTTAAGTAAAAGAAGAAGAAATTCCAGCGGATGATCGATCGATGAGAATGCAAATTAATAAGGAGTAGTAGAAATAAAATTAGGCAGAGGCAGGCAGGCGATAGATGGAAGTAAGGAAGAAATGGAGGAAGATTAGGCGGCGGCGTGGGTGAAGCCGATGGCGATGTGGGCCATCCTGCCGTACTCCCTGTCGTGGGCGGCGATGGGGATGTTGCCCTCGTCGCCCTTCCACGCGTCCTCGCAGCTCTCGGCGGCGCCCAGCGCGGCGGACAGCTGCTCCATGGCCGTCCCGTAGATGCGGACCTTGAGGTTGTCCAGGGCGTCGCGGAGGAGGTCGGCGGCGCCGCCGTACTGCTCAAGGCAGTGCTCGAACCGTGCGCGCGCGTCCGACGGCGACGAAGAATCCTCGGGCTCCAGCTCCGCGAGGTCGTCCATCTTGCAGACGGTGCTGGTGGCGTGGTCGATGGCCATACGGGTGGCGAGCATGGCGAGCCCGTGCAGGCTGCGGGCCTCGCTGCTGCTGCTGCGCGGGTCCGCCGTCAGCGACGCCACGCAGTGGTCGTAGGCCACCGCGTGGTGCGTCTCCGATGCCCCCCGGCACGCCTCCTCGATGCTCATCGGGCTAGCGCACTCCTCCGCCTCCTGCTCGCCCGCATGCGCCGCCGCCGCAATCATCAACATCAGCACGCAGCACATCATCACCACGCTTCTGCTGCTGCTGCTGCTTCTGCTCTCCATCGGATCGAATCGAATCGACATATGATCGATCGATCGATCGGTCTCCAAGCTAGCTGCTTATTCTGATGGATCGATGGCTGGCTTGGATGATCGATCGATGTTAACCTGTCGATCGGGGATTGATATGATGATAGTAGCGTGGCGTACGTCCACCGATCGAGGAATTACTGGATCAGCCGATCGATCGAAGAAGACGACGACGATGATGCAAATGGATGGATCGTGTAATTAGCTGGCTATGGTAGGCTAGATGGAATATATATATATATAAACACATTGATGCATGTATCGATCGATGGATAGATGCATGCGGCAGCTAGCGCAGAGTGCGGGCTGCCGGAGACGGTGGACCAACGGGAGTCCGGGACGGGCGCTCGCTCGTTCAATTCGCGCGATTTCTTCACGTCCATTAATTGCTTATCGACTTGAATACTTCAACTCTCTATCTGCATGCCTGCTTGCCGTTCATCCATTAATATGCATCCGTCACGTATATATGTACAGATTTACTACTCATACATGGATTTTCATCTCTCAATTGACATCTACATCTGCATATATATCATCTAAATACTTACAAAAAAACATTTTAAAATTTTGACAAGATAAATTAATTACTATAAGATATATCATCTTATCATATTAATTAATTCGACTTGTATAGGCTGTAACAAAAAGATCAAATAAAACTACAACTAAAACTAGTTAACATACCTGCATAATTATATTTATTTATTGTTTTTATTTACAATTTATAGCAGTTGAATTTGAACATGTATATTAATTTGTAGAGTAATATATTTTATGTTAATCATTTAACTATTTAGACATGCAAGAAACAAAACAATATCTCCTAAGTAATGAAAACTATCCTTCATATTAGTCAATTACGCAAGCTAGGCATGCACACTCATCCTTTCTTACTTTCCTCCTTTCTTTAATTAAAGAAGGGTTGGTCTTTAAAAATTCATCCTTGACTATGTTATTGAAAAAAATCATTTATGGATATATGTGGAACGAATACATTAATAAGGTGTATTTTTTTCGCGAACGCACAAAAAATTGCACGTCAATATATTAGAAGAAATAGAGTTTTAGTTACATAGCACAACGGAATGGACTGGCCCTTGCAAAGATACGGGGAAGAGAGGGGTTAAAAGAGAAGGAGATTAAACTAAAATTGTTGCTCCTAAACAGAGGGAGAAAAGCGAAAGAAAAACCCTATCCTCCCAAAAGATCCCCAAACAAAGCGGCACTAGCTAAGGACCAGAGGCGACCCTCTTGGAGGATGGAAACTAACACCTCCAAGACCGGCGAGAGGAAAGACTCGAAAACCCTAACACTCCGCTCCTTCCAAAGCTGCCAGGATACAAGGAGGACCAGAAAGTCGAAGGCCTTGTGAAGGTGCTCTGGGAAGCGGCCCTAGCAAACCGCAAACGGCCACCAGTCCTGAAAAGTGTCACCACGAGAAGGGACGAGCCCAGTCCAACCAGGAGGGGACAGGATGTTGTGCCAGATTTAGCGAGCGAACACACAGTCGAGTAGGATGTGGTTCACCATTTCAAGCTCCTTGCGCGCAAAAGGGATAGACCGAGTGGTTGTCAATGTCGTACTTTTGCAAAAGCTCAGCAGTCCAACAACATTGCTAGAGTGCAAACCAAAGGAACTAATTGCACTTGGCAAGGCCCTTGGCCTGCCACGGTAAGTCGGTGCAAGGAAAGGGAAGTTGCCCTAGGAAGAAGGCATGGTAGGCCGAGCGGGCCGAGTAGCACTGTTCCCCCGTCCAACGCCATACCAGACGGTCTCCAGTGCTCGGAGAGAGTTGGATAGGACACACTGCATTCCAGACCATCAGGAATTGGGATATGACCGGGACAGTGAGGACGCCACGGATATCCCTTACCCAGGAGTTGCCAGCGAGGGCGAAGGCCACATTGCGCGATGCCCTGAGACGTGGGGGCACTACAAGGAGAAGGTCCGGCGCCATAAAGGCCATAGAGCGGCCATGTATCCACTGGTCCGACCAGAAGAGGGCCAACATGGTTTTGAGGTAAGCCCAGTAGGAATGGCCGGAGCCAGCGATTAATAAGGTATATAATTGCAAGCTAAGCTGCCAGATGCACAAATCAATTGGTCCAGATTCGTGGTGACGTCCATAGACGATAGTATAAATTAAGACGACGCCAAGAGAACTAATCAAGCGAATCTCAGTGCATGCATGAGCGAGTGCAAATATTATTGTTCTTGTCTTATACTACTATCTTACAGTTTAAAAAGTAATTGCGTGATAATGGCGTGGAATAAAGCTATATATGTTTACTCTCAATCACTTCACTTTAGTTGCAGTTTTGGCAAATGCGAGCATCCATCATCGGTTGGTTGTGATATATCCCACGACCAATATAGTATATAATCACTCTTATCTTCTTTTCATTGTCCACTTACAGTACAGCAGATGAACCATGCATTGGGATGCTATATATATACTAATTGATCGGAGATAGATTTTTGTCCCAAAAGATGTCCCCTCATTTCTTCTATGTCGTTACGTGTTGTCTAAATAGCTATGAAAAAAATAGAAAAAAATAATTAATAAAATAGATAAATATGAGGCATATCACCGTTACTCTATAAACATGCAATTAATTCAACCTCTATAAGTTATAATAAAAGAACAAATCTGACTCTAACTAGTACATGTACTATTTATGGTCATATTTGTTCTTTTTCTAATTTATATAGGTTAAATTTAAAATTACATATTTACGGAGTGATATATCACATACTAATTTATCTTGCCTTTTTCTCAAAATATTTTATAACCGTTTAGGTGACACTAAGAAAACAAGGAAACATTCTATAGATATTTTAGCTAATTGCTCTTGGTCTTTGCTAAAATATAATAATAGTATTGGTTAGAACAAACTATATACTTATATTAATTTATGGTCAATTATAATTTGAGTGGTGAAGGTGGTTGCTGTTGGGCTTTGATGGTGTTGGGCGCCTCTTCATCATCAACAGGCAGGTGCTTGGGTTCAGGACAACAAACCACCACCACCACCGAGGAGGCAGCTGCAGCGTCCTTCTTCTTCCCCCACAGCAGAAGGTACAGACCTAGGATCATCAACACTGATCCTAGCACGCTGCCATATATCATCATATATGCAAGGATGAAATCAATTAATTATATATCATGCATGCATATACATATATATATATATATCGTCGTCAATGCATAGTACTATATACATATATACCTGCCGAGGTGGAGCTGCTCATGGAGGAAGAAGAAGTCGATGAAGGCAACCATGATCTGGATGACCGGGATGAAGGCTGCCGTGAACACAGGGCCCCTCTTCCCCACACACCATGTCATTATCAGGTACCCTACTCCAGACGCCATCACCCCCTGCATGCATGCGCCCCCACACAATTAATTCATCTGTATATATGTGCATGGTGATAGATGTACTATTAGCAAGGCATATGTAATTAATTGATTAATTACCGAGTAGATGACAGTGACGATCTCCACTTTGTTGGTGAGAGTCCAGGCGGAGGCTGTGAGCCTCTCGGTGGCCAGTGTGAGCGCCCCACCCTGCAGCGTGCTGATGAAGAACATGATGGCCGTGCAGGAGTAGATCGCCGGGTATTTCTTGGTCAGCTTCCCCTGCAGCAGCAGCCACAGCGAGAAGCACAGGCAGTTCCCCAGCAGCATCACCGTCCCCAGCGTCCATTGCTTATTGTTCTTCACCATCACTGACCCACCATGTCCTCCTCCTGCAGAAGCATCCATGGCAGCAGCAGCTGATGGGTGGTTTGTGAGTGCCACGCCCTTGTAGAGGCTCAGCAACAGCACACCTGCCATGGACGTGAGCGTACCAAGGACCTTGGCACCTCCTGCCATGCTCTTCATGTTGAGGGATTCCACCCCTAGCGCAATGGCGATGAGGAAGGTGAGCACAGGAGACAAGTTGGCGAATGTTATCGCGTACGTCGCCGTCGTGTACTGCAACCCGTAGAAGAAGCTGTACTGCGACAGACCAGCACTGCATATACATATAGCCATACATCCCTAGCTCTGAATTATTATCACTTTAATTTAATTACCATACTTCATCAACAAATTAATAAACTATTGCATGCATTTGAACTTAGAATTGAAAGAACAAACACAGTAGATGATTACCCAAGCAATGCACTGAAGAAGAGGTACACAAATATCTCCCATGTCATCTTAGGCCTTGTGTTCCTGCCTCAATTAATTAAACATACTCCTATTAGTACAATAATGAATTAATTCTCTGAGAGAGAAACATGCAATTAATTGTTCATGTATATATATACCGTTCTTTGAAATAGGCAATCGGAGATAGGAAGAGAGTGGCCACCAGCTGCCGGAGTGTGATGAGGACAAGGCGATTCAGACCTTGTTCCAGCGCCTTCTTCACTAGCGCTGTCATCACCGCAGAGATGAGGTCGAACACCAGCATTGTCATCACCGTCCTACACTCCTCAGCCTGCAACATCATCCTAGCTAGCCTGTTAGTGTTTAGCAGCTAGCTACTTCTCTAATTAACGATATATGTGATTCTCTCAAGTCTCAACAATATATGTATGTATGTAATGTGCTAGCTTCTTGCTGTAAGACAGTAAACACACTCTGCTCATGGACTATATATACCCACACACACGCATGCTGCTGCATAGATAGCCCTGTCCCTCCACTTATTGATATTCCTCCAAAAAAAAAATGAAAAAAGCGATGGCTCTCGTTCATCCCGGGGGGGAATGCTAATGCTATCTGCATACCTAATTGCTCCTCGATCTAGTGGAATGTTACTGCTGAAAAATTAGAGTATATATTTTATCCGACAAATGACATCTGAGGGGGACACTCAGAATATAATTTTCAGAGCAAAGGCGAAAGTAAAATATCCTGATTCAATTTTGGGTGCCCAAACATCGATCTGAAAATGATGCCCATAAAGTGAAGAAAAGGTGAGAGAGCACTCTACTTACAAAACTCTTGATAAAGTCACCTCCTTTTTGCACAATCACCTGGTATGTACGTGGATTAATCGTGGACTAAATACATTAACTTAGTATCAGAGTCAGGAATACTATGAAAGGATCGAGCCAAGGAAAAGGAGTTCTCACCTTGTGGTTGTGGGTGACAGCTCTCTTCACCCTCACGCAGCGCTACCTGTTCTTCAACTCCAAGTCTCACATCTACATTGCAACCAAATTAATGCATCAATCCGTGCCTACGAAAATAGAGTTCACGATGGATGGTCACTGCGTATGCATATATGCATGCATGCGTCGCTTTGATTAGACATGACCATATAGAAATCTGCGGTTCAGGAGTGTGCAAGGGCCAAAAGAACCGGCAAAAGCCAGTTGGATCTGCCTGCCTGTCCATGATGAACAGGTCTCTACTTATAGTTGTAGCCCGCTACTGACCGTGGACAGGGAAAGACATATTTCATGTTTCAGCAGTAAGATTTCAGACTAGTAAAATGTGCACATGTACAGTGGCAAATCACGATTATTTACCATTTGGGTTTAGGTTGTAGAAAATCTGAAAGACAAGTCTTACTGCTGAAATCAACCTGATTGAGTGATTGCTATATATTCAGTCATTTGCAAGATCAAGTTAATTCTTCTTAGAGAGGGAAATAGTCTGCAATGTTATCCTTGGCATTGTAAATCTTTTTTGCCAAGTCCTTTTTTAACCCTTTCATTGAGGACCAATTTATGTATTCTATAAGCTTCTATATAGTTACTACCTAATTAAACACCTAAAACTCTACATTCAAACATAGCAATTATATATGCAAGCATAGTAATTAGTACATCCTAAAGCTTATATAGAAGCACGTCACATCCTAAAACTCAACATATAAACATACCAAATAATCATTTCTCATATCATTTTCACAATATTTTAACTTAAATCCATCTATCAATTTTTTTTCAATATTTAACACATATATCCCTCCATCGTTTATACAACATTTAGGATATTTTTATTTATGTATTCTATAGCAAAGCGCGGGGGTGCCATCTAGTTAATCTGGATCATAACCTTCGTGCTAATTGCTCTAATGCTCTCCACATGTCTCTTGCATGAGTTTCAAGTGTGAAAGTTGTGTGCTATTCTATTATTGGCTTGGCAATGCTACTTTGTTTTTAGTGAAAGTTGAGCATGTGAGCACATATGGTATGTTCGAAGTTAGTTCATAATGCTGGAGTTGAGGAATGCTATGAAAGGAGTGCTCACCTTTTGTGTGTGACAGCTCTATATATTCACCCTCACCCACCACTACCGATTCTTCATTGTACATTATATTGCAACCATATATATGCATCCATCTGTTCCTATGAAACTAGCTAGAACTCACAATCGACGCTATCCATGATGAACGGGTCTCTGCTGCTGCTAGCTAAGTAAAAAGACCTCTTTTCACGTTTCAGCAGTAAGATTTCAGAGTAGTTAATGTGCTCCTCAAGTGTCATTTTCAGTGGCAAATCACGATTATTTACCATTTCGGTTTAGGTTGTACAAAATCTAGAAGAGAAGTGCTTGGTGCAAATCACTGCACATGTGCATACGAGAGCACTGCCAAAAAAGAAAAAAAAACTACAATGAGTTATTTAGGATGATCTTTTACACCACAAAGACTAACTACTACAATTGCCCATTTTATGCTTCCAAATTTTCCTTTTTCTCCCCGTCTTGTTCCACTGCTTTTGCCAATAAAGCAGTAGCTGATGCTTCCTTGCTCTTACCCCAGAGGAGAAGATAGAGGCCTCCAATCACAAGAGCAGCACCTATCGCACTGCAAAGACAAAAAGAAAAACAAAAGTGCGACTTTTGATGTGTCCATCTGCGTAATAAAGTTGTCTTTTGGCCGATAGTTCCTTCAATTTGTAACTTTTTAGCAACACGTCAATAGTTTAAGTGATGCTAGTTGATAGCACAATGATATCAATTCTAGATCCTTTCAAAGAACTAGTAATCACTAAATTTATTTGCAAGCGTCAAGCATGAGCTTTCAAACCATGTGCTATCATAAACTAGTCCGAGTGCAGTTGTCAAGTTCCAAAATTATATACCTAGTACTTGTGCTTATTCATGTGAAGGTTTATCCTTTTCATGAAGGAAGAAGAGATCAAGGAAAGGCCGAGAGTAGTACCTTCCAAGGAAAATCTGCTCATGAAGGAAGAAGAGATCAATGAGTGCAGCCATGATCTGGATGAGAGGCATGAAGCCTGCAGTGAAAACTGGGCCCTTCTTCTCGATGCACCAGGTCATCAGCACATACCCTATCCCTGATACCCCCACTCCCTGCAAGTGCACACCAATAAAAAGTGCAAGGTTTTTTTCTCAGTGGAACACCAGGACACTTTGCACTGAATCTGAATCACTCCCACTTGGGAACTGTCCTGTCCCTTCCTGAATTCAGAAATTCTTTGCCCGGGCCCATATATCTAGTAATCCTATCTTGTACTAGTGTAGTGTCTGCTCTGTTACTTGCGCGTGACAACTATCTTTGAATTAATTTCCACAAAAGTTAATTCGTGTCCTCCAGCAATGGCATGTACTGTTTTACTGTGTCGAAGAATACCCTCTTTACCATTTTCTTTTACCAGAATCAGATTCTTTTGCATCCCAAATTCAGTGATATATATAGGATTTAGTTTTTTATTGTGAGCATGATTAAGTTAGCACAATCAGGTAACATGTTTGTGCCAAAACATTTTGGTTGATGTTTAGAATAAAATTTTGCAGCAAGTCCATGGCATTATAACCGCGATTAATAAAAGACAGACAGGGAAAGATTGGTGATAGGGAGAGTTATCTTACTGCAAAAACAACAGCAATGATCTGTATGTTTCCTCGAATCAACCACACCGAAAGGCGCCTTTGTGTTGTGAGTGCAACAACTCCTGCTTGCATTGAGCTGAACGAGGTCATGAATGCAGTGCTGGAGAAGACTGCAGGGTATTTCTTGGTGAGCTTCCCCTGCAGAAGCATCCATAACGAGAAGCTGATGCAGTTTAAAACCAGCAAGACCGAGCCTAGCATCCATCGCTCCTTGCTGATGCTGCTGCTGTTGGAGGTAATACCCTTTGCACCGTGCTCTTGGACTGACGATGTTGTGTGAGTCAAGGCAGCTCCCTTGTACAGGCCCAATAGCGTCGCGCCACCAACAGACATGAGCGTTCCTATGACTTTTGCCAGCCCCGCCTTGCTCCTCACATCAACTGTTTCCAGTCTGCATAGTGGAAAACTTTTCTGGATAGTGTTTTGATTAAGTACAAAATTTTGCACTGTGAATGCATTGCAATTCCTCTTTATTGGTAAAAAGAATGTAAACAAAGCTCTGAAAATGGTGTCAGTCTGCTTCATACACTGATTTGACTGGATTTGGGGGCACGGCTTCACAAACTAAGCCCCACGTTTGGTTTGATGATCTATTATGCGTTTGGTTTGACCAAGTTTCCTTACAACTACAGTCACATTTGTAAACTTATTTCCCCTACTAAAGGGGTATTTACTTCTTGCCCTTATTTTGACAATCTTTCTTTTGTTTTGATAAAATCTTTATTTAACTGTTGTGGTTCTCTGTACTCTGACAATAGTTTCAGTCTTGTTAATAGATTGTAAGGAAGAAGGAAATAAAGAAGTGGGGGATAGAAGAACTTACTGGAGAGGGATAGCAATTAAAAAGGTGAAAACCGGAGTCATGTTGGAGAATGTTGCAGTCAGTGTTGCTGTAGTGTAGCTCAACCCCAGAAAGAACAGATACTGAGCACATAATCCCCTATATACAACATGATAAGACAAAAGAGCATAATCATATAACCTTTCAACTCGTTTTTTTCAGTTTTTTATTTTCATTGCACTGGGCAAGAGAACACGATATTACAGGGGAAAAACAAAGAGAGCAAGTTTACCCAAGCAATGCGCTCATGAACATGTAGGCAAAGATCTCTGTTGTAAATCTTGGTCTTGTATTCCTGGAATCATTTATAGAAAAAAAAATTATGCAAGAGAACTTAGAGTGACATCTTTGCAGGTATTGGAACAGTTCCTTACATTTATATAAAAGGCATCAGAGGGCTCCCAATTTCACATTTTTCACTTAGAAAAATGCAAAGGATTCGTACTAAAAGCTAAGGTCCGGCTAGACATTTTGAAGACTACGAGCGCACTAGTGGTCCAGCCAACTAGACCAGTATACCAGGAAAAAATAGCTGAGATGCAGCTCAGCTCCATAACAACCAATCACACAACCTCCAAGCTTCATACCTTAAGAACTACTGTAACACCCTATATAACAAGCCATTTGAAACATGAAGAAAGAGATAGTTTTGAAGTTCGAAAATATCACACGTAACCCCACATTGGATTGGCAACAGCTCTCGATAAAAATTGAAGAGTTACTGAAAGATCATTGAATGATGTATCACCATCGGAGTTTCAAATACTTTGGACTAGTAACTACTAGAAATGCGAATGATATAACAAGAGGTATCTCTCATCTTTCATGCGCTTGCATGCACATTGTTACCAGGTACTAAACATCATCATAAACAAACTTTGCACAAGAAATTCAGAACCTGATAAGACACTTGAGATCAGATTACTTGTCACAAACCTTTCTTTGAAATAAGCAATCGGAGCGAGCAGGACTGCCGCTACAAACTGGCGTAGGGTGATAAAGACAACGTGGTTTAACCCATCAGCCAAAGCCTTCTTGACCAATGCTGTCATCAGCGCGAAGAGCGTGTCAAACACCAGCATTGCGACTACGGGCTTCAGAAACTCCACCCAATTCATTCTCTGTGTCTGCACTGAACAGCTGAAGCCTGAAGGGGTGGATTAGGTAAGCCTAGAGTGCCTAGTCCCCCTATAGCAAGCTTGCTTATATTACACAGTTTGGCTGCAGGTGGAACAAGGCAATGCCACACATGTAGCTATCTTGAATGGAACATTTTGATTCGGTCTCAGGTCATTAGGTAACTAGTTCATATACAAACATTTGTACATGGATGAGGTAGCAATGCAATAGGTTGGCAAGCAGAGCACCGCTTTGTTGATGCAGCAACAGAAGCCTCCTCACGGAACAGTGGAACAACCGAACAAGCAAGCTATATATGCATGATCGGATTGCGTGACCTGAGGAATATTGGTACAAAGTGCATGAATACTGACTGGTTCTAGTGTCATTCAGCTGATGTTGGGGTAAGAACAAAGGGCGATGAATTGTTCCTTGAGAGCATGAGCATTAGATGCTAACCTGTAGCCATTGCTGAAGCATTACACGGCCTAGCATAGCAGCTACTCAATCAAGTCAGTCCATTGACATCGTCAGGTACGCTCTCTTTTTGTCCTGCCGCCAAGGGAAGAAGAAGAGTGTTAGTGATAGAGATGCCAGCGATCTAGTCAAGAATAAGTACTTGATTTTGTATATGTTTTCCAGACAAGGGAATACATGCCAGTATCAGACCATATATCTACCAATATATTTTGTCCTATGCTGCTACGTATCGTGTACTTTTCTCACACTGATGTACCAGCAGCATTCCGTTCGTCCATCCAATTCTGCACAACATATAGCACTGATGATTCCGCAATCTCAGGTTGAGATTGTCGAATTGCTCTTTATTTTGCGTCTTGACATGACGATCACGGAGTACATGTGATCTCATGGATTTCCTTTGCATATTTCTTCCTCATGCACGTACACTAGTAGTATATCTCAGGCAAAGCATCAAATATGTTGCCAGGTGTCGACCACAAGAGTCCCAGCAAGCGCTGCTCTTGTTCAAGCTGCACACTTAAAAGCGCTACTACCTCCATCCCAATATCCAATATAAATGCAACATGCATATGCGATATATCTTAGAGCTACGAATCTAAACCGAGAGAATACTATTTAAAACAAACGATTTTACAGCTAACTTGATCACAGCACTGGCAAGGCAAACCATGGAACATTAGGAATTCAGGCTGCAGCAGAACCAACGAGGGCGAGATAATAATAACCCAAGTTGCAGGTTCTTTCAACGGTGTAAAAAAGATCCATCAAGAGAAATAAGCACAGAAACATTCTCACAAACAATACGGATACCATAGGAGCACATGCTCCAATTACATAATAACATCCTAACCCAGTAGTACAAAATTTCATTGTCGAATGACCTTGTAATTTGACTCAAAAACAGAGCAGTAAAAGTTCCTTGTGCACTCTCTCTAGGACAGGTTTTGCTACAGCTAGTAAGGAAACGCAGCTCACTGGTCCTCAGTGATGGTGCCCTTGTCACTGACATAGATGCCATCCAGGAACTTCCTGATATCCTTGTTCTTGACGTGGCATTTCTGTTGGGAGCAAAAAGGAAATAGACATGGTTTAGGACAGAGATCAACTAAGCATCAGGTAGTAAAGACACCTAACAAGATGAGACTCGTGCAGCACAGAGTAGCAAAGATATCACCCCACCTATTGGTGATTTAAGTCAAGTAGGAGCAGAATCTTAACACTGTTGTTATACATCCAACTAGCATGGTGGCCTGTGCAAATTGCGCGCCTAGCATCATTATATTTTCTATCATATAATAGCATATATGTTTTCTCATTATATTATTCAAATATATTAAAATGACAACATAATTTTAAATTTTGCAATATGTGTAATATTCATATTATATTTTATATACATGTTAGTTATTAATTATTTTTAATATCAAATTTTAGTTATTTGTAAATTGTATATATTCCTATATGGACTCTAGACTCGTCTTTTAATATTTCCTTTTTTTAATTCCGAATTTTCTGTAAATTGTATTTCTATATAGACTCTATGCTCTTCTTCCAATATTATTTATTTTTATTTCTGAATTTTCATATTATATTTTATATACTTGTTAGTTATTAATATCAAATTTTAGTTATTTGTAAATTATATATATTCCTATATGGACTCTAGACTCGTCTTTTAATATTTCTTTTTTAAATTCCGAACTTTTTGTAAATTGTATTTCTATATGCTTTTTTTTCAATATTATTTATTTTTATTTCTGAATTTTTATTATTTCTAATTGTATTTCTATGTGGACTCTAAACTCATCTTTCAATATTCTTCAATTTTTAATTTCGAATTTCAGTTACTAATAAATTGTATTCTTATATTGACCTTAAACTCTTCTTCCCATATTTTTCTTAATTTCGAATTTTAGTTATTTGTAAATTGTATTTTTTATACAGACTCTAGACTCTACTTTTAATTTTATTATGTTTATTCCAAATTTTAGTTAGTTTTAAATTCCTATATGGACTCTATACTCTACTTCTAGTATTTCTTTTTTAAATTCCGAATTTCTATTTTTTTTTCTTAATTGTATTTCTATATGGACTCTATCCTCTACTTCTAATATTCCTTATTTTTAATTTCAAATTTCTATTATTTCCTAATTGTATTTCTATATGGACTCTATACTCTACTTCTAATATTTCTTGTTTTTAATTCCGAATTTCAGTTATTTCCTAATTGTATTTCTATATGGACTCTATACTCTACTTATAATATTCCTTATTTTTAATTCCGAATTTCAATTATTTTCTAATTGTATTTCTATATGGACTCTAGTCTCTTCTTCTAATATTCCTTATTTTTTAATTCCGAATTTCAGTTATTTCCTAATTGTATTTCTATATGGACTATAGTCTCCTCTTCTAATATTCCTTATTTTTTTATTCCCAATTTCAGCTATTTCTAAATTGTATTTCTATATGGACTCTGCTTTTTCTTTTTCTCTGATTAATGTGAGAATTTCTAAGCCATGAGAGAGAACGTGGAAGCTCCTTTTTCTATTCCTTTAATTATATAATAGATAGATTTGGGAAGCATGAACAAACTCTAAGAAATATACAGAATCTTAAAGCATATGCACACAGAACACCTACTCCATTATACAGCAGCAAATTAAAGTAGTAACAGTCTGACATAACGAAGCATTGTGATTTACAGGATCATCATAGCACACATTCACAGAGCTAAGAGAGACAGGGGTGCAAGAAATCTAACCTGGTTGATCAGTGCCGCAGAACGGGAGACAAGCTCGATATCATTGCCATCAAGGACCAGCTCATCCTTGACCTTCTCAGAACGCAAAATTGTCACACCCTCAAGCATGTCCACTTTCCTCACCTATTATTGAAGGAAACGAAGGATGTCATAACATTTTTTATTATCTGTGGTTTCCAAGCTATATACTGAATGAATGTGACAGCAGATTGGGAAAAAAACAATGTTGAAGGCCAGAGAATGATTTGCTTTTCTAGAGTCTAAACCACATGTCTATGTTGTGTAGAACAAATATGAGAAATATTGAAGCATGGCAGAAATGATGTATGTGCAAGTGATCCCTAATAATGTGTTTTTAACAGAAGAATCAGCATTTTGTGTTGCAAGACTAACTAGAGCAGAAATCCGAAGCTGAATGTAGGCTAAACAGGCAATCTGTGAGGCATAAATTAAATATTTGCAGCTACTAGTTGAGATGAATCAATAGAGGCGTGTAATCGTGGAGTGGAGAAAATACATTGCGCGTAGGATGAAATCATGTACGTGCTGGTAGATGGTAATAGAAAGAAAGGGAAAGGGGTAATGGGGGGGACCTTCTTCTCGCCGAGGAAGTTCCTGATCTCGATGGCGGTGTTGGAGTTGGTGATGGAGGCGTTGATGGGGAAATGGGCATAGACGAAGCGCATCTTGTAGCGGTAGCCCTTGGTGACGCCGGTGATGAGGTTCTGGACGTGGGAGATGGCGGTGCGGATGGCGGCCATGGTGCGGCGGGTGCCGAACCACGCGTCCACCTGCAGCTTCCTCACCCCCTCCACCTCCAGCAGCTGGAAGTCCAGGTTCAGGTGCTTGAAGTTGCGCGTCAGCTTCCCACGGGGACCCTCCACCGTCACCACCTTCGCCGCCACGTGCACCGTCACCCCCGACGGGATCTCCATCGTCTCCGAAGCCAAGATCGTCTTCATCTCTCGCTCTCTCTCTCTCTCTCTCTCTCTCTCTCTCTCCCTCTCCGGCGGCGGCGGCGATGCGGGGCGTGGAAGAAGAAGGAAGAAGGAGACGAGTGGCGTTTTCCGCTTTATATAGGTGGGTGACGCACACGGCCTTAGGGTTTTTGCCATATTGGGCCTAGGCTTTCTGGTGGGCCGTTCAATGATGATGGATGGGCCCAATCAACACGCTCGCGACTTGTAGATTGTAATGCAGCAGCCCAGTCATTTTAATTCACATGCGCATATATAATAAATAAATGGGACACTAAAGTTGTCAAAATACAGCAGAAAATGGGAAACCACTTTATAGTCGACGAATCGTCAGTATAATATCTACATGCATCTCATCAGATGAGATCAGATCGAGTACAACAAGATGGCGTATGCAGGTTGCGCATGCATGCATGAAAATCGAGATAAAAAGGGATTAATTAATTATTAACATATATATATCCATCAGTAGACTTCCACATTCCATTGCTCCGACTTCTTCAGCTGCTTCTTGTAGTCAAGCCAGTCGATGCCTACATACAGTATATAATGCAAGAAAGAAAGTAATTAGGAATCGAATAGAGATGGAGATTAAAAGAAGTACTAGTACAGTACCGTCTTTTGCAGCGAGGTCGATCATGATGTCGTCGATGCCTTTCTCCATGCCCTTGAGGCCGCACATGTAGACGTAGGTGTTGTCCTTCTTGAGCAGCTCCCACAGCTCGTCCTTGTACTCCGCCATCCGCGTCTGGATGTACATCTTCTCCCCCGCCGCGTTCGTCTGCTCCCGGCTCACCGCGAAGTCCAGCCGGAACCTCTCCGGCGCGATCTCCTTCATCCGCTCGAACTCCTCCCTGTACAGCAGCGTGCTGCTGGTGGGCACCCCGAGGAAGAGCCACGCCAGGCCGTTGAACTTGTAGTCGTCGTGCTCCTCGAAGAACATCTTCCACAGGAAGGACCTGAAGGGCGCGATGCCGGTGCCGGTGCCCAGCATGATGATGGTGGCGTTGGGGTCCTTGGGCATCAGCATCTCCTTCCCCACTGGCCCCGTGATCTTCACGTCCGAACCAGGCTTCAGGTCACCTAAATTATACTCCATTAATTAGCACACAAGTACAATCTAACTGCTATTACATGATCAGACTCCTAGCTTACAGAGGAAGTTGGAGCAGACTCCTTTGACGATCTCTCCCTGATCGTTGGTGTACACCAGCCTCTTCACGCACAGCGATACCTGATCGATCGATCAGGGACGATGTCGATGTTAGTTAGCTCATGTCTTGTGGTTGAGATCGATGGAGCAAGAAAAACACTACTAGCTAGTTACCGTCTTGGAGTCGGCGAAGTCCCCGATGGCGCTGCTGGCGATGGAGTAGAGGCGGAGCTTGTGGGGCTTGCCGTTCTTGTCGATGCCGTCGGGGATGACGCCGATGGACTGCCCCTCGCGGTAGGGGATCTCGCCGTCGGTGCTGAACACCATGTGCCACGTCTCACCGGGGGCGTCGTCGCCGGTGATCCTCGTGTTCAGGAGGCACCGCCCCGTGTACGGCTCCTTGGGCCTGTACTTGTTCGTCACCACGCCATCCACCTGCTTCTTCGACACCTTCTCCACCTTAGTAGTCACCTCCGCAGCCGGCGCTGCGGTCGTCTCCGTCGTCGACGCCTGCGCCCGCACGCCATTACCGCTGCTTCGCTTGGACCAGCAACGAGGAGGGTAGAATACGGAGCAGGTCGACGGCCTCGGAGCTCCCCCGGCTACGGCGGCGCCAGCTTTGCTACAGGGCAGCGACGACACTGTGTTCACGGCGGCCATGTCTGTGTGCCTGTGACTCGCGACAAAGGAAGGAGAGGAGAGGAGAGGAGAGGAGAGGATTGTAGTAATTGAGATTGGAAAAGAGAGAGAGAGGATTGGATTGAGTGGAAGAGAAAGCAGGTGACGAGCTTGTGGTGCCCGTGCGCGCCTCCCTCCCTCCATCTACTTAGTACTAGTACTATTCGATCATGGGCCACCCAATTTTAGCCTAGCAATAAGTTCACTTTGGGTCCCTCTATTTGTCGCACAGTCCGATTTTCGTCCCTTGACCGTAAAACCGGATACGACCCGTCCCCCAACTTACGAAAACCGGGCAAACAAGGTCCCTCAGCGGTTTTGGCTGACGTGGCACCTACGTGGCTAATTTAACTCGGTATTCATCTGACGTAGCGCTTACGCGGCAATTCGATCCGGAAAAATAATAAAGCACGTGGGACCCACATGTCATTTTCACACATCAAATAATAAAAATAAAAGTGGGACCACGTGGGCCCCACATGTCATACCCCCCCTTATCTTCTTCCTCCTCCCTTTCCATCTCCCCTCTCTCCATCTCTCTCCCCTCCTCTCTCCAGCCTCCAGGCGCCACGGCTCACGGGGTCACAGGGAGGTCCGGCGGTGGCGGCAGGCGACGCGACAGCCACCGCCTGCGGCGAGCTCCACCTCTCGGCGCATAGGTGATAGGGCCGGCCTTTTGTTTATGGGCCTTTTCTCTTATTCTGTCTACTTCCATTCTGATGAATATTCTAAGCAGATGAAGTTACATATTCAGTACATTACGATTTTATTTTTTTTTAAAAAAATGTTAATAAATGCTACCCTCCGTATTTTAATGTATGACGTCGTTGATTTTTTAACCAACGTTTGACCACTCGTCTTATTCAAATTTTTTATGCAAATATAAAAATACTTATGTCATGCTTAAAGATCATTTGATGATAAATCAAATCACAATAAAATAAATTATAATTACATAAATTTTTTTTTAAATAAGACGAAAGGTCAAACGTTTGTCAAAAAGTCAACGGCGTCATATATATATTAAAGTACGGAGGGAGTATAATAGTAAAACATCTACCAATAGGCAAGCAACCGATAAGTTTTGAAATTTAAACAGAGAAAGACTCACGGTTACAGGACAAGTCTCTATCTCCCTCTTAACCATATCCAACTAAAGTACTCCGTATCAAATACAAACATCTATATGAACTAGTATGTAACTAATTAATGTCTATATGAACTACACCATTCAAAAGTAGAATATAACATCTCTAGCTACTGATTTTAACGGCCCCTTTGATTTGTAGGAAAAATGTAGGAATTTTGGAGGATTTCAATCCTATGGAAAAAAATCCAATGAAGGCCTTTGAAACAAAGGATTGAATCCTATCCAATCCTTTAAAATTCATATAGAATGTGTAATCCTATGCACATTTTGGAGAAAAGTTAGCAAGAGGTCTAACCTCTTGGAACATTTCCTCTGAGTCTCTCTCTCTCTCATCTGATTCCTGCGTTTTTCCTGTGTTCCAATCAAACAGTCATTCCTGTGTTTTTCCTGTGTTTTGCAATCCTCTATTTTACAATTGTATTCCTGTCAGAATCTTGTGTTTTTCCTATTCCTCTGTTTTTTCATTCTTACGATTTAAAGGGCCCTTAGAATTCCTATGAATTTAAGAGTGTAGCACTACTACTTATAAAATCATGCTCCTTTCGTATGAAAGCATCAAAGACCAAGAATATATATAGCCCTTTAGAAGACAAGAGGATGACATGTATTTGGTTAGACGATTTTTTTGGTTGTTGAAAACTGCACTACATTATTACGGCACCGCCAAATTACTAAGATTTCACTTTAACTGAGAGAACAACTCTACATTACATGTATGATTTCTTTTTTAGTTTTAGCAACTTGTAAACATTTATGTACCTACAAGTCTACTAACTAAAGAAGCTGACCTCGTGTTAATAATTAGAAAGATTTTACGATTGGTGAATTATCATAATCGTGCAGAATTATTATTGTTTAAACATGCATGGTAGACGCTTGTGCACAAACTCATCCGATGTTGTGTCCTCGCCGGAGGAGCTTCACGGTGATGGTGGGGTGGCTGCAGAGCACACTAGGAGCCGCCATCGCCGTCGTGTCTGGCCCCCGGCGGCATGGACGGGTGCCCTTCGCCACCCACGTACGTGGCGGCGCCCCGTGCAGCTGGATACTTTGCTTTTCTGCCTGACAAGCTGGAGCATTTCCAGACCAACACAGCAGTATGCATTCCGTCATCATCACTACGTCAGCTCTTAACCATTCAACTGGACTAGTAGATGATAAATTCTTTGTCAAGGCAAGCTTGGCACAAACTAAATTGACACAAACACCAATAGCTAGTAGTATGTTTCGGGGATCGGCCACTATCGCCGTATCTGTACAAGCTTTTAATCGGCAATCATACAGAGCATGCAAATTTTAACCCTAGTTAGGGGCTCATAACACAAATCCAACAGATAGACTAGCCAAAATTTTCTTCCACCGCGCTACTTGACTTGATACGCTTAAACAACAAAGTAATCAAATCAGATCAAAAATGATATTGCATGATACACAAGTCACACATTGCTAGCTGTGGGGAATGTCCAGGGCACTGGAATCACCGAGCACCTTACGAGCGCGCCAGTATATAGCATTTGCTGTTTCTGATGTTCCCAACTGCCCATGTGCATTTTCAATGTAATGTCAGCAAATAAAATACAGATAAGGAACTTAATCACGATTAAAAGAACAATCGGATGAGGAAACAAGCGATATGGATCTCACCTTCAGCTCCATGTTGTAGTAGTTCCTCCAAAGTTCTCTTTCCTGGGGATAGAGATCGAGCGCTGCATCATACAGCTTACGAGCATTCACAAGGCTGTCTTGGTTTCCGATTGATGCAAGGTTTGTTTCCAACTCTATGCAGTACTGGAAGAACTTGAAGCTTGGACGTGGTAAAGCCAGAAATCTGCATCGATGCAGAGGTGTCAGAAACATGCTTACTCAAACAATACATATGAATTGATTCCCGCACATGTTTCTAGAAGAATCTATGTGCACTTATAGTTCATACACAAAAGGCAGAATCTGAAACATGGAATGTGCAATGAAAATTCATAGCACGCTTCGCTCAGTTTCAAAGACAACACTACTTGCCTAATAGACAAAAACTCCAAATCTTGCAGCAAAGCAAATTCAATTCATGCAATGAACAATATTACAGTGATATTTCATTCAAGGACCATAAAGTTCATACCTCTTATACATCTTTCTAGCTTGCTTGATACCATCTCTTTGTAAAATCCATCCAACAATAGCAGAAGAAACCGAAGCTCCACAATCATTTCCACCAGCAGAACTTAATGATAACATTGCACATTTCACCAGCTTTTCGAAATAAACCTTCTCATGAGAAAACAATTTCATGGCCTGAAATGAATTACAACAAGCTTTTGAACAAATATGCAACGAAGTAATGCATTGTGCCCATTACAGATAGTAGAAATTAGTACAAGCAGTCAAACACATTAATACATCCATGGAACTATTATATAAATACATTGCATCGTTAAAGGTAAAAGAAACAAATCAACAAAAGAAAAGATGAACCATAATCACAGTGAAAATAGAGGAGCAGAATAAAACTTTGTGAAACAAGTTCAGAGATAACACATGAGAGTAAAAGAGATCGAGAAGGGTCTATACCGTGTGCCACAATTCCTCAGCCTCAGGTATGGGTAACTTTGGAAGTGCAACATTAAATAGATCAAATAGAGAACTCAAGTTCTCCTTGCTGAACGAAGAAATGCCAGTAGAAGTAGCAAGTGACTTCATCTCAATAGATGCTCTCAGGTTCCACAAATCCGCAGCATGTGAAAGAGGACCATTGCAGAGCTTTTTGGCAAGATTCCTAGCTTCCTCTAATCTTCCAGGTGCCTCCTCCAAACCTCCAAGTCTCAAATAAAGAGACACATATTGGCAAGCAAGATCTTCAGTAAGACAACCGCTTGATTCGGCATTTTGATAGACTTTCAGTATACATGAAGTGAACCCTGAAGCATCAAATTCACCGCCATGAAACAATGAGATGGAATCTTCTGTATCAGCAAACAGAACACCCATCCAAAATTTTGCATACAGGGAATACATTCTGGAAGTTGGCAACCTCCTGACAGCTTCATCATACACCTACAATACAAAAAACGTAGTTTGAAATGTTTAAATATTGAGTTTGATTATTCGTAAGTCTAGGGCAGGTTGCATTAATCAACAACCTTTTTTTTCTCCCAAAGAAAGCAGGCAAGATTGAGTGACAGATAAAAATAACCAAATAATGAGTTTTTACCTGTATTGATTTATTCAGTTTATTTGATAAAGCTTCCATTCTATTCAAATTACTGGAACTAGTTGAGTCACTAAGCTGAAGCCTAGCAAGCCAATCCCAGTAGTCCTCACTGTCAGAGAACTCTTTCTTCAGGTCATCCATGACCTCTACCTTCAGTTCGTCAGAATGTGCTAGGTCAACACTACTCAATATCTCTAAGAATTTCTTCCGCAAGGTTAAGCTTGAAGGAAGAGCTTTTGTAGCACCATGGTATATGGTTTGAATGATTAGCAGCCCTTGCTGCCAGAATAGGTCTTCCTTCCCCTCCAAAGCAACTCCCTGTGAGCCAGACTCCTTGGGACCTTCATCTTGTTCATTCAGTGACATGAACAGTTCTTTATTTTCCTCTTTCCAAGTGCTTGCATCATTATTCTTCTTTTGCAGTGTCTTCACATCCTCTCCAAGAGCAACCTTTCGAGCCTTAAGCTTGTTAAGATAGGTAAGCTCCATGCGAAGATACTCAATCCACATATCCTCTGATTCTGGACAAGATCTAAGACCAGTCTGCATAAGAGCACGTGCTGCAGCAACATTTAAGTTCTGATCAAATTCCCATGCTGCTGCATAGATCCAGAGCCCAGGAACCTTGGGGTGGTAACGAATAGCTTGTGCCAGAGCCTGAAAAATAATACAATGAACATGAGATATGTAAATTTAGTAAATAGTGAGATCAATTCAATGTTAGCCTTCCAAAAATATATATACGCATGTTTACATATCATCGGAGGAGAAGTTCAAACAAAAAAGGCATGAAATGGGGCACATAAATACACAACAAAAGAAGGACAAACAGGCATCAACTCATACTAAGATTTAAAATGAAATCTACATCCAAGAACCAAAAAAAAGAAAAGAAAAGTTTCATCTCTAAATAGCTTTCAAGCTCTGGCCACATTATATATTTGCAAAAGGAAAAAAAACACAATTTCAAAAACTTCAAAAGCTCCAACCTTTTGCCAGTTATGACTATATTTCTATGCATACTGAGTAGCCTTCGGAACACAATCAGATCTCAAACAAGTACACACTGGACTGGGGAAGTCCTTATTCTTTCTTAGCTCGAATGTTGTGAAAACTTAAACAACTAATTCCATATGAAACATAAAACCAATCGCTTACACTACAGCTTTTCTGTCTTACCCTTCAATAGGTTAATGACTGGTATTTAACGTTTACCGGATCTGGACTGGTGAGCATTGAACGATTTCTTTTTTCTATGGCTTACCATGTCCCCACCGCCGCCTTAACAAACAGTGCACAACACAACAGCTCCAGTGATAGCTGGATGCGGGGTCTGTTTAGTGGCAGCACTGTAGTGTAATCTCATACCGTTTTCGCGACGCATAGCCAGTGACACCAGTGCAGCCTATGTCATATTCAGGATTGCGCGGTAATCTACCATGAACCAGACAATGGTTATTCGGTGTAAAAAGCCCAGGAAAAAAAATAAATTTCAACAATAAGTGGGGTCATGACTTTATTATCTTCAGCATTCAACTATTTATAGCGTATTATTTCTGATGCACAACCAGAAGTTCATGTGAAATTGTCAAGTAATCTATAAATTTCTATCAGCAAGACGTATGGCCTAACTTGCTGCCCGATAATCACAATGTGAGTCATGCGACTTCACTCAATGCCAAACTTAAATTCAGAGCACAAGAAGGCTTCAACCGTAATAAAATTCTTATTGATCAAACAGAGACAAAGAGATGAAATGAACCTATGCATTCATAAATAAGTGAATAAAGTTGGTTGCCCGTGTCCCTCACTCACTACGGTGTGGCCAAGAAATGAAAGGGCGACATATAGTAATCAGTACTAAACCATTGCTACATCAATCAAGAGCCGCATGTAGAAAAGCTAACAAAATTGATTGAACAAGGCAATGCCGCAGTATCATACATAGTATGGAGAAAGAAGTAATGGGCAGGATGAGACAGGAAGGTGGGAAGGTTCTGGGGAGACTTGCCTGCTTCATCCGACCATGGCGCTTGTCGCGACAGAACTCGAGGTAACGGAACCAGAGGTCGAGGTCCCCCTTGTACCTGACGGTGGCCATCCTGTAGATGTCGAGGACGCGGAGGACTCCGGCGATGTCGGAGACGGACTTCTTCCACTTCTTGGCCTTGCCCTTGTTCCTCTTCTTCTTCTTCTTCTTGCTGCTGTCGTTGTCGGTGGCGTCAGCATCGTGGTCGGTGGTGTCGGGGGTGGCGCGTATGATGGCGCGCTTGCGGAGGTCGCGGAGGGCGTCGAGGCGGAGCTCGTAGGCGATGTAGTCGAGGAAGTCGGAGCGGAGCGGGGAGCGGCGTCGGAGGCGGAACTCGAAGTCGCGGCGGCGGCGGACGACCTCGGCGAGCTCGGCGCGGGTGAAGAGGCCCCGGCGCTCGAGGTCGTCGAGCTCGTCGGACATCCGCTCGAGGCGGTACTGCACGGCGTCCGCCATGGTGATGTCCCGGCTGCCGGCGGCGGGGAAGGAAGGGTAGACTGGGGTTTTAGGGTTTTTGCGTGTGAGCGCCTCCGCCCGCGAGGGAGGAAGGAAAGATGTCACCTTCTATTCTTCTACATGGGCTGGGCTGGGCCAGAACTGGACTGTAGCTTCCTTACGCACAACTGTAGCATACGTGCAGGCCCGTTAGAATGAAGTCATTGCAACTCCCTCAACTATTGACCCAGTCTAATTCGTACCCCTCCACCGCAAAACTAGGGTGACGCCTCGGCTCGAATTTTTTTTATTTATACTTTTTTTATTAAAATATTTACAAAAATAATTTTTTGTTTCGAAAATTTACAAATCTAATTGCCTGCCGCCCTTAAGAAGGGCGATTTTTAAAAATCGCCCTCTCAAAGGGCGGCAAGGGACCTAAATACAAAATTTTTATTTGTGTTCAAACCCTTCCCACCGGTTTTAATTGCTTAAAAACTAATAATGCTTATTCGATACTCCAAATGATTTTAAATGGAAAAGTGATAAACTACAAAGTTATAGATCTCATCAAGATCTACAACTTTATATAAAGTTTATCTCCATCCAATGTCGTTTGAAATGTAGATCTGAGATTTTTTAAAATGTGTTATATATTTTGTAACGAATATTTAGATATCTAAAACATCTTAAATGAAAAAGTTATTAACTACAAAGTTGTAGATCTCCTTGAGCTCTACAATTTTGATATAAAGTTTTATTTCATCTGACTTTATATAATATAATTTTAAATTGTAAAATTATAGAGCTAACAAGTTATGCTGGAAAATTTACATTTAGGTCCCTTGCCGCCCTGTGGAAGGGCGATTTTTAAAAATCGCCCTCCCAAAGGGCGGCAGGCGATTAGATTTGTAAATTTTCGAAACAACAAATTATTTTTGTAAATATTTTAATAAAAAAAAGTATAAATAAAAAAAATTCCCTCGGCTCGGGCGCCCGATGCAAACGGGTTAAAATTGACGTCAGCGCCCGATTTACGTGTAAAACTACTTTAAACTGATTTTTCTCTTAAATTACTTATCCAAATCATGATCCGATTGCACCATTAAATTCATTGCAATTAAATCTTTAAAACAAGACCACGCATGGATATATCCTGACGAAAAAAAATAAGCTTATTATTGAATTATTTTTAAATGTTGCACGATGTTCCACCAGGTATATCGAAATTGTTTCACAAAGTAGATCGAAAATGTTTCACTCGTTTAAATCGGGTGTTGTTTCACCTTATATAAAAACAATGTTTCAGCAAATAGCGAAAGAATGTTTCAGTTAACTGCAACATTAGATCTATACATAGTGAAACAATGTGAGTACACTAGGTGAAACATTTTTCGGTGGAACAGAAAATAACAAAATATGTGGGTTTTTTGTTGCAATGGAATATTTCAATTCACTGTAACATTAGATTTATACATAGCGAAACATTGTGAGTACATTAGGTGAAACATTTTTGGTGGAACAAAAAATAAGCCAAATTCCCTTAATAGAGAGTTTCCAAAATATTTGGGTTTTTGTTGCAATGGAATGTTTCGTTCACTGCAACATTAAATCTATACATAGTGAAACATTGTGAGGACACTAGGTGAAACATCTTTTTGTGGAGAAAGGGGAGGGAGAAGTGGGTGGGGCCCAACAGGGTCACGTGGGGGGAGAGCGAACGTGGGGGAGCGCCCGATCCGGCTCCCCCTGCGCCGGTCGCCCGGGATTGAGCAATTCCGCAAAACTAGATACCCCGTAGCTCGCTTTCCCAAGTATTAAAAAACTATATACAAAACAAATCCATGGCTGTTTTAGGGTGGTTTTGGCTTAATTACATGATGTCCATATGACAACCCAGTATAAAAAAAAGTTTTAAAAAATAGACTTGAGGCCCACATATAAGTGATAAGGAGAAAAATAAAAAATATTGATTGCTAGCCTACAAGTGTCTAGGAAATAAATATACATAAGGACAAGGTATTTCCACACAAATCAATCATTTTATCTTATCGAATTAGTGCAGTCTGTTGGTACTTACTTTATATGGTTATAACAACATTTAGAGCTCGTTTTATACACTGGATTGAGAAAACAAAACGAATAAGAAAAACACAAAATCTTGATAGAATTGTAATTGCAAAACATGGAAAAATACATGAATGGTCATTTCAATAAACCGTATGAGAAACACAGGAAACCAGAAGAGAGAGATATGCTCGAAGAAAGCTTTCCAAGGGGTTTGAGTTCTTTCTAACTTTTCTCCAAACTTTACATGCATTTAGCCCTTTCTTAGGAATTTTATAGCATTTGGAAAGCTCTAATCCATTAGTTTCAAATGACCAAAAAGGAAAAAGTCCTATATAATTTGGATCCTACAAAACTCCTCCACAAATCTGTGTGCTCTCTATGCGTGTCCTCTAGGTGTAACATCTAATATGTATCCATGCTAGCTACATTCTATTTTTGTCCCACAATATAAGAAATTTGGCGATGCATTTGTTAGTCAAAATCTCTTACTACCTCTGTTTCAGGTTATAAGACTTTCTAGCATTGCCCACATTCATATAGATACTAATGAATCTAGACACACATATATGTCTAGATTCATTAACATATATATGAATGTGGGCAATGTTAGAAAGTCTTATAATATGAAACGGAGGAAGTATATTATAGGATACTGTTAGTATGAGATAAACACTGTATAATCATCAAATAGGTTTTGTGGGATCTAGGAAACCTGCACTTTGAAAGCTTGAAGTAATGTTATTGGGTGCATATATCTAGTATTTTATCTCCAAAAGTTTATTGTCTGGTAGCATAGTTTTGTTAAGGGATCCAATTGGACCAAGTGGATCCTCCCTACTTTTTAAAGAAATAGTTTCTAACCTCGTGATCGGCTTTTAAAGAGACCTACTTGTGTTACCTTAGGTTAGTTAGGGTGGGTGAGTTTCCAATATGATTTTTTTATGATAAGGGCCACACCTCCCTTTCCCATCTCCCTAGTTTTCTTGCCCCTTGTTTGTTTCTCTAAAGGGACAAGGAAGCATGAATGGTTAATATACTCAACACGTCATTTCTTCTTTTAGACGCCACGGCGCGCTCATCAAAACCATTAGTCTCGGTTTAGACCTTACTTGATTAATTCAACGATAAAGCTAACCATGAGAGTTGGTTTGCACTATATTTTTATGGAGCTAGGAAACTGAAACAGGATCAACTTGCAAGCAGGAAAGCAGAACAAGGATGGATATTATTGCTAGTTTGAAGTAGGATAGGTGTGGAATCTGACAAATCAGGCAGATGTGTGATCTTTTTTCTTTGAAAAATAATGAAAAAGGAGGGGGAAAGAAAAATCAGATTTTGGTTGGCTCGCCCTCCGTCTCAAAAAAAGACAAACCCTGGTTTCCGTGTCCAACATTTGATCGTCCGTCTTATTTGAAAAAATTATGAAAAAAATTAAAAAGACAAGTCACGCATAAAATATTAATCATGTTTTATCATCTAACAACAATGAAAATACGAATTATAAAAAAAATTCATATAAGACAGACAGTCAAAATTGGACACGGAAATCCAGGGTTTGTCTTTTTTTTTTACGGAGGGAGTACGAGGCTCGGTCTGCAAGATGGTCCACGTGGAGGTCCCCACCGCGGCTTTTGATGGCGGTGGGCCCAGGTCTTCCACGTGTCGGCGCATGAGTGGATGTGTCCGTACGAGGCCACCTGGTCCTCGTACGAACGGGCAAGCGCAAGCAAGTAGTGTGTCGACACGTGGAGCCAGTGGTAGAAACACAAGCGTCGTGCTCCCTTCATTTCTCACTCAAATTAAGCAGCTCACTTGCACGATGATCGGTGCCCCCAAACTAGTATAAGTACAACTATAGTGTAGCACAAACGCATTTTCTATGCAGGGCTGTCTACATATATCATTGATGCACATCTCTGCATCTAACATGCATTACCGTATATGGAGTACTTCTTTTGAGACGTCACACATGATATGTTAATTCTACACATCATGATCATTCTGTTTCTTCAAGCACCAGTACATGCAAGATTTTCCTAGACACCAAACCATTTTGTTTCCAAACGGACCATAAGTGCAACCGCACAGGAAAATGAGGAACGGGCTCTGGGCCGTCGCTTGCACAGGAAAATCAATTTTTGTGTGCGGTTCACTTAACAGTCTCGCACACAAAAATAAGCCGCTTGCGGGCTTGCTAATTAAGTGATCCACTCACGAAAATAGCCTAACCCACGCGCTGCCCAACCTCCCATCTCCCTCTTATCCTCCTTCCCGTCCTCCCCATCATGCGCGCTACCATTATTCCTCCCATCCTCCCTCCTGTCCATCGTCCCATCCTCCCTCTCCTCCTCCCCATCCTTCCTCTCCTCCTCGGTGACGGCAGCGCCCTCGGTTAGGGCAGCGGAGATGGCGGCATCGGCGGGCGTGGCCACGACGGCGGCATTGGCGGGCGCGGCAGCCGCGACATCGGCGAGCGCGGCGGTGGCGGCGGAGCAGATCCGTCTCTGGCCGCCGCGTGGAGGCGGATCCGTCGCCGGCCGCCGCGGGGAGGCCGGATCAGCGGCCTGCCACCGCTGGGACAACGACTCGACGACGCCGGTGGCCAGCCTACGACGTCCTCGTCGGCGACGGCGTTCCTCTGCGCCCACTGCGTGACCACGCGGTACCCGGACATCTGCTATGACTCTCTCCTCCCCTACGCCTCCAAGTTCTAGATCTGTGGCCGGTGGGGAGGCCGGATCCGTCGCCGGCGACCGCAGATGGTGGTGGCGGCGACGACGACGACGGGCCTCGAGCAAGGCAGCATCGTCGGCGGTGGCGGTGTTGACGGCAGCTAGGTTAGGGTTTGCGGGTGGATTTTAATTTTTTTTTGTTTTGTTTTTTTATTTTCCCGTGTGGGCGGTCTAAGCGCCCGCACGCGAAAATCGATTTTCGCGTGCGGGTGCGTCACCCGCACGAAAAAATCGGGATTTTCGCAGACGCACCCTTCCAGACGGGTGGAAGCTCCGCACGCGAAAATCTATTCTATCCGCACGGAAAAATCTTTCATGTGGTTATTGTCGCTTTTGGTGTTATCCATCTTGAATTATAATTTTACTGTGCATTATATACATTGATAGTCTCTATGGTTTGCACACGCCAATTAGCAGACAAGTAGACGAGCAGTTTCCAATGTTGCGTCACACATCGATCCCTACAGCTAGCTCGATTATATTGGCTTGTGTTTGTAATGGTACCGCTTGGTTTTACCATGCATGCATGGTTGGTGTCAATGGTGATACCACTCTGGTGACCGTGTCACTGCTAGGTCCGGTAACCCTTTCCTCACAGTAACCAACGCTTGTTTGTTGGTGAAAACCACTGTAAAATCCACCAAACAATTACTCCCTCCTTCCCTAAATGTTTGACACCGTTGATTTTTTTAAACATATTTGACCGTTCGTTTTATTGAAAAACTTTTGTGATTTATGTAAAACTATATGTATACATAAAAGTATATTTAACAATAAATCAAATGATAGAAAAATAATTAACAATTACTTAAATTTTTTAAATAAGACGAACGGTCAAACATTTTTAAAAAAGTCAACGGCGTCAAACATTTTGGGATGGAGGTAGTAATATATATGAATATTTTGCTAGCTACTCCATCTGTTTCAAAATGTTTGACACTATTGACTTTTTAGCATATGTTTGACCGTTCGTCTTATTAAAAAAAATTTGTGAAATATGTAAAACTATATGTGTATATAAAAGTATATTTAACAATGAATCAAATGATATGAAAAAAATAAATAATTGCTTAAATTTTTTAAATAAGACGAATGGTCAAACACATACTAAAAAGTCAACGGTGTCAAATATTTTGAAACGGAGGGAGTATATGGGATCCACCACATGATTAATTGGCTCCGCGCACTATCATAAATACATGCTCCATATGTCACTCGATCTTAGTAATTAGATTGTTTAATTTGATTGCAACAAGTCGACAAATACTATCGGCTGAATAGTTATAGTTAAGAGTGGTGTTGGTGTGGCAAGTAAGCTAGCTCTCGTCCCACGGCAACTTGTATGTAAAATAAGAAAAACAAAATAGAGCAGTTCAATTAGTATTTAAGAATTCATACTATAATAACTAATAAGTTTAAAAAGGCTGGTTACAACTTACCTAGTGTTTAACTTAATTATTTTGACCTTTCATATATGTACCTGAACTGAGCAAATATATTATGGTATGGGCATTTAATTTCATTTATATAGGACACGATTCATTTTGCACATACGTACAGTATGTACTCCTTGACCGCTACACTTACCATCCTTCATGTCTTGTCTAGTTGCCTTAATTAATTATCACAACAGTTAACCTTTTAAAATTTGTTTTGTGGTAAACAAAATAAATAACAATGAATTAGTTGAAGATTATCATATATAAAATAAGGTTGCTTGGTATTGTATATTGGTATGGTGTAGCGCCGCTCCACTTGATTTTAACTCATCACCAAAGTGTTATCTCTATACATGTGTAAGGTATTTTCCAGACCATCTTTCCGTCTCTAAGCCTTACAAGCTAGGATTTACTGAACTAAGAGAAAAAGAAAATGACTACAAAATTAGGATGACTATAGCCATCATCCACTACTATATAAAAATTGTGACAGCGTCTCTTGAGAGAAAACCATAAACTGCGGCGCCTTATTTACGATAAAAACTAGCGGTTTACGGTGTACCACAAGAAAGATCGTACAGGCGCAACCAAAAATGGTAAAATAAAAATAGGAAAAATGGGAAAGGGGCATATGGGGTGAAGGGTGATGATGGCAACCAGGTGTTGGCAGTATAATTGTGGTCCCGAGTCATCCTTGGAGCCTTTCCTTTCTAAGTAACAAATTAACCTCTCTCCTCTTTCTTTCTTTCTTTCTTTCTTTCTTTCTTTCTTTCTTGCTCTCATCTAGAGTACCCTTTTTTTATTATAATTATAAGAAGAGAAATTAAGCTGATGTGATTTGTCTGCCCCGGCCACAAATCCATTCATCGATCTATGGACTACCAGCTGCAGCTAGGCTAGATCCATCCATCAGCTGGGTAGCTGAGAGTTGAGTTGAAGAAGCACAAGAGGCTAGGTAGCTCATGGCGGCGGCGGCTGCAGGCATGGGCGGCGGAGGAGGGGTGCAGCATCAGGAGACGACGACGACAGTGGTGCAGGTAGCGGCGGAGGCGAGTCGGAAGAAGGTGGAGGTGAGATCTGCAGGGCGGCGCGGGCGGCGGGAGATGCGGCGGATCGAGGACGCGACGAGCAGGCAGGTGACGTTCTCGAAGCGCCGGAGTGGGCTGCTGAAGAAGGCGTTCGAGCTGTCGGTGCTCTGCGACGCCGAGGTTGCTCTCATCGTCTTCTCCCCTCGCGGCCGCCTCTACCAGTTCGCTTCTGCCTCCTCCGAGTAATTAACCTTTTCTTTCTTTCACATCCATCTACTTACTTACTTACTTTATTTACTCCACTTAATTAATTTGTTATTACTACTCCTAATTAATACTCCAGTACTATACATGCATGCATGCGAGCATGAAATATATTCGGAGTATTTTCGATTTTATTGATCCGTACATATGTTCATATAGCAAACACATACGTGTACTTCTTCGTGTACTGTGTAGACGATAATGGCCGCCCCCTCGCTGCCTAAATATATTTTCTTTTCTTGAGCTCTTCTATCTATATTGAAAAAGGAGGAAAACAGTACATATGTACTTCTTATCGATTGTACTTATCTATACGTACATGTACGTAGATGTATTACGACTTCTTAATTTTAACTAGTACTAGTAGGAGTGGACATATATATATCTATGTATATGCAGACTAATGAACTAAAGGCTAAGTCATGGTCGAAATTACCATCACATATATAATAACTAATTAAAGAGATGAATTGAAGTTTATGTATATAATGGTCCCTTCTGTTAGCTTTCCATTTTGGTTTAAATCCACTCATTGATACTCCTTAGCTCCATTGATCCTAATATATAGATCAAACATATCACAAATATTTTTCTTAGATATTTCATAATATAAACACACACATATATATATATATATACATGCAATTAACTAGCACACATCCCCTCCCCTGAATTTGTTTATCTTTAAATCCTCTACCCTCAAAGTCTCTCCAATCTCACTTAGTGCATGTACGACGATTTTTTTAAGAAAATGTACTGTGCGATTTTGTTCCAATTAATGTAGGAGTATTATACGTAGAACTATACGTACATCGGCGTGTCAACCGTATATATATGGCGTGCGGTTACTTGTTAGCAATGTCTGCAAACCCTCAACCATAATTAAAACGACACACAGTTTAACTTCCGTGTTATTAATTAGTTTTAACATCCCAACACAAATAATAGATGAACTCTGTTATTAGTTTAAAGGGAGTAAGTGAACTAGAAGTAGAAGTCCGATTGTCTTTGTAAAAAAAACAAATTAAAGTACTTATTCCGTTCCAAAATATAAAGATTTTATAGTTGTTTAACAAATAATAATATTAGGTCAAAAGATTCTCTTTCATTCACTTAAGCTGTCAATTTTTAAACAGCTTATAGATAATCCCTTTAAAACCATATGACTGTCTGTGTAATCATTAAATGATGGAAGTTATAAAATCAGTGTGGAAATCCTTAAATTGCGATACAAAATTTGAACCTATAAATTGAACTTCTTATATTTTGGAACCGAGAAAGTAACAAAAGAGACTTGTCTTTGCAGATGATCCCAAAATAAATCAACTTCTTCTAGAGTTTAAATTTGTCCCAAAATAAATCAATTTCTACCTTCTTACCTACTACCTATCCGCAAAACGAGAAATTTTATTACTTCAATACCCCTCACCTACCCATCATTCAATACAACATCCACATTAATTAAGGGCATTGTGGTCTTTTGTTTCCCTCCTTAAAAGCTTATTGGAAAGTTAGGGTTTGAGTTATTTAGGGACAGAGAGAGTACATACATAAATAAGTATATGTAAAAAATCCATGAAATACAGTGAGCATGCTGGGAGTACATGCTGATTATGTTGTTCCCTTTTGCATTGACTAGCTACCTCATACTTCCTTCGCCTCAAAATAAACAAATCTCGAAGTGGATATGTCACATTATTGTTTAGGTTGGTTTATTTTTGGAACGGAGGGTGTACAATTAATATTCAGAAAATGTGTATGATATTAGTCCAGAATAGTACTATGTAGGATGACATGATTTGCATATCCTGCTAATAACTATATATAATTTATAATTCTCCTTTGATTATCTATATTCGAGAGCTTGACTAATAACTGATGGGAAAATTCCAGTTATCTTCACTTTAGAGGGTGATTTGATAATCTCACGCTACCTCTTTTATTAATTTCTGGCTTTTAACTTCTCTTGGACCATATATATACGGGACATGTCTTCAGTGGACGACTACTTCTATTAATTATATATTCTTGCATTAAGATACATATACTAATAATTATACTACAGTGTAATTTTATATATCAATCTTGATAATTTTAAATAGATCGATCTAAATCAGTAAAAATATATTCATAGTTTTGCCTCGCGCGATCGATAGCTAGAGATCTGCATAAACTGATCAATTAAGCTTGAACGACATACTAATGGTTTAATCTTGACATTATATAGATAAAATAAACATATAAAATATCTAGTGCATTTTATCATATCTTCATTAAGGTCACCTAGCTTATCTTATTGAGCCAAGTAAGCCGGCCTGGGCCCGCTGTGGCTCCACCACTGTATAACACCTAAAAAGATTTATCAACAAATTTAAATGCTATTTATTTATAACTAAATGTGTACTCGATAACGCATCAATTCTCTTTATTCTTGAATTCATTCAAAACTGAGCTGTTTACTCTTGAATTATATATAATTAACATTTTTTTGCGATCGAACAATTTGAACTAATTAAGGATCTTGGTAATGTATCCATTTTTAAATACTCCAATCACTATACATTTTTGTACTTTGACCACTCGATCGTCTTTCCAATAACATATTTGCGAATGCTAAAAAATATGCCATATTATCGAAGGGTATAATATCCTAAATATAAGCATAAAACTTTCATTAATCATATAATAACTATATTCAGGAGTAATTAGTGGTCAAAGATGAAACAACGAAAGTCAATATTATTAATTATATTTGAAACTAGAGGGAGTATTACTAATTTATATATGAAGATCAACATGAATAAATATACCGATATATATCCTGAGGTTGCACAAGTCATTAATTTCATCATTTTTTTTCTTAACTGATTTGTTTGTGAATAAAATACATTTTTTATTAAGCAATCCCTTCATTTGTTTCCATGCACTATTGAAAACAAATGTGCTATATATAACTGCTGGGTGCATTATTTGATCACAGAACATGTGAGATCATGCATATTTTGGATTTTTGAACAAAGACATACGTGACGCTTTTTATTTTTTTGCAAATGATCAATGGGTTATATTTATGCTCTTATAGTTATATCTGTGTACTTATGCAGTTAATTTGCTTCCTATTTGAAACGTGATCTTCATCATTTTACATGATGGTATTGATTTCATCAGCTGTAATATGTTAGGAGATTATATATGCATGCGTCTCTGTTATTACACATTTCACCAAACTGACTGATAATTTTCAATCGCCAGCTTGCAGAGGACAATCGATCGCTACCTGAACCACACAAAAAACTCATCTGCACATGAAGAAGGAGAGGAATCATGCGTCCAGGTTCAAATTTTATTCGTCCTATTTAAGTACTAAAATATCACGCATGCACATATACTCCCTCCGTTTCGAAATGTTTGACACCGTTGACTTTTTAGCACATGTTTGACCGTTCGTCTTATTCAAAAACTTTTGTGAAATATGTAAAATTATATGCCTACATGAAAATATATTTAATAATGAATCAAATGATAGGAAAAGAATTAACAATTACTTAAATTTTTTAAATAAAACGAACGGTTAAACATGTGCTAAAAAGTCAACGGCGTCAAACATTTCGAAACGGAGAGAGTATTAATTAGGAGGGATACCATATGATGGGATCGAACTGTTTTTGACTGAAGATCATGCATGAAACATCATGCTTATTCTATATATGCATGATCGATTAGCACAAGATGCATGACTGAGTATGTTAATGCACGAAATGTATATATTACATATATAATATATATAGTTTTCACTTGGAATTACTTATTAATTGTGTTTGGGTATGCGCGTTATTTTCACAGAAGTGGAGATCGGAGGCTACAACCCTGGGAAAGAAGATAGAAGCAATTGAGGGCTACAAGAGGTGACTAAATATATATAGTACAAATGATTAATTATATTAGATATTTATCAATCTAACTATATATTGGGGTAGTTTGAGAATTAATGCACATACATAAACGCATACAGTAAGCTGTTGGGGGAAGGCCTGGGGTCGTGTTCAGTGCAGGAGCTACAAGAGCTTGAAGTGCAGCTGGAGAAGAGCTTATGTAGCATCAGGCAAAAGAAGGTATAAATATATATGTTGGATCTCATCTCGATCGATTGCTTATTTGCTTACATATAGTTTGCCTTTTTTGGCTCGTGTGTGTATCGATTCAAGCTATATATAATTATAAGGACATGATCTATCTCCGAGCCTATATTTCATCAAGAAAAAAAAATCTCTGAAATCTCTTATCCATTTTGTTTTGATGTGGGAACAATTATTGTGAGCAGCAAAAGATGCTGATGGATCAGATTTTGGAGCTCAGGGAGAAGGTACGTATATACATGCATTCCGGTCTGAATCTGTATATATATCCCTACTATCTACTAATTACATCGAATGATTAGATAATCTCCACCTAGCAGCTGACACAAACATATTTTACTACCTGAATATATATATACACCTGATATATATCCTAATTAAGTACACTAGAATAGTAGAATTAATAGTGGAGAAGAAACATGAATTTCATCTAGAAACTGTAGTACTCATCCATACGCATTATATATAGACTGTAGTTTTTGGAACAGATCGATCAATACTGTATATGTCCATGTGTGTTTTATTAATGCGTGTTTAATTTGTTTGCAAACATATACACAAAACATGCACGCAGGAGATGAACCTCTTGAAGGAGAATATGGTACTCCGTGATCAGGTGTGCGTATATATATACATGGCTACATGCTTTGATGTGATTGAAAAACTCCAAATTGAATGCGAAGATATATATGTACACACAGATGGAGTCACGCACGCGATGAATTATATATGTAATTATATATGCAGTGTAAGGCTCTGTCATCGCCATGGTCGACGTCTGTGGGAGAGCTGAAGAATAAGCAGGCGGATGATGATGTTCATCGTCATGAGGATTATTCCGGCGGCGGCGTACGCGACGACGATGATCGGCGCATGATGGAGGACGTGGAGACAGATCTGGTCATCGGACGCCCGGGATCGATATGATGAACGAGCAGCGCTGGCTAACTTCATCTATCCAATCAAGAAAACTCTGTATATGTAGTTCGGCTGGCAGCTAAGCTACAATACTGAATAACGTAACAATTATAGTTTTTTTTAAAAAATACAGTACAAACGCAGGAACTCAGAATACAACAATCACCCATCTCTATAAACTCATACATACACTTTGTATCTCTATAAGCATTTTTGAAAGACTTGATATCTTGAGATTGAAGAATATATATGTATCAACATACATATGTATGGATGCAGTGAAATCGATCGATCGTTCGATATGCGTATCTGTATTGTGTTTTAAATCCTATCCTATTGATTCTTTGCATCCGTATGTGTGCAGATATATGATTAACTAAACTGAATCAGCTGGATGTTGGGCGCCTGGAAAAGTAGCTAGCTAGCTATAGCTAGCTATTAGTAAAGCTAAAATTAATCAAGATGAGAGGTGAGTGATCGATGTACGTTGTTTGCTTGTCGTGGATATGCATATCATTCATGTACGTATGTATGTATGTACGTATGTTGCCAAAAACTGGAGCATAAACACAAGATAGATCTAGGGTTTAGATATAAAGTAGTGAAAAACAAAGTGTAGTACATAGCATTTCTGTGAGAAAATTATGAAGGTGCAAAACACGCGATAGCGAGCGCAGAGGAATCCAATCCCGGGCCAAGAGTGGATTCGGCCCAACCCACCACGGCCCACGCGACACGTTGTGCGCACGTGCTCCGTTCAGATCAGGCGGACTAGGGGAGTACTCCTACGTGTTAATTAAGGAAGAGGAGAAAAGAGAGAGAGAGAGAGAGAAGGAAAAAAAAAATCCCCAAATCGAATCGATCGGAATTTGCTTCTCCGTTGAGGCGAGGCGAGGGCGAAGGGGGAACGAAGTGGAAGGAGATTTGGATTGATTGGTTGGACGCCGGCGGCGCAGATCCCCAATTCGATCTCCTCCTCTTCGATCTTCATCCTACCCTGCCTGCCAGTGCCAGGTAATTCAATTCACCCTTCCGTCTTCCCCAATTCACCTCACCTGCTTCCATCTCCACCCCCAAATCACTTGATTACGGCTTAGGCTTCGGGAATTAATCACCCCCCGCTGCTAGTTACTTAGGGATCTGATGAATCTCATCTCCTACTCCCTCAACCTCAATGAATTGAATTCTTAGTTTGTTGTTGTTCCCTCCAATTGACTCATCTCTGTGCCTCTATTTCCCCGAATTCATTCTTCTCTGTGCCCGCCCGTCATCACCAATTCCGTTATTATTATTATACCTCTATTTCCTGATTTGCTTTAAATTATCACCACCTAGGAGCCAAGTCACCGCCGGGCTTGTTTACTTTCCATTGCAACAACGATAGTTTTACTTGTTACATGTCAACACAACAATAGGCTGTTCGCATAACCCTCATGTCTAGTATTTGCAAAATCATACGTACTTACCACCGCTTTGCATAACTCTGGAGTACTAGGGATATGATATCATGCGGTCTCTGTAAATTTTACTAAGCTGATTGATCTTTTTCTTTTAATTTCCTCCTGATGCAGTATAAGATTCTTATGAGCTGGTCGGCTGTGGTTTTCCCTCAATTCTGGTGCTACTAAGATGGGTCAGGAGCTCACCACAAACAAGCCTCTCACAACCCTCTTACCAACGGATGAAATAGCAACCGCCTACCATTTCTCCCTCCTCCTCTCACCTGTCGTCTCCTTTTGGGACTGCATCTTCCGCAAGATAAGATACTCATTCAGACCTGAGTGGGTGTAGCATCCTGCACTGCCTGTTTCTTTTTAGCGCTAGCCAGTGCTTTGCTTTCTGGCCTGGATCACTCCAAACAATGAACTTTGAAGCTTTTGCTTTCCCGTAATTACAATTACAGTCACTAGTGGAGTTTAGCTGAAAATAGTACATAGTTGTCATGGAAAAGGCCGCGGCCAATCAGGCGGGCAAAGTCTTGAAGAAAGGTAAGAAGAAACAAGCCAAGGATGAATTAGATCGCCAGAAGCAGGCTGAGAAGAAGAGACGGCGGCTGGAGAAAGCGCTTGCAAACTCCGCTGCCATTATATCTGAGCTGGAAAAGAAGAAGCAGAAGAAGAGGGAAGAACAGCAAAGGCTGGATGAGGAAGGTGCTGCGATAGCTGAAGCAGTTGCTCTTCATGTCCTCATTGGTGAGGACTCCGATGAACCCTGCCATTTGATGCTAAACAAGCACAGAAGATGCAACCATTGGGATCACTCAGCTGGTTTTGATTTCGCCGTGGATGCACAAGGCGCTGATATTTATCCTCCTGATGGACTGATACAGTGCGCTGATCATGTTTATGCTCCCAAAGGGAGGTGTATTGATTGGGGGATTGGCCAGCCATTGCCATCTTGGGGAGAGGTGAAGGACTTGCAGTTGCAGGCACCGTGCTACCAAGGAATGTTCCACCAGTCAGTTGCATGCCCAGGTTTCATAGCAGCTCAAGCGGTCTCCTCCTTGCAAATCGGAGGAGATTCGTCAGATATTACCTCTCCAAGCCAAGGAGCGACTGTCGTTAATAGGATGCTTGGTGCCACCAACAGGCTCAACCTTTACAGAGAGATATAAAAACATACACTTCACGATATTATTATTGTATATAGTCATCAAACTTGTGTTGACTACTTTGCCTGCAGTATATCTCATAACCAAAGAAGAATTGGATAGAACACCTTGTTTACTGTTTCTGTGAGTCTAAAAGGATATCTTATATCAGTCAAATTGGTATTGTAATGAACATATTGTTTTGATTCCCTGTTGATTTTCTTGGAATGTATCCTGTGTCGACTTGATGTTCTGTACAGTGCTCTTGTGCTTTCTTTTACAACTATTACTATATCTAACTTGAGATGTCATTCTTTTTGCTTTCTGTCTATATGGTTGTACGATCTTGATAAAAAGTTGATCAACTTTTGATTCAGATTGGCACTGTAGGTGCTGACCTGAAGGCCCAGAGAACAGTAGCAGCTGTAACCTTGCCTCGTGTTAGAAGCTACTGTTACATGTCAGTTTAACAGAGAAGGGCAGCTGCCTAGAATGTAATTAAAACTGGATAGTCAGGCCAGGAAATAAACTTCTTTTGGGTGAGCAAACAAAATGGCGAACCCAAGCAACGTCGCAACTAATGGTAATGTCACCAAGGTACGTGCAAAGAGCCAAAGGGCTACATAAGATGGAGTGATTTACCTAGCTTAAACTTGCGTCATTGTTAACTAGCAGGAGGAATTCATTGTTGTTTACTACAGTTGGTTGTTTTGTAATAATTGGCTTGCACAAATTTTGTTCAACCTTTTGATTTGCAGGGGAGTTGCTGCCTACTGACACTTTGGGTGATTGTAAGTTTGTAACCATAGCCCATAGTAGATGATGATATCTCCTGCCCTGGTGAGTTGTGAGGTACATTTTCCTCCCTTTAAAAAACTCAACACCTGCAGTTCTTGTCTGCCAAGCGTGTCATGCATGAGTAAATTGCTGACCTCCTAGCTGTACTATGGGGTTCAACTGCATTATTAATTTTCCTGTTGCAACAATATTGTTTGCTAGCTAGCTTTTCCTGGTTGAATAGCACACATGTACCCCAAGTCTGTTTAACTCCAGTGCCTCCGCTAGCACTTTAGTGAAGCTAAACAGTATTACCGTGTCTGCTAACACTGCTTAACGCTGGCATCAGCATAGGCCGTTGTTCCGTTCAGTATTGTCAAATAATGGAACCCGGTAATAACATGTATGTGTTGTCAATCCTTTTTGGCCTACAGACCTGATGCCCCCTGCATGGCTGCATGCTTCCACTCTTCAACTGCAGTACAAATTGTTGCAGAAGATTCAAATAAAGAAATTGGCAATATCGATACAGTAAGTTTCTGTCATTCCACAAGGTTGGAGTACTCCAAACTTGATAAATTTTGTGGGAAGTGAACAAAGTTTAGTGGGCTACCCAACAAATAAGTTTTATGTATTCATTTCTAACTTTTTTTTTGTTGTAGGAACAACCATCACCACTATGGTCTTTTTAAGTAGTAAATATTTTTTTTAGACCATCTATGTTTTATGTCAGTCGTGCATTATAAGCACTTGGTAGTGGAAATGGAATTTCTTGTAGGTCTTTTAAGTCTTTCTACTACTTTTTTTAAAATAAAATAAAATGGCTTCTGCCTTTGGCTACTTTGCCAAGTCATTGATAGATTACCCAATGTGATTCAAATTAAGGGTGTGTTTAGTTCACGCCAAAATTGAAAGTTTGATTGAAATTGGAATGATGTAACGGAAAAGTTGGAAGTTTGTGTGTAGGAAAGTTTTGATATGATGGAAAAGTTGGAAGTTTGAAAAAAAAAAGTTGGGATCTAAACCCGGCCTAAGGTTCAAACTGAAGTGAATGGTTTTAATAGTTCGGTATTCAGAGAGTGTAAAACAAACTTTTCCCAATTCCTATCAGCTCCTAATTCAATTTTTAATGAGCTGCATGGTTTACTTTATCTACAATAGCAAAGCAATAGCTAAGGTACAGAAATTTCCTTCCTTTTTTACTCTCCAGATCTTTCTATGTCTAGACTTCCTTTTGAATGCAGTTTCTTCTTCCTTTTGCAGCAGAGAGCTTGCTGGTGGTGGCAATGCGATGCAAGCTGCCAGGGCCAGGGCAGGGCAGGGGTTGCAGCTCTGTGAAAGAGGACGCGACGCACAGCAGTAGTAGTACGTTACATACAGCCAGGTGCATGACTGATAAAGACGCATCGATGGATCAATCGGCAGCATATGCATTTGCATAACACGCACTGCTCACCCTTAATTTTGACTTCATTTCTTGGAGCTACAAGTACCTTTATATATTGTCCTTCAATTCTCCTGGAAATTATTTTCAGTTATACTCTACATTTACTGGAGTAGCCTCTTTTCTCTTTGCAGCATCATCCCTTTTATTACTGCGCGCATCAGTTCCATTTGCGTCTAATGCTCTGAGGCCGAGCTTTAATTTACACTCAAGTAAGTATATACTCCTCCAATCTCAATGTACTCCAGTTTTTTCCGACTGTTCAAATTGTCAAATACTAAATGTCATCTCGCTCACAAAGTTAGTCGTAGTTAGTGTAGTCTTTTATAATGCTATATTCGAAACAGTTTGCACCAAAATTACTTTCCTAATTCTTACATATGAACTAAAGCAGAGGGGTTGTACTACAATGAATCAAAAAATGGAGGTTGCTCGTATAATTTTGCCGTATCCCGTTCCCGTACCCATAATATAAAGGATATCCTAGAAGGAATTAGCAATCATCGCTCTTTCATGAATTTAGCAGGATTCTTGTGTAATTTAGGGGGATAGCCATTAATTATATCTAATTAATCAATTGATTAAGGAAAGAAGCTAGCCTAGCTAGCATACAACAGTACCAGAAAGAAAACAATAGATATGCACAAGAGGAGGAGACGGTCGACCAGAATGGGCACCGCAATGCAGCAGCGTACAATAGTATATTAATAGGGGACCCTAATCCAACACGGGCCCACATGTCGGCCGGCCACTGTCATTATCATTACCACCAACCCTGCCCTTCCAATTCAATTCAATTGCAAACAAACAAAACAAATATCATCAATTGTAGGCGGCAACCACTCATTTCCATCCGTATCTTTTCCACGCATCAAACTGGACCACCGTCCACCTATACCTATCTACTTCTGCTCCATTGGATAGATGTAACACCAAGGTTTTGTTTTGCCTCCTCAATTATAATTACAAATAATTAATATTTAACTTTAAGAACATGAGTACTCCCTTCTATTCAAAATAAGTTCTTTTTTCTCCTCCCATTAATTTATCACAAAATAGTTTTATTTTTAAATAATCATTGCATGAGAGTTTGTGAAAGCAGATGATAAATACATTTGGAGCAGATAAAATAATTGCATTAAAATCTGATAAACTAGAAATATTCTAGTCTTTTTTTATTGGTATGTGTGGATGGATAAAAAATAAAGTTATTTTAGTACAGATAGAGTACATTCTTACCGGTGGATAGGTTATCACTTAAAACTACTTCAGCCCGTCACATAATCAAAAATTAGAATCTCCGAATTGATATTACATAACCCTAGCTCCTTAATTTGCTTGATATGCAGTTTCTTGTGTATGTGGAGGAGTTTAAGCATATATATTTCTTGATATTTTTTTTACAATATACTCATAATAAATTAAGTGTATAAGGACGTTAAGCCTTCCTTGATCTTTAGTGAAAGAATTTATTTATTATATGATGATTAAATAGAAACAGAGCAAGTGTCGATATAGGATGCCTAGAAGTTAAAGAAAAAAGAGAGGAAAACATCCATTATTCTTGTCTGTCCGAACAACTAACTTATTACTACTCCGACCGACTAGCTACTTGATCTTATAAAAGCTGCAGGCAAACACCCACCACACCTCTAATTAACAAGCGCTATGGTGGTCTATAAACTATCCATTAATATTCATCTTCTCAGATGTAGTATTGCTTCTTCTTCTATTTTTAAGCTGCAGCTTATAAGGGCATGTCCAATTATGAAATTCAGAAACATAATTTAGGTTTTTTTTTAAATCGTTTTGTGTCACTTAACCTTAACATTTGTTCCGTTAAAAACAGAAGTACAAAAGTTTTACTAAAATTATTCTTTTTTAACATTAATAACATGTTTTTTTTAATAAGCCAAAGCCCTGAAATGCCCACGTTTAGAGACTAAACTTATCATATACTCTTTCCGTGGACCCAAAATATGACAAGCTTTATTTCAGCATTCAAAAATTGTTATGAAACATATATACTTGTCCACCCGCTAGCTTCTTGTCATCTTGAGCAATCAGACCTGCATGTGTCGTTTAATTTCTCTAGCTAGCTACTTATGCTTACTCATCCTTACTAATTACAATAATCTATTATCTAATTCCCGTGAAAAAAAAGCTATACAAATGTTATTTATATTTTGGGAGGGAGGAAGTATTATGTCCTAGGTTATCTATACATGTATCTAGCGGTGAGACATGGAAGAGAGAAATTAACATAATGGGGGCCGGCGGGGTTTGAGATAGACATGTCATTTGTTTGGGATGTACGCACTCCATGCATCATATCGTACATGTCGGGTTTTTGAATGGAGATCTTTTGAATGCGTAGTGTCGTCCGATTGATCGATGGAGCTACAATAGCTAGCTGGATGGATGGATGCAGTGTGGGTGTCTACTACTCCATATATATGTCGTTGTTGCATGGGGTACGTACCATCAGACTAGTCTTTTAGGTTGTGTAGACTCAGGATCTAAAGTTGTACTTCGTTGGGCCTGTGGTGGAGTAGACCCAATGAAACCTGAGTGGCCCACAGTGTGTGGGCTGGCCTGCGCACTCTAACAAGTGCTCTGATACCACTTGTTATAAGACTGGCCCCGAAATCACATTGGAAACCAAACCGCGGAAGAAAACACTATAGGAGATCCAAACACGATGACGACACCGAGGCACCATATTTGATAACGGAGTTCAGTCGTAGCCTACATCTCCAGGGTATTGATAAAGGGCACTCCTCCCCGATCCAGCATATTAGAGTTACAATGACTCACGGCCGGTCGCCGCTGGCAGCCGCTCCCTCTCGCTATGTTATGTCGCTATGCGGTTATAACAGGTACGCTCCTCTATTTATGAGAGAGCCTATAATAGAATCCGACTGTTACTTTAGTCCAAACACCTATTACAACTCCAAGTTTTAAACTGTAACCGACTACATACATATATTCGATGCAAACTCTAACAATGGATGCAGTGTGGGTATCTACTACTTCATAT